GCGGACGGATAGCAGAGGCGTCTCGAGAAACACACGATGGCAGCACAGCCAGGCCTGGGAAGCAGCCCAGCAGCCAGCGGTAGCAGCCAGCGGCCGAAGCGATAGCCAGACCCAGACCCTGAGTCTGCACCAGCACCAGCACCAGCGCCAGCAACGCGCAGCAGCAGCAGCAGCAGTAGCACGATAGAGACCTAGACGGGCTCGAAATAAGATGACTCACGGAGGGGTGCAGACGGCGGAAGAAAGACGGCGGCGTATCGGCGTCAGGTCAGGTCAGGATGGTCGCGACGCGGGCCGGGCAGTTGTCCTTCTTGGTGGTGGTCCCGTCGTGTCGTTGTGGTGGTAGTTTCACCGGCTCCTCCAGCAGTTGGACAGGCGTGACAGGTAACCACGCGGCGTGGTGCCAGACCCGGGCGGGCTGGTACCGTCGCTTCCCTGCCCTGCGACAAGGCAAAGGCAGGCCTTGTTGCTGTTTCATCCATGTTCATCAAAGGAGGCGAAAACAAGAATAGCAGCGGGAAACGCCCATTGGACCGTCGCAATTTCCAGTCGCCAACGACGCGGGTGTGTTGTGTTGACTTGGAGTGAGTTTGGCGGGATCGTGGGTGGAAGGGTTCCCTCCTGCTTGGCCGCGAATCGATTGGCAGCGAGGGCTCGAGAAAGAAGGCCATCGCTTGTTTCATCTGTCTGTTCGACGTAGGACGCGGCCACCAATGAGCCGCGCGCAATAGTCGTGTCCGAGGGCCCCTGACAGCGACAAGACAGGACGGCAAGGCAAGCTGACGTGCGTAGCATGGGAGTAGTGTAGCTCTCCATCGATCCATGTCTGCATTGCGTAAGCCGGGGCTGCTTGATGCTTTTTTGGTGCTGAGCTGGCGGTTGTTGACTCCATCGTCGCCTTCCTTGGTGGTGTTCAGCGGCTGCCATTGGACGTTGTTGCACCGCGCCGTTTCCACCGAGAAACACGAGAGGCGAGAGAGGGGCAAGGGAGAGCGAATAAGGTGCTCGGCCGAAGCGGTACGTACCGGCTGCGGACCTACTGCATGGTAAAGTGTGTGTAGCGGCGTTGGCCAGTCAGAGTGCAAGAAGCAACGATGGCAGCGACACTTTCAGCAGACAGCAGAGGAAGGAATGGCTGGGGGTGGGGCCTGCCCGCGTGAATGCGCTTTTCTTCTCTCTGCTGCAAGTCGTGGTCGTGTCGCTCAGTGAGGATTGTCGCTCGCTTCGCTTGGATGCTGTGGACGAAAAGCTCCAGCGGGCTTGTTTTGGCAGACATGGACCCTTGCTTGTGGGATCGTGTCTCTGTGTTTCTGCAACCACTGGCTGAGCGTCCATCAGCCGGCTTTGGCGCGCAGCGGCACGAGAGGCTACGGGGATGACGGAGCCCAACGGAGCGGCGATGGCCAGTCAACGGCCGTCGTGAGACACTGAGTGAGGTTTGGGTTGACGTAGGGTGCTCTGTAAGGTAATTACAGACGCAGATGCAGCTTGGAGCCGCGCTTGTCTCCGTCCTGTCCGCACGGAAACCTGTCTCTGTAGCTGATTTAGCTGCAGCTGCAGATGATGGCCATGGTCGTGAAATGACCGTGTTCTTGATTCGGCCTTGGCCTGGCCGTGGTCCTGGGCCGGGTCTTGCTTGGGCTTGCAAAAGTAAATATATCGATCTCACCCACAGGAGCCGTCCAATCCATCCCTTACCCTCGGCGCCTCTTGTCGTATATTTCATCCCTGTGTCCTCCTCCCTCTCGAGCCCTGGGAACTCTGAATCCTGTCTCTTGCCAGGACCTTGATTCTCTCCTCCATCTCAAATCATTTGCATCATCACCGGCATTCGAGGGTTGTTGTATTGAATACGACACCCGACTTTCCTTCGCCTATCGTGAGCAGGGAGACGACATTGACGCCGAGACATCAACATCGACAACAACAACAACAATAACAACCACAGCCGGTCTGCTAATACGAAATCGAATCTATTCAACCCTTGTTTTTTCTAGACTCGGCTCTATTGTTCAATCTTTTCCCCTGGATAATTCACGTCTGCACTATTGGACGTTGACACCCTTTCGTTGCTGCTGCTGGACACCAACTGCGATATCCCGCCCCACACCCACTTGCACCATTGCAGCTGCACCTTGAGTGAGCTCCGTCAACCTTTGACCTCGACCTCGACCCGAGTCCGCCAAGGCTTCTTCTTGACCCGAGAACTGGAACAAGTTCTTGCATCTATTGGATCCGCATCATCATCGTCACCGCCCTGGAGAAAATCGACGTTTGGTCAGATTTGCGTCGCATTCACTCCGCCCTCGCGAGATTTCTGGATTAAAAGGCAGACACCCGTCTGATCTATCAACCTTGATCACCACCACCACCGGCATCGCTTAGGCTTTCTTTTGGTGCTCATCTGCATCCATCTTGCAACCCGCATCTCGATTGACACCCTACCTCGTGTTCCGTTCCGCCTTCGATTCTGCCCGAGAGCCTCGACCGTCGACGAACAGAAAGCGTGTTCCGTTGACAACCAGTCAGAGTCGCTTCCAACCTGGAGGACCCCTGCTTTCGGCACCCCATTCGCAGAAAGCAGCCTGCACCGCCTCAGCGCCCAACTGCCCAGACTCTCAGTGACCGTGTGCCAAGTACCGGATACCCTGGCCGCCGGGCATTTTTGGTCTGAAGTCACCGTACCCCATACACCCCCACCTCACCACTCTTCCAGGTGCCGACCGCGGTGCACCTCCGCTACCAACAACCCACCACCAGGTGCAACAGCAACAGTTCCGCAGTCAGCCAGGAAAAGGTGGCTTCACTTCGGAAAAGCGCATAACCAACGCCCTGCCCTCACGGTTCACATTGCGGCCAACCTGGACGTTGCTGAGCCTTAGCGATACCGCATCACGACCTGCGTCATTCTCCCCAGCTGTTGACTTTATCCCCGTCGCATCGAGAAAGACTCGGCCAAGGTTCACCCCGCCAAGCTACGGAAAATCCAACAATATCTCCAGTCCTTCATTCAAACCCCATCTACCGGCGACACAGCGCGGCCGGACAAACTATTCACGCTCGCTCGCGACGTCCGAATCGAGACAGACAATCATTTCCCCAACCTGCTTCACGTTTCCGGTCTTCGGATCCCGGCCGAACAAAGCCTGCCTTACCTTACCACCTTGCGGATACCACTACAGTCGGCACAGCATCTTCAATCTGCTGCTGGCTTACACGACGTCCGCCCCGCGGCCCCGAGAACAATTAATCAACAATCGACACTCCTCCAACGCCCTCCTCTCCGCCGGCTCGGAAGTTTTGGACTGCTCCCTCTAATTGACCATCTGTGATTTTCGCCGTACTGCACTGTCACTCGCGAGTCGCTGGGATCTTCGCATCGCACCGGTTCCGCTCTACCGCTCTGCCGCCGTCAAACTCACACACCTTGACACCCGTCTGCCATCCGCTATTCCCTCGCGGCTGCGCGATCCAAGCGTCAATCAATCAATCCAACCCAACTCAAAATCACACCTGGACGGCTCAATCTGTCCTAGACGTCCATAATTTCATCACATCGCGGCCGTGGCTCTTTCTCCAAAACCCAAACCCAAACCGCCGTCCCCCTGACTCGCCCCGTTGTTTTACTTGACGCCTTCAACTCCTCACCTGCAAACCTCTCCAAGCACTCGACGGGCGTGACTCGGATACTTCATCCGTTTGCAGACGTTCAGAAAATTCGAGCGCCTATCCTCCATTCGTCATAGAGCACCGGGCATTTTCCAGAACTTCGGGACTTTCTCTCTCGCCCTTGGCTGCCATTGTCGTCAGTCGCAACAATCGCACCCGACCCTCGTCCACCAGGCCGTCCGTCTGCTTCCAGTACCTCCACGCTGCCATCGTCGTTGGCGTCCGCTATCCTCGCTACTTTCGCGATTTTTCTATTCTCAGAAAGAAATCGCCACTTGTTCGCCGTCGTCGCCGAACGACCCGCGCATCAGCAGCAGCATTCATTACACCGCCAACAATACACCAGCACAACAGCCCGCCTCTTCTAGGTCTCTTACTCTCGACTGCCTCACTGCCGAAACATTATCGTGTTCCGCAACGCAGAAAGCGCTCAACGTCCGACTTTCCGCCAAGAGTTGCATTCGAGCAGAGTTCGTGACCAGTTCGTCACAGCCATAATATCGAGTTAATCTGGAGATTTACCTGGACTCGGAGTGTTGAGAGTGTTGCGCCACACTCCACCTGTCGAGGTTAAATACAGTACTACATCTGCAACTCCAGCAAGTCCAGTTGCTGCACCCGCACCGACGCTGCATCCCGCGAAATCCAGACCCCGGCCGGCCAGTCCGCCCCCTGCGACTTCGCTTTTCTCGGAGTGTTATCACCACGCCCCCCAGCGGCCAACTCTTTCACTCCGACTAAAAACCAACCACCCCCTGCCGACCGTACCCAAGCACGCCCTCCCCCCTTGCACGCCTCCCACACCCTTGCACGCCTCCCACACCCCTGCACCCCTGGGATCTACAGCATTCCAGCCCACCCCAAGCATCCAAGCCCCAGCAGGCACTTCCGTCGGCGTCCTGCTGAGACCCCCTAAAAAACTAACCCCCTACTACCGCTAGCACTGACTAGTACCCCCCTGACAACCCGCCCACTCAGCCTCGTGGACCGCACGTCAGTGGGTGACGACGAGCTGCCCGCATCCCTCAGTTCCCAGGACCATCCCCAGAGCCTGGCCCCGTCACTTGCGACGAGGCACATGAACTTCGCCGCACACCACACCCGTACCCTCCTTTTCGTCTAATATATCAGCCCAGCCTGCCCTTCCTCACTTCTCCTGCCTTTCCTTATTTCGGCACTCTTCACGACAACATCGACAGCACAAAAGGGACGCTTCCTTCACAAAAGGACCCCTGCGACTATCAATACACCACACACGACTCCATCATCATCACCAACCACCTCGACCACCCCTCATATCCCATACACACACACATACACACACAGTCACAATGGAGTCAAGGTCACACCTCACCCAGGCTGAGCTCAACGCCGCCGCCCTCGACCACTTCGTCTACCAACCAGTCAGCAAGTCGATGATTTCCTACCTGGCCGGCGCCGCCTTCAATGTCATCTCCTGCGACAGCGCCCTCATGCCTCCCGCTTCCGCCGAGGCCTACCGTCAACAACAGCTTCCCCCGACACCGCCAAGGACACCCGAGCCCCGCGCTGTTCGCACCGAAGACGCCGACCTCCCCACCCTCGAGGCCTTCATCACCCAGCTTGTTGTCTCTTCCAACGTCCAGGTCCCGACGCTCATGTCCACCCTGGTCTACCTCACCAGACTCAAGTCCCGCCTGCAACCCATGGCCCGCGGTCTGCGATGCACCACCCACCGCATCTTCCTTGCCGCTCTCATCCTCACTGCCAAGTACCTCAACGACAGCTCACCCAAGAACAAGCACTGGGCCACCTACAGCCACGTCAACAACGACCTGTCCAACTTTGGCTTCAGCAGGACAGAGGTTAACCTGATGGAGAAGCAGCTTCTGTTCCTTCTGGACTGGGACCTGAGGATCACCGAGGAGGACCTCTACCGCGAGCTCGACCCCTTCCTGGCGCCCATCCGCGCCGAGATCGAGGCTAAGCACGCTCGTCGCATTGCTCGCCGCCGCAAGCAGGAGGAGGAGATGCGCAAGAGGCAGGAGGAGATGATCGCCATGCAGTCCTACCCCAGCCCGCCATCCTCGCGCGCCAGCTCTCGCTCGCGACAGGAGACTCCCGACCACGCTCGCTCATACAGCGGCGCCTCCATCACACCACCCGGCCTTTGCTACAGCAGCAGCTATGGCAGTTCCATCAGCTCTTACGCTCCTTCTGTCGCATCTAGCCGGTCTCAGTCCCGCGCCACCACCCCGCTCGACAACCCCGCCGAGGAGCCCTACATGTACGTGCCCAACGGCAGCTTGTACGAGTCTCCCGTGGAAGTGCACATCGAGCAGCCCGCATCAACACTGCCGAAGCGCAAGCCTCTCCTCCCGTACGAGATCAGCACCGAGGAGCTGCGCGACATGCAAGACGGCACCAAGGCGAAGAGGGCACGCATGGGACGTGGCATGTGGGGCCGCGTCTTCGGTGGTGCGGTGACAGTGCGGTAGTCTGCTGCATCGCACAGATTCTTTTCCTTTTGTCACAGCCTCAACAACTTTTTCACCTCTCACATTTTCCTATGTTTGGAGTCACCCCAAAAAAAGCATGGTGTTGGATTGCTTTATAGAGAGAGCACGGAAGGACAGACTTGTTTATCTTACCCGAGGGCGTTGGTAATGGGACGACTGGTACATGGAACACGGATTATGAGGACACGGCAATCCTCGGGGCATTTGCATATATGGAGTGGTGTTTGGGGCGGATTTCATGAACATGATTATCACTTGTTCCTTTCTTGTCGGTTGGGCTTTTTGGCATCCTCGCATGGTAGAGGCTTGGCCCCTGTTGGGATCTTGGGAAGAACTGTTAGAACCGGTTCAGCAGTATCATATCAGTCAGAGCTCCAAATGAGCATCAGCACACTCTTCTCAGAAGGTGTGCCGGAAATTCAAAGCGCGGGCACCAACCACACTGGTGCCCGTTTCCAAACAACTTTTACTTGTCTCCTTCCGCTCGCGCACATACACTGTGACTCGATGTCTTCGTGAACGGCACCTGGCTCCTCCCGTCCCGTGTCGAACACCCCGCTTGCATCGGGGTCTAGAACGGTTGGCTCTAGTGCACCTCGTGACGTTGGATGCAGGCGGTCGGGGTAAGTGTCCTTTTTTTTTTTTGTCCCTAATGAAAATCTTCTGCGGGGTGGAGAGGACACTGTAGCGGAGCGCGCAGCGCGGTTCGCATTCAGCTTCACATGCGAGACAATTGGGGACGACTGCGGCCTTTGCAGTGTGCCCGGGCAGCGGGAACATCCAGTCATCTGCAGCCGGGGTCGGCGGTGAGGGGGTCGGTCATTCTGGGTCAAGCTCGGAAAAGAATCAAAAAAAACCCTCGTGATCTTATTTTGTTCATTTGTATTCTTTCGCCATCTGCCATCCATGTATTTATCCCATGTGCAGAAAATTTTGCAATGCAGCTTTTTGATGACGATATGCGATGGCGGTATTGGAGGGGTTAAAACCACTTGGTTGGTTCTCGTTATCGCAACAAGCCCATGACTACACCCAGAGTTTATCGCCCCCAGGTCATGATTCGCATCTTGCTCGGGGACAGGACATGAGTCGGGTTCGCCGGGTTCTTGCAACCTTATAACATCATAGCTCGACCAGGGTGCACACAGCACACGCAGAATGAATCAAGGCGGGAGGGGGATGGATTTTCACAAAAGTTTGATGCCATCTTGTTACTTCCCGCTGGGCGAGTGGTGGTGGTGGTGATGGGCAATGACTTGGGAGGCGGCGCATAAACCGGCTAGAGTTGTCTCTCTCTCTCCCGCACCTTGGGCGCTCCCCGTCACGGCCGGATCAGAGACATTCTCTATCTCACCTTGCAAGATTGGGCTTGCATCCGTCCGTTGAGGAAGACCCAGCCATCTGGAAGCCGCAGCAGAAAAAAACGGCAAGTTGGGTTTGCAAAAGGCGGAAAGGGGAGGCTTGTGTGTGCCCAGACGCTTGGATTTTACAGTGACACATTAACGTTTGGATGCAGCTAAGCTGGCGGCGTCTCCTAGCTCCCTAGGTTCTCTGTCAAGGTAAAGGTACAGCTCCCCGAAAACCGGGGGCTTCTCCCCGATGGTTCTTCGTCTGCATGGAGTTTTCATGTTTGTGTGGTGTGCTGCGGAGGATCGGACATGTTCTACAAAAGTAATCGCTTCGTGAACTCCGAAAGAAGGAGGTTGTTTGGGCTTCCCCGGAGATTTCATGGGGGCGAGATTGTCGTGATCGACCGGAAGGGCGGATCGTGACGTCGACGTCGAAATCCCAACGGAGGGGGAAATCTCGGGTTGTTTTCGCTCGTCTTCGTGTTTCCTCTAGATGGTGTGTCTGCATATGTAACCCGCCGTTCCATCGTTTACCGTTAAGAGACCAGGAGAGAGAAACAGAGTTTCGTAACATCGAGATGCATGGCGTTTTGGGCATTGCAGAGAGTTGCGGAATGCAGCATGCAGAACGCCCGACTGGTTTTAGGGGTCCAAAAAGGTGACGTCTAGATGTGTTGGGCGTGCCAAAAAGTTAGATGGCTGATGGCGGGGATCAGCTTGTCAGCAACGGTACACGTAGCGTGCGTACTGGGACATGATCCAACGAGCAGAGGCGGGGTTTGAGAAGGGGGATTGGCTACACCGTCAGATGGGAAAAAACGAGATCCCGCCGTGGCATTCACACAAAGGTGCATCCTTGTGGTTAGGATACATTCAGGTTGCTATCGCGGGCGCTGGAGACTGCGTTTTGGAAATGTCGGTCAGTTGGGAGGGTGTGTGTGCGCGCTGCTGCCGGGCGTGTGGTTCGTGAAGGATGTGGCTGGGGGCGGGCAGCAGGAAGCAGGAATTAGGCTCCGACCCCACGCCGGATCGTGATGTGCATGCTGGGAACTCCTCTCCGCGATTATCGGGCTGTTGTTATTCATGCAAGTGCGATGGCGTGTTTACGTTGCGGTCGTGGTCGTGGTCGTGGGCTACGTGTTCGTGAATGGCAGGGCGCGCGCCTTGGGCCGGCGGTCGGGTTCCGGGTGGGTCTCGCGGCCGGCACGGGGGCTGGGAGGTTGAGTCACAAGGTCGGGGTCAGGTCGCGGTGTGGCGGTCGGATGCTGCGGTCGCGTTCCATTTGTCAGTAACAACAGTGAGATGCCGATGCACACGACAGTCTCAGTGTCAGGTCTGGCGACGGAACGCGTGCCTCTCAGTGGCATTCGACGTCGCGGGGTGCTGCACTGCTGCCGTAAGCTATCAGACCATCAGGTTTAGGCATTAGGTCAGCCCGCCCCGAATCCGCGGACACAGGCCGTGGTAGAGTGCTTAGAGCCAAGGTCAAGTGATTTCATCCCTGTCTGTTCGCCCGGCAGTCAGCCAGGCAGGCCCGCAACGCGAACCCGAGTGCTCCGGCTGTGCGAAATCGAGAAAGTGTCAAAGATGTGGTCTGCTGTAGGTTGGGTTGACTGGTGTGGCTTGGGCCAATAGTTCGTCGCCCCTGGGTGCTGTCTGAAGCGTTGCGAGTTACGCCTGATTGATTTTCTGGGGAGCATTGGCACCCATGCGAACGTCGAAGGCCTGCTGCGCCGACTCAGCCTCAACCCGAGCCCGCAGGCCACCTTGCGCATCGATTTCTTGGCGTTGGCAGACTCGCTTTCTGACCATTGGCATCATACGGCCCGGCGGGCTTGGCGAGGTCCGGAAGGCTATGAGCCTCTCAGCCTGGAAAGGGCCGGCTGGCTGGCCATGGTGTAAGCACCGATAACGAGAGGATGCCGAGTCCTCCTGCGATGCCTATGACTAGATCATCCTCGGAAGGAGTCGACAACAATGTGGAAGATGGCTCAAGCGGGCACTGTCATGTCGCCGTATTAGTCGCCAGGCGATGAGGACTCAGCCACGACTTCGGATGCACACGCTAGGGAAACCAGCTTGACCCGACTGTCCGTCGTGAAGCTGACGAAGCTTCAAACAACGTGGAATTCGTCTGAAAAGAGGAAACAGACATCGAAACAGGAAAGCGGGAGGGAGTCGCTGCGTTCGCGTGCGCGGGCTGAGTCGACTTTGGGCGGGTGTCTTTATAATTGACACCGTTGACATTGCCCAAGCGGTAGTGATCCGATCTCAGCACAGGCTGTGCCGCTCCCACTCGTTGACAAAGCAGCATATCCGAAGTTTCCGTTCCAGAAACTTCGTTGTATCGTGCCGTCGTTCGAGAAGCTCGCGTGGCACTTGTGCTGTCATGAAGGTTGTCGGCTGGTAGGCTGCTGATAGAGCATACTGGAAAGTCAAGTGCGGCATCTCCAGAGGCGTTCAATCAAGTGTTCGTAAACGAAGTCGACGTCCTTCCATGTTCGAGTATTTTCGGCATGCCGAACATATTTGCTTCTTCCTCTGGCGCATCATCATCTCCGTAGCACCGAGTGAGATGGAAGAATTCCCCATGCGAGTACTGGCATCGGCCTTTCCATTCGGTAAGCAGCGAAAGACCGGCAAGTCCAACGTTCTGCAGCTCTCATCAGTAGAGACGCTTCTGATCGGATTGGATTTGGGTTCTCAATGATCGACAGGAACGGCGACAAGGGTCGACGAGGAGGAGGAGGCAACAAGATCTGATAACCAAGGGTCTGCAAATGGAGCAATAGGAATCGAGACTGCGCTTAGCAATACAGGAGAGGCGTGGGTCATCCTGCAGCTAACGGCTAGCGCAGTGCGGGGAGACGCGGCAGACGCCCCAGACGCCATCGGTGGGTGTGCAACCTCCAATGGCAGGCCATTGATGTGCGAAGAGGGTGGGCAATGAGTCGAGATGACTCCAGATCTCTCCAATGTGGTGGTTCTGACAGCGGGTGCCCGTGAATTGTAATCGGAAGGTTCATGTCGATTCCAGACCCAAGCGCGTTGCTTTGGCGTATCAGCGCGTCGCTTGAGGCACCAAAATGAAACCTGGACGGACCCATAGTGAGCAGATTACGTCACAATCTGCGCTTTTTCTGCGGAAAAAGCAGTGCAAACACTGTGCCATGGCAGACATCAATACAGTGCCTGGACTGTGCGGAAGGAGGCAACTTCGGTCGCCGAATGCCAAAAATCTGCAAGGCACAAAACGCGCACCCAAAAAAGGCAAGGGGCAATCTGGTCAGCCAACATTGCAAAGCAGCACAATTGCCGCGGAATGAAAAGTCAAATGGGCTAGGAAAGGGGAAATGACAGATGGCATTGCCGTACATAAGGCGCCTTACTTTACCTGAGATAATAAAACCATGGGTGTCCTGCCTTTTCTGTTCCGTCGCAACTTCTCGGCTGGCAAGCAAGGGATTCCGGGCTTTGACCACACCCTTTCGGCCACTGACAACCTGGAACTTTACGCTCTGCGCCGTCGATCTATTACAACTACATCCACACACAGCATCGACTAGTAGGCCACCGCAGCTCATTACGCCTCCCTTCATCGCTGGTTTCTCCGGTATTATCGTCCAGTGTCGTCGTCCGTCTCCGGCGCCCAAGTATTTGGCACAAGTTTAAAGTTCACCGCCGTCTTAAGGCCGGGTGGGCCTGTGACCGGAGAAGAGAGAAAAAAAGAAGAAAAAAAGAAGAAGAAAAAAAACCCAAAGATTCTGAATCGTCGACATTGTGTACGCGCCTTGGCCACCGTGGATACAAAAACGAAAGAAAAATTCAAACTAACGACCAAGCAGGATTACAGCAACCAGGGGCGAGGCTGCTAGAGAAGAAGACAGAGGAAGAGGCCGACGACGGACGCCAACAACGGCGACAGAAGCAACGATGAATCCACGCATCACCACTTCGTTTTTGCTCGCCAACCTTCACTGCCCGTCATGTGTGTATTCGATCCAACAGGCTCTCAAAGAGTCGTGCAGTCGCGACGTGATTTGGGTGTCACCCAACGTGGTGACCTCAGTCGTCACCGTTGAGCACAGGCACACTGAGACCCCCGAGGTCACTATCCGATGTATGGCGAAGGCGCTGCAAGAAGCTGGCTTTGAGATCAGTGGTGTGACGACGACGGCTACCACCACCAGTGACTTGGACGTACTGAATGAGCCGTCCGCGTGGCCCGATGCTGAATCGCCGGCTCAGCGAGAGGCTCATCTTTTGAATTGCAAACAGTGTCGCGACTCTGGGGAGTCTACCCCTCACGGCTCCTGTCGCTCACTCATGCACGACTACGCGTCAGACGACGCCAGTGCCAGCGGCAGCGGCAGCGGCAGCGACACACGCCGAGGATCAGGAACAGAGACGCCCGTCAAGTGGAGAGCAACCCTATCCATTGGGGGGATGACCTGTGCCTCATGTAGCAATGCCATCACCGAGGAGCTCAACAAGAAGGACTGGATCGACACCGCCGTCGTCAACTTGGTCACCAACAGCGCAACCGTCGACATTTCCGATAAGGCGGATGCTGAGAAGATTGCAGAGACCATCGAAGACATGGGATACGACGCCAACCTCGACAGTGTCGCAGAAGTCAGGCAAGAGGAGTCGGGTTCCAATCTGTGGAGGGCCGCCGTGGCCGTTGGGGGAATGACGTGTGCTTCATGCGCCAACACTATCACCGAGCAGCTCAGCAAGAACGACTGGGTTTCCAAAGTTTCGGTGAACCTAGTCACGAACAGCGCCACCGTCGACTTCACTGTAGAGGGTAAGCAAGACGAAATCGTTACTGCCATTGAGGACATGGGTTACGATGCCACGCTGGACAGCGTAAAGAGTGTCAAGTCCGAAAACAAGGGCGCTCAAGAGCGGACGGTTCAAATCTCAATCCACGGCCTCTACTGCCAACACTGCCCATCCCGGGTTTCACACTCTCTGAGATCATTCAAGCGCGTCAAGGTCATTTCAGAGCCCACGCCCGAGAAGCCCGTCATCAGCGTCAAGTACACGCCCGACGCACCGTCTTTTACTGTGCGCGAGATTCTTTCTGCTATCGACGCTGCGGATCCTGCCTTTCGAGCTTCGATTTACCATCCTCCCAGTCTCGAAGAGCGCTCTAAACTGATTACGCAGAAGCACCAACAGCAGCTTCTGAGGAGAATCTATCTGACCCTTGTCGTCGCTATCCCTACTTTCGTCATCGGCATCGTATACATGAGTCTTATTCCTGACACGGATGACGGCAAGCACTGGTTGATGAAGCCCTGGGTTTCAGGCATCAATCGAGCACAAATCGCCTTGTTCATTCTCTCGACGCCGGTCTACTTCTTTGCGGCCGACGTGTTCCATACCAGAGCTATCAAGGAGATTAGCAATTTGTGGCGCCCGGGCAGCAAGACCCCTATCCTTCGGCGCTTCTACAAGTTTGGCAGCATGAACATGCTGATGTCCCTCGGAACCACCATTGCCTATGTCTCGTCCATCTGTCAGATGATATCTGCTGCAATCAACAAGCCGGCGGAGATTGACGACACTCAGTTCTACTTTGATTCCGTGGTCTTTTTGACCATGTTCTTGCTTCTTGGTCGCCTGATCGAGTCGTACAGCAAGTCAAAGACTGGCGATGCGGTCGAGCTTCTGGGCAAACTCAGGCCTACGACAGCGATTCTGGTCACGAGAGCTTCCATCGGGAAAACAACAGATGCGACTGTTGGTGTCGACATGCTCGAGTATGGCGACATTATCCGCGTGCCTCACGGTGCCTCGCCTGCCGCTGACGGTATTGTTTTGCAAGGCGAGAGCAGTTTCGATGAGTCTAGCCTGACTGGCGAGTCTCGTCTTATTAAGAAGGTCCCCGGCGATGAGGCTCACGCTGGAACTGTCAACAAGGACTCGGCCATTCAAGTGCGCATTACTGGTGCTGCGGGCGCATCCATGCTCGATCGAATCGTTTCCATCGTTCGCGAAGGTCAAACAAAGAGGGCGCCGATGGAGCGCATTGCCGACATGCTGACGGCGTACTTTGTCCCGATCATTACCCTGATTGCAGTCCTGACTTGGCTTACCTGGATGATACTTGGCTATGCCGGTGTCATTCCCGACCGTTACCTCGATTCTGGGAGTGGCTGGGTTGCTTTCGCGTTGCAATTTGCAATCTCCGTCTTCGTTGTGGCCTGCCCCTGTGGCCTTGCTTTGGCAGCCCCGACAGCCATCTTCGTGGGCGGCGGCCTCGCTGCGAAGCACGGTATTCTTGCAAAGGGAGGTGGCGAGGCGTTCGAAAAAGCGAGCAATGTCGACGTCGTCGTCTTCGACAAGACCGGGACCCTGACTGTTGGCGGCGAGCCCAAGGTCACCGACACGAAACTGTTCCTCGACTTGGCGGAAACCAACATTGAAAGCAGCTTAGTATTGGCCACACTACGGGCAATCGAAGAAAACAGCAGCCACCCTGTTGCCAAGGCGATCGTTTCTTACTGCACGGCTCAGACCGAAGTCTGGGCAGAGGTGGAAAACGTTCAAGAATTGCCCGGCAAAGGCATCAGAGCGACAAACCGAGGTGATAAGCAGAGCGAATCTTTCGAAATGATTGTCGGAAATGAGGCTCTCATGCGCGACTTCAATGTCGAGCTCGTAGAGCAGGTGACTACCCAGCTCCAGATTTGGAAGACCGAGGCCAAGTCCGTTGCTTTGGCAGCCATCAAGTCAAAGGCCGACTCGGATGCGCCTTGGACGCTGGTTTTGGCTTTGTCCATCTCAGACCCTATTCGTCCCGAGGCGCTCCCCATCATTCGCGCACTCAAGGATCGTGGAACGCGTGTTTGGATGCTCTCGGGTGACAATTTCGTCACTGCCAAGGCGGTAGCATCGCGCGTTGGAATCAACCCTGACAACGTCCTGGCCGAGGTCCTTCCTTGGGAGAAGGCAGACAAGATCACGTACCTGCAGAACGTACTCAAAGCGCGGGTCGGCAGGTCGAGAGAGCATTCAACGAAGCGCGCCATGGTTGCCATGGTCGGAGATGGCATCAACGACTCGCCGGCGTTGACCAAGGCCGACGTGGGCATTGCCATTGGCAGTGGCAGCGACGTGGCTATTTCGAGCGCCGACTTCGTCCTCGTGACGAGTGATTTACGAGCGATAGTGACCCTCTTGGACCTGAGTCGCAAGGTGTTTGGGCGTATTAAGGTGAACTTTGGATGGGCCCTCATTTACAATCTTCTCGCTATCCCTATTGCCGCCGGTTGTTTATACCCCATCACAACATCCGGAGGACAGCATATCCGACTGGACCCCGTGTGGGCCAGTCTGGCGATGGCATTGAGCAGCATCAGCGTGGTTCTCAGCTCTCTGGCGCTGCGGACGAAAGTCCCTGGTTTTGGTTTCCGCCCGCGAGGGCTGTAACGTTATCATCGATCATTGTTGCCCTTGGGCATGTATTACTGTAAAATGCACTGAATAGCGCGGGGGCAACCCAATGTACAAGAAAGGAATAGAGCGCAGCAACAGCCTAATAGAATGAGTCAAAGGAGTACGTCGTCGCCCATCTTCGTCGTCCCTCTTGTTGTCCTCATGTGTCGCCTTCTCTCGTCGTCCCTCTCCGTCGTCCCTCTCCGTCATCCCTCTCCGTCGTCCCTCTCCGTCGTCCCTCTCCGTCGTCCCTCTCCGTCGTCCACTCTGAAAGTTCTAATCACTTACACCTTCTGCCATTTAACCTACCACAAGGGATTCAAGGCATCCTCAAGTCCCGTGTACTCATTGATGATAGTAATTCAATCCCTGGATAGATGAGTTACTTGGGTCATCCGAGTCACATGTGCAGCACCCATGGCCGTGGTGTTGGGCGGAAGTGGTGAAATCATCGGGGCGGGTACTGATGCCGCGGCCGAGCGGATACCGCACCGAGAACCGGCCGGGGAACCGACAGCCTGGGGACAAAAGGGTCCGGCAATTTTGCGATCGGACGGGATTGCCACCGAGGAAGCAAAATCTGGGGCAAAGACCGCATTGAGGCTTGCAATTCCGGGACGAGGAGGAGTCAAGTCGAGCACGCAATTGCAGGCGCGACGCGGATTTGGTAAGCCAGAGGTCCGGCCAAGGGACCTTTAGTGGAGCCAAAATGGTGCAATGTGGGGCTGCAGCACATGTCCCCGGGGCGTTGATTGGCGCGCGATGGCGCAATTGTCCCCTAGTCAATTCTGCGAGCTTCAACAATTTCCAAACGCCGAGTTTCGCACGCCAACATGAGCAAGAAGAGAGAGGTTGACGAACCGCAACTGGCGCATGAGCATGGCTGGGGCCCGGGAGGAGCAGCAGCGGCTTCCATTGCTAGGTAATCTGCGGCAAAGGACTGGTAAGGTGAGCCCGGCTAAGGACAAGTCCCCCTTGTCACTCTCTTTTGCTTTGCTTATTTTTTTTTTATATTCCTTCGGACCCTGCTCGGAGTCTTCGACTTTGAGATACCTTCGTCTTTTACTTACCAATCCCCTTCCCTCCCACGATCCCAAGGTCCTCCTAGAACGAAGAAGCTGTCGTTCGGGTTGACGCAAGTGAGTTTGCTTGCCCTTGGTGAATCAATTGCTTGTTCGAGACCATTCTCTTGCGCGTGGTCCGGCTTCTCTTTCTGGTCTTTCGTCTATACTTGACCATCTTTAATCGCATCTTCTTTGCTGTATTTACTCCCACGTTTCTCTCGAGACAACCTCCAAAGATGCAGTTCAAGCAGCAGGAGAGCAGCGGCTCTGCCGCCGTTCTCGATGCCAAGTCTCCCGCCCCCGTTGCTCCCGTCAAGAAGGTCTCCTCCACTCTTCCCTTTGGCCAGCCCGTGGCCCTCGCCTCCATCTCCGGACCGACCTACGTGACTGCGCAGCTGCTCGTTCAGCAGGTCGCCTACCTCCTGTCCGACAAGATCTTCTCCTACTCCGCCCCGACTTTCGATCTCGATGTTGCCGCCAAGGCCTGGGCCGAGGCCAAGGAGAAGAACATCCACGGCGAGGCCACCGACCTCGTCCAGCTGCAGACCAGGACCGGCGCCGGCGCGCTCGCTCTGGGCTACATCTTCAGCCCAGACTTCGACCTGGCCAAGAGGCACCTGCCCCAGACTCTGCTCGCGCCTACCCTGAGCTTGAGGAACCTGCGCGCTGCTCTTGACCAGCTGAGCCTCCTCTACGGAGTTGCCTCCCCCTTCGTTGCCCACGTCGCGGCTCTCGACTACGATGCCGCAAACGGTCTGGTCTCCGACTACGACACTGCTCTGCGCACCGCCGAGGAGCTTGGCCTCGGTCTGGTTGCCAGCTCCAGCGCCTACGAGACCCAGCACATGGCTCTCTTCGCGACCCTCATGGCTGCTCTCATGCCCACTCTTCACATCTACGACGGTGTTAGACTCGCCCGCGAGACTTCCCGTATCGTTGACGCGCTGAGCGAGAGCGGTATTGCCGATCTCTACAAGAACATCACATCCGAGTCCACTGGTGTCACTGAGAGAGCCGCCATCTCTTCCAAGGTCGCCGACCTCCTGGATGTGTTCAACAAGCACCTCGACCCCACCGAGGACCACGAGAGCCAGCACACTGCTCTGTTAGCCACCCTCATGACCGCTCTCACCCCCAGCCTGGGCGTTGAGGACGGTGTCAAGCTCGCCAAGAAGACCCTCAAGGCGTCCGACCCCATGGGGAAGAAGGGTGTTGCCGAGACCTACCAGAAGATCTCCAGCGAGGTCCAGTCTCTGAACAAGAGGCTTGACGACGCCGGCAAGGTTGTTGAGCTCCTGAAGCTCTTCAACAACGAGCTCGGCACCAACTACGAGCTCTTTGAGTACTACGGACACGACGAAGCCGAGAACGTACTCGTCGTCTTCGGCAGTGCCGAGGCTCAGCTCGCGAAGCAGGTCGTCACCCGTCTCGCTGCCGACGGTGCCAAGGTTGCCGCCATCAACGTTCGCGTCTACCGCCCCTTCGTCGAGGAGGCCTTCCTGGCTCGCATTCCCGAGTCTGTCCGCACCGTCTCCGTCTTGGGTCAGGTCAAGGACGACATCTCCGTCAACGACGGCTCTCTGCAGTCTGCTCTGTACACCGATGTTCTGACTGCCATCTCCTTCGCCGGCAAGTGGCGCCAGGACCCGGCTGTCAGGGACGTCAAGTACTCCGCCTCGGAAGCCTTGACCCCCCAGACTGTTGCCGACATCTTTGGCAAGCTCCAGAACGCCCAGGCCGAGTCCAAGCCTTTCCCCTCTCTGGTCCAGGCCCACCAGTACACCTTCTGGGACGTCGACGACTCTGCCGCCGCCGACTCGCCCGTCGTTGTCAGCAACCTGCTGTCCCGCGAGTCCACCAGCAACGTGTACGTTCACGAGTCGTTCGATAACCTTACCCAGGGTGGTATCGTCCGCACCGACATCCGCAGCTCCAAGAAGGCTGTCGAAGCTCCTTACGCTATCGAGGAGGCCGACGTCGTTGCTGTCGGTGACGAGAAGCTTCTCAAGGATCTTGACGTTCTCAAGAGCGTCAACGCCAATGGCAAGCTTCTTCTGAAGCTCCCCAACTTCAAGGAGGAGGACGTCGAGAAGCGTCTCTCCCCTGTCGTGCGCAAGCAGATCCAGGACAAGGGCATTGAGCTCTACGTTCTCGATGTTGCCGCCTCTCCTGCGTTCGAGAAGGAGCCCCAGGTCGTCAAGTTCCTCTTTGAACTTGCGTTCCTCCAGATCGCCCGCCCCGACATCTCTGCCGAGGAGGTTGCCAAGATCGCCCTCATTGAGGGCTTCCCCAACACCCTCGCCGAGTGCGTCGACGCTCTCGGCCAGTGCCTGCGCAAGGTCGAGTCCCAGGCCGCCTGGGCCGAGCTTCCCGAGGACGTTGTTGTCAGCGCTCTGCCCTCGACCATCAAGCCCAACAGCTTCGTCGCCTTCGACAAGGAGGAGCCCGAGGTCGAGTCCAAGCTCGTCGACTGGCAGGCTGCTGCCAAGGGTCTCGCTTTCAAGGAGGCGTACGGCACCCAGGCTACCCTGCGCCCCGAGCTGCCCGTCAAGACGTCTACCGTCACCGTCAAGGAGAACCGTCGTCTTACCCCCGCCACGTACGACCGCAACATCTTCCACATCGAGTTCGACCTCGGCGACTCCGGTGTCACCTACAACATCGGCGAGGCCCTTGGCATCCACGCCGAGAACGATGACAGCGAGGTCCGCGAGTTCATCGAGTGGTACGGCCTCGACCCCAACGCCCTCGTCCAGGTCGCCGCCCGCGAGGACCCCAACGCCTTCGAGACCCGCACCGTCTACCAGTCCCTCAAGCAGAACATCGACGTCCTCGGAAAGCCGCCCAAGCGCTTCTACGAGGCCCTCGCCGAGTTCGCGACGGACGACAAGGAGAAGGAGATCCTCAACGGTCTCGGTGGCCAGACTGGCGCCGAGGACTTCAAGAAGCGCTCCGAGGTCGACACCCTCACCTATGTCGACATCCTGCAGGAGTTCCCCTCGGCCCGCCCGTCCTTCCACGACCTCGTCCGCATCATCTCCCCCCTGAAGCGCCGCGAGTACTCCATCGCCTCCGCCCAGGCCGTCACCCCCAACTCCGTCGCGCTCATGATCGTCGTCGTCGACTGGGTTGACCCCAGAGGCCGCACCCGCTACGGCCACGCCACGCGCTACCTCAAGGACCTCCCCGTCGGCGCCAAGGTCACCGTCTCCGTCAAGCCTTCCGTCATGAAGCTGCCCGCCTCCCCCAAGGCGCCCCTCATCATGGCCGGTCTCGGTACCGGTCTCGCCCCCTTCCGCGCCTTCATCCAGTACCGCGCCCTCCAGAAGGCCCGCGGCGAGGAGATCGGCTCCATCCTGCTCTACCTCGGATCCCGCCATCAGCGCGAGGAGTACCTCTACGGAGAGGAGTGGGAGGCCTACCTCGACGCCGGCGTCATCACGCACCTCGGCGCCGCCTTCTCCCGCGACCAGCCGCAGAAGATCTACATCCAGGACCGCATGCGCGAGTCCATGCGCGACCTGGTGCAGAGCTACATCAAGGACGAGGGCAGCTTCTACCTCTGCGGTCCCACCTGGCCCGTTCCCGACGTTACTGACGTGCTCATGGAGGCCATCAACACGGAGGCCAAGCAGAGCGGCAAGAAGGTCAACGCCCGCAACGAGATTGAGAAGCTCAAGGAGGAGGACCGCTACATTCTCGAAGTGTACTAGATTGTCGCGCTTGGACACATTGCTGGATTTGCGTGTTACATATAGTCATCTACGGCCGCGGGCCTTGCGAAAAGTTTCTTTGATTACATAGCGGGCTGTCCTACTTAAGCACTCATCAATTCTCTAAACAATTAGACTCATCGCACCAGCGTCGTGATATTTCCTTTCCAATTGGTGCTGCCATGCTAGCTTGCGCGTGCTTTCCAATCTCGCAATGCATATTTACGCTCATCGTATCCAATCCACCGTATTAATGCGTCAAAGAAGCCTCAAACAACCCCCTCAACTGCTCCCTCTCCTTCTGCAGCTCCGTCTCCAACCCGGGGGCGAGCATCAGCACCCTGGCCTGCGGGATGGTGCCCTCGACGAGATCGTCCAGGTGCTCCGTGCCGAAGCCGAGCTCCTTGATGCCCGCGGGCTGGTCGCCGAGGTCGGCGAGGAACTTTGTCAGCGCGTCGGCCAGCACAGCGCCGGCGTCCTCCTTGCGCACGCGGGAGACGTCGACGCCGAAGGCCTCGGCGGCTGCGAGGTGGCGCTCCGGGTTGGAGGCGCCGGTGAAGCGGAAGACGGCTGGGGCGGTCACGGCGACGGACACGCCGTGCGGGATGATGGGGTAGTTCACCTTGTAGCCGGAGTGCTGATAGCCTGGGTTCTGGCCCGAGATGGGGTAGGACATGCCTGTTGGGGGATGGTCAGCGTTTCCGGGGCTCTTTGGCATGTTCAAGGGGTACTGATCGTACCGTGGCAGAGGTGGACTCCGGCGTTTCCGAAACCAACACCGGCGAGCGTCGCAGCGAGGAGCATCTCGCTTTGGGCCTCAAAGTCGTCCGGGTCGCGGACGGCGCGGGGGAGGTACTTGACCGTCGCGCGCAGGGCGTGAAAGGAGAAGACGTCGCTGATGGGGTTGGCGCCCTGGTACGCGGGGCGGAGGATGGGGTTCTTGGGGCGGGGGACGCGCTCGTGGAAGGGGATGGCGGTCCAGGACTCGAGGGAGTGGCACAGCACGTCGAGGCCGGAGGCGGCTTTTACGGCGGAGGGCATGGTGCGGGTGTTGAGGGGGTCGCAGATGCCGAGGGTGGGCTTGAGGTTCCTGTGGGCGACGCCGGTCTTTGCGCGCTTGGAGACGAGGTCGAAGATGGCGGTGCCGGTGGTCTCGGAGCCGGTGCCGGCGGTGGTGGGGACGGCGATGAGGGGCTTCAGGGGCTTGTCGACGGGGCGGCCGTTGCCGAGGGGCGCGTTGACGAAGTCGAGGAAGGGGGCGTCGGGGTAGCACGAGTAGAGGTTCATGAGCTTGGCGGTGTCGATGACGGAGCCGCCGCCGACGGCGAGGAAGGCGTCCGGGGCGAAGGGGCGGGCCCAGTCGATGGCCTCGCGGACGGAGCTGTCCTTGGGCTCGACGCGGGTCTGGTTGTAGACCTTGTAGTTGATGCCCTCGCGGTCGAGGGCCTCGCGGACCTGCTGCATGGCGAAGAGGCCGTCGACGGTGGGGTCCGTGACGACGGCGACGCGCTTGGCGCCCATGTTGGCGAAGTCCATGCCGACCTCCTGCGTCGAGCCCGGGCCGAAGCGGATGGAGGAAGCGGCCATCTCGAAGGCGTACTCCTTCTGGGAGTGGTCGACCGGGGTTGCGAAGCCGCGAGAGGAGGTCCGCAGGGGCCGCGGGGTGAAGTTAAGCGGGGAGTGGTTGTGGTGGTGGCCTGGGTTTGTGTGGCAGGGGCATGATGGCGGATGGGCTTGGATTGTCCTCAGGAGAGAGACGGCGCGGGACGCGGCCTGGAGGATGTCGTGAGATGAGAGCTCGTGAGGGGGGTTGGGAGGCGACTTACGTTGGGGATGACGCGGAGTGAAGGCGTCATTGTGGGCGGTTTGTGTATGAGATGCTGATATACAAGGTGTAGCACTATGGTACAGATGGATGGCTTACAAGATTGGGTGAGATAGAGGCTGGATGCGAGATATGAGAATCACGAACGGCAAATGTGAGACGAGAGATGATGTGAAGCTCTCGGTAAACTCAAGGTGGAAAGGGAGCGATGTCGGGATTCAGGTCCCGCGGCTCCTCCGCACAGAGCTGCCCGCTCAGGCTAGGCCATGTTGGAGTGCCCATGGTCGACTACGCCGGGGGGAAGTGTTTGGAGGCGTCTTCCCCCGCATCGAGGCTCCACTTGCCGGCCGAGCGATCTAGATGTGGAGCCCGTTTGCCGAGGTACACTAACATGGATCGAATTCTCTCCAAAAGTGGCCCTACTTTTGAGTCTTGTTCTCCGTCATGTATCTCGAATGCATCTGCCTGAGGGGAGCAGTTTTCTTACTTACTGCAGCCTGAGCTAAACATTCAGGCAGGCGCTGGATGACCACGCGGATTGAAGCAGTAAGACGGCGAGACATCCACTTACATCCACGCAAGCGGAGTACGTATTCCCCGGTAGGCAACACTTCCTTGCACGACCTGCCTGATGAAGCAAGTCGGAGCCCTCAAATCGACCAATTGACCAATCATTCACAATGGTTCATGATGATTCATCCGCCAAAGTGGAGGTTCTCGCGATCCTTCGCACGACGATTTTGCGATGAGGACTATGTCATTGTGCAAATCGAATAGTATAAAACGAAGGCCATTGAATGGAAGAGAGAAAGAATAATCAATCAGGTCAAAGGGCAGCTCAGCACGCTCAATAATACCCTATTTGACTTATCAAAACATCGCCATGTCCACTCAATCAACCACCCGCGGCCGCATCCGCGACATCCTCCCGAATCTCCACCTCGGAACCTGGCCGGCCGGCCCCAAGAACTCCATCACCGATATCCCCGGCATCCTGGCATCCACACAAGAAATCCACACCGACGAGGGCGTCAACACCGGCGTGACCGTCATCCTGCCGCACAAGGACTGGTTCAAGGACGCGTGCTACGCCGGCGTCTTCCGCTTCAACGGCTCCGGCGAGCTGACCGGGTCGCACTGGATCGAGGAGACGGGCCTGCTCGCCAGCCCCATTGTCCTGACGAACTCCTTCTCCGTCGGCGACTGCTACCGCGGCATCTACGAGTACTCCATCAAGAACTACTCCAATGAGAAGGGCGAGGTGGAGTGGTTCCTGTTGCCCGTTGTCGGAGAGACGTTCGACGGGCATCTGAACGACATCTCGAAGCTAGCCGTCAAGCCTTCGGACGTGATCAACGGCATTGAGACGGCCACGGATGCTCCTGTGCGGGAGGGCAATACCGGTGGCGGCACCGGCATGATCTGCCATTACTTCAAGGGCGGCACGGGCTCGAGCAGTCGTGTTGTCGAAGGATTCGACGGCGAGGGCAACAAGAAGATTTACACCGTCGCGGCGCTGGTGCAGGCCAACTACGGCAAGGCGGCGCACCTGCGCATCGGCGGGTTCCCCGTCGGCCGCATCCTCGAAAAGGAGAAGGCCGACTCCTTCGTCGAGGTCGCCAAGCACAAGGACAAGAAGGACGGCTCCATCATTGTCATCATCGCCACCGACGCGCCCCTGACGCCCATTCAGTGCCAGAGGCTCGCCAAGAGAGCGACGGTCGGGCTGTCGAGGGTCGGCGGGTATGGCCACAACCCGTCCGGCGACATTTTCCTCGCCTTCTCCACGGGCAACCACATTCCTGTGCAGACTATCAGCATGGAGAGACGCGAGGTCGATCCGTGGAAGGCGAAGGCGTTGAAGATTGAGTCCATTGACGATACCAGCATCAACGGACTGTTCGAGGCTGCGGCCGATGCGACGGAGGAGAGTATCTACAACGTGTTGTGCTCTGCCGAGACCATGACCGGTTTCTGCGGCCGGACGATCGAAGCACTGCCTTTGGATCGATTGAGGGAGATTATGAAGAAGTATGATTCATAGTACTATCTGGTTTGTCTGCAGTCAATAGCATCGCTTTCTACCCGTGGAAGAGAGGTCCCAGAGTGAATGACAGCAGTATCGATCAACAATCGCTCAGTTTCTCTTCCGCTTTGCCCAACAGTCTACTTCGTTACTCACCGCTATCTTTTGCTGGCTGGTCCCTTTCCGAGGAGGTCAGCGTACAGCTTGTGGCAGCCAGCATCTTTGATCGCATTCAGTTGTCCCGTTACTTGTTCCAATACCCTGATCCACTCGTCCTCAGTCATCCGACCCCGGTACTTCATTGCACAGTCGAGAAGGGGCTGCTCGGCATCCTTGACTTCGCTGATGGCGTTATAGAGTTGCACTCGCGTCCTGACCCATCTTGGCCTGGCTGACTCGTTCAAGCGCTTGGTATCGTTGATGTCGTACGGGTTTGGTGCTTGTTGGTATAGGTCTCTCATCAAATTACTGGCGGCTTGGAACTTGATGCGTAAATCATTATGGAGCGCGTGCCTTGGAACATCGGTCAGTTTCTCCTCAACGATGATGACAGATGGGGACATACAGAGGCTCCTAAAACTCTTTTCTAGTTTTTGTGGCCTGTTCTCTGGCCTGTCGTTCTCTGGCCTCTTGCTCCCTGGCCTACTGTTGCCTAGCCTGTTCTTCCCTGACCTTCTTCGCCTCTCGTTTCCTTGCCCTTGCGCTTGTCCTCTTACTTGCCGTTGTCTTCTTATTTGGGTCAGCCATTGAAGCTTATTCGTGCTTTGAGATGCTTTGAGTATCTTCCCTATGTTATGGCTGATGTTGGAATTCGCGAACGGTAAGTGTGTGGAGTGTGAAGTTGAAGAAAATCAACGACGACATCTTCCAGGGGGAAAGAGGTGGTTTGCATGTGGTGCCCGAGACGAGGTAGTGCCCTCCTAGATCCCCAGTACAGGTTTTTTGGGAAGGCATTGGCTTCCATATCTTTCAGGAGCTTTTGACATAGATGCACTTTGGAAAGAGGAACCCAAGAATCGCCAATTTGGGCTAGTGGAGGGGGCTGACAGGTTCAACTCCCCAAAATTGTCCTGAACTTTTGCTTTCTGAATCTTTGCTTCAATTCTTTTTTTCAAAACACTACCTGTATCCAACATGGGGAAAGTATCATAACATTAGCGATAGAGGCTCGTTCAGATGTTGGTAAGACTGAGAACCTTGGCAAGACACCCCATGAGAGTCGCTCATCTCACAGGACGGCGTAGGCCGTCCGCAGATATGTAAAGCCTCCTATAGCCTCAATTACAGCTATAATCTTCTGATATAAGCCTAAAACTGTTAATAATTCGTGAGACTGCCTAACTTTTCTGCGTTCGCGCGGTTGTTTTAGTGACTTTAATAAAGACAAGAACGACGACGAACGAAGACGATAGCTAACAGCGACAGACAATGATAACGGCAATCATCATAGCAACTACGACAGCAACAACGATAGCAAGCACACAGGAAACGAAGTCGCTCTAGCATTCAGTTCATATACACAGTTGCTGCTTGCGAATTCGCTGGGCGATGTGTAAAATTAAACCGTCGGGAGATCTAGGTTGGTTTGGACGACGTTGGGTCGCGTGGAGGCTCAGGGGCTAGTCGTGCAAAAATACAGTGTGCGACTACGAGGATCACAGTAGCATAACCCCTCCCCCACGTAGCGATTTTGGAAGTCTGCCCCTCCATCCAGGGCGGTGAGTCAGGGCAATTGCTTTTTTGACTCAGTGTGCGCCACTACCCCGCTGCAGCCAATACACTGGTCTGGTGCCCCTCGTCCCGGCTTTAAATAATTTTGACTGGTACATCTTCGATCGCGAAACGCAGGATTTTTGGTGAGTCAAAGCCGACCCTGAGGTGACTCGCAATCAGCCTCGAAAGAGAACACCAGCCATTTATAAACACCGATCTCTTCCCCGTATTTCACAAACTGACAGGGGAAACTCTTCCAGGCAAATACCCCGCAATCCGCAACCATGGCCGACTCCAGCGCCCCCGAACCCCCCACCGAGCAGGTGGCCAAGCTTCTGCTTGACGAGGTCACCGGCGAGATGATCTCCAAGACCGAGCTTAAGAAGCGCCAGAAGGCCCGTGAAAGGGAGGCTCAGAAGGCTGCCAAGGCCGCCGCCGCCCCTCCTAAGCCTGCTGCTGCTAAGAAGGGCAACGCTGAGGCCGACGAGAAGAACCTCGACCCCAGCCAGTACTTTGAGAACCGATCTCGCACCATCAACAAGTATGTCTCATATCTGGGTCAATTGGATGGAAATATATGCTGATCGGACTGGAACAGGCTGCGCGAGACCAAGTCTCCCAACCCCTACCCCCACAAGTTCCACAGTAAGTCCCCCGAACCATTTCGGACCACGAAAGAACGGACCTGATACGAATATAGCCGACTACGATCTGCGCAAGTTCACCAGTGACTTCGGACACCTCAAGTCCGGCGAGAGCGACAAGTCCAAGGTCATCCGTGTTGGTGCCCGTATCTACAACAAGCGTGCCTCCGGCAACAAGCTCTTCTTCTACGATGTCCGCGCCGAGGGCGTCAAGGTCCAGGTCATGGCTCAGGCGCAAGAGGTCGCCGAGGGCACACCGTCGTTCGAGGATCAGCACCTGCACCTTCGCCGAGGTAAATACCAGAACCGATACGCGGAGGAGACATAGGCTGACATGGTCCAGGTGACATTGTCGGTATCATTGGTTACCCCGGAAGGTTCGTGTCGCGTGACTTGGTAAACAGGAATCTCAATTCTAACGAACACCCAACAGGACAGCACCCAAGTCCAAGATCGAGAAGGGCGAGGAGGGTGAGCTCTCCATCTTCGCCACGGAGTTCATTCTCCTGACCCCCTGCTTGCACACCCTGCCCGACGAGTACTACGGTTTCAAGGACCACGAGGAGCGCCACCGCAAGCGTTACCTCGACCTGATCATGAACGAGAAGAGCCGACAGATCCTCATCGCCAGATCCAAGATCGTTACATACATCAGAAGGTACTTTGACGACAGGGTTAGTTGGGACTCATTCGCAAGCTTCACACCGAACCCTTGAAACTTACACCACACAGGATTTCGTCGAAGTCGAGACCCCTATGATGGGTCCCATTGCTGGTGGTGCCACCGCCAAGCCCTTCATCACCCACCACAACGACTTGGACATGCAAATGTTCATGAGAATCGCCCCCGAGCTTTACCTCAAGGAACTCGTTGTTGGCGGTCTCCACCGCGTCTACGAGCTTGGCCGCCAGTTCCGCAACGAGGGCATTGATCTCACCCACAACCCCGAATTCACCACCTGCGAGTTCTACCAGGCTTTCGCCGATGTCTACGACCTCATGAAGACAACCGAGGAGCTCGTCTCCGGCCTTGTCAAGCACCTCACCGGCGGCTACAAGACCAAGTTCCACACCCAACACGGAGAGGTCTACGAGGTCAACTGGGAGGCCCCCTGGAAGCGCTTCGAGATGATTCCCGAGCTTGAGAAGGCCACCGGCGAGAAGTTCCCCCCGGCCGACCAGCTCCACACCGCCGAGACCAACGAGTTCCTCCAGAAGGTCCTCAAGAAGATGAAGCTCGAGTGCTCGCCGCCCCTGACCAACGCCCGCATGATCGACAAGCTTGTCGGCGAGTACATTGAGGAGCAGTGCGTCAACCCCTGCTTCATCTTTGGCCACCCGCAGGTCATGTCGCCCCTTGCCAAGTACCACCGTGAAATCCCCGGTCTTTGCGAGCGTTTCGAGGCCTTTGTGTGCAAGAAGGAGATTGCCAACGCCTACACCGAGTTGAACGACCCCTTCGACCAGAGACTCCGCTTCGAGGAGCAGGCCAACCAGAAGGACCAGGGTGACGACGAGGCCCAGCTCATTGACGAGAACTTCTGCATGTCTCTCGAGTACGGTCTGCCTCCTACCGGAGGATGGGTAAATTTTGTTTTCCGAGCACTACGACAGGACCACGAACTAACAAATTGTAGGGTATGGGTATCGACAGAATGGTCATGTTCTTGACCGATAACTACAGTATTCGTGAGGTCCTTGCCTTCCCCTTCATGAAGGAGGAGAAGCAGGCGGAGAAGAAGGCCTCCGCCGCGGAGGTCGTTGGCGTCAAGCCCGTCCCTGAGGAGGGTATTGGTATGTCTCACTTAGCCCTTCGTCGCTAGTTCATGTCTGACTAAACGTATCGCAGCCCACAAGTAGAGGATCAACACATTAGATGAATGGACTGGTATGTCAAGAGACGAATGATGTTGTCATCATTGCTAGTCGTGAGGGCACTCGAAGGCGCCAACCAAAAACAAAAGATATCCGGCAGACATTCCATAGTCTAGAGTTGAGCTTCTATTTTAAATGAAAAAAAGGTTTTAGACAGGAGATGTGATGAACCAGACCTCAAAAGGGTGGTCGTGAAACGCATTCCGCCCCTATTGCGTGTTGCTACAGCTGTTATACATATCTACTTTTCTGTGTTCATGTGCCGTAATGCCATAATGTCAAATCGCTGCCATAATGCAGGTATCAATGCTATTTTAACTCAGGAAAAAACGCTAGCCTCAGAGAGAACATGCCCTTCAAGGCTTAATGTTCATGGCCTTGATCCGCTTCTGGACCATAGCGAGGGTGGACTTGGGCACGCGCAGACGGTGACCCAAGACCAGGGCGCCGGTCAACAGGGCCAGGGCGCCGGCCTGGTGCGTCGCGGCCAGGTGTGTGGGGACGATGTAGATGAGGGTGCTGATGCCAAGGGTGGCCTGCAGCAGGACCAGGTGGACGGTACCGAGTACGCCCTTCTTGACGTCCTTGGGGAGGGCGGCAGCGACGCGGCCGGTGCGGGAGTAGGCGAAGAGGGAGAGGATGGCGGTCAGGGTGGTCATGGCGAGGATGCGGTGGTCGAGCTGGACAGTGCTGGGGTTCTCGAGCATGTTGCGCCACCAGAGATCGGAGCCGTCGTCCTTGCGGGAGTAGAACTTGTCCCAGAGCTCCTTGGCGGGAGGGGTCAGGCCGAGGCCCATGTAGGGGAACTCGTTGTAGATGAGGCCGGCGTCGAGGCCGGCGACGAGGGCGCCGGACATGGCGGTCGTGAAGACGAGGGCGACGAGGGCAAAGGAGAGGCGGCGGAAGGTCTTGATGGCCGGGTTCTGCAGCGCGGCGAGGGCCTTGGAGGCGGCGACGGGGTCGGCGAGCAGGCGGCGCGTGCGGAAGATGGACAGGGCCGTCATGAGCATCCAGGAGTAGCAGACGAAGGCGGTGGCGAGGTGGGCGGTCAGGCGGTACTGGGAGACGCGGGGGTGGGAGCCGGGAGCGAAGAGGTCGTCCTTGAGGCCGGACTTGACCATCCACCAGCCGATGAAGCCCTGGAAGCCGATGAGGCAGGAGATTCCGCAGAGATTGAGGGCCATCTTGGGCGTGACGCGGCGGCGGGCGATGAAGTACAGAGTCGGCAGGACGAAGGACATTCCGATGAAGCGGCCCCAGAGGCGGTGAGACCACTCCATGAAGTAGATCTTCTTAAACTCGTCCATGGTCATGTGCGGGTTGAGGAGCTTGAACTCGGGAGAGGCGCGGTACTTTTCGAATTCGGATTCCCAATCGGCTTCGTTACGAGGGGGCATGGAACCGGTTACGGGACGCCATTCGGTGATACTCAAGCTGATTACGGTGTTAGTCAAGCTCCAGGAGAGTTCTGTCGAGGTGCAGGCATACCCAGATTCAGTCAACCTCGTAAGACCACCCCAGACAACGATGCCAAAGACACTGACGGCGGAACCAAGAAGCCAGTAGGCCACCGACTTGGAGTTCGTCTCCGGCCAGGCGCTCTTCTTGACGGTGTCCTTGGCGGCCTCGGTGGCCTGCTGGATAATCGGAGAGGTCTTGTCGACGACGGCGTTGCTGCTGAAGCTCAGGGGCGCCTTGGTCTGGTTGAAGCATCGGGTCTGCTGCTGCTGCTGCGATCGTACGATGTCGAGGATTCGAGAGGACGAGGAGCGCCATTGCGGCTGTTGGCGCTGGCATTGTCGGCATACGAACAGCGAAGGCGACGCCTTGAGGGCGAGCCTCCGCAGTCCCGGTGCGAAAGACGCCATGTTGGGCCCGTGGGGGGTGGGTGGTGCTTGCTGCGACGCAGTGGGAGCTGTTTGGTGATGCGCTGATCAGATTAAATTTGGAGGATGGGAAATCGAGGACGGCTTAGTGGTTCGTCGCCGGCACCCCTCGGCAGCAGGTGGGACCACTTTTTTGTCATAGACCCTTGAAGACCGCCCGGCGCACGCAACGACCCTGGGCCGTTTTACAGAGCACAGTGCAGCCCACGCCACGGCCCAGCGGTGCGAGCTGCCCCACTGTAAATTTCTTGTTGACCGCTTCTCGCCCACCACGGCAGAAAAAGTTCCCATGGTCGTGCGCTGCGCTCTCTCTTGGATGGGGAAAAAAGACGGGAGGACCAGAGCACACGAGCAGTCACTCACAGAAGCCTCTCTCGACAAAAGACAAAATGGCCGGAAGACAATCCCACGGACGGCCCCTGCTGTCGTCGAAGCAGCAGCCGAAGAACTTCCGCAAGTCGAAATCCAAAGCCCAGGCCAAGGCCCTCGACGCCTTCACGATCGCCTCGGAGCAGTTTCCCACCAAGCAGAAGAAGACGCCGAGGTTCCGGGAGATTGACGCGCAGCCCGACACCGGAAAGAAGCACAGGCGCGCCGAGGAGGACGACGAGGACGAGGACGAGGATGACGATGATGAGGAGCAGCCGAGGCGGAAGAAGGCCAAGGCCTCCGGCGGCGGCGGCGAGGGCGATGATTCGGAGTACGGAAGCGACAGCGAGGGCAACGAATGGCACTACGGCGTGAACGAGGACGAGGATTCGGAGCTCGACAGTGACGAGGCCTTTGGCGACAGCGACGAGGAGGATTTCCAGGGATACTCCTTCAGAGGCAGCAAGACTGCCAAAAACGAGGTTTGCGGCGACTAAGATGGACGTCCGGGAAAGCTATCACTAACACCACAGCTAGGCCGACTCTGAAGAAGACGAGGACGACGATGAATCTCTGGGCGAGGACGCAATCGACCTCGCGCAAGCTCTGGACGAATACGAATCCGACGAGTCCATGGAAGACCAAGGCTCCGGCTCCGAGGGCTCAGAGTCAGACTCCGACGCCGACAGCCCGCCCTCGTCCGACTCGGACGACGAAGAGGACGAGGAGGAGGTCGACCCGTCGAAGCTCGGCGCCCTGCAAAAGTTCATCACCAGCTACGGCGGCGAAGACGAGGACGCGGCGCCCACGAAGCAGAAGCAGAAGATCAGCTTCAAGGACCTCGGTCTGGCGGGCGTCAAGGACGCGCAGATGCGCAAGTCGGTGAAGCTCATGGCCAAGGAGGAGAAGGAGACGCGCCCCGGCGCGGGCAAGAAGCTCGAGGTGCCGCTCGCGCGCCGGCAGCAGGACAAGCTGCAGCGGGCGGCGGCGTACGAGACGGCCAACGAGACGCTGGGCCGCTGGCAGGAGACGGTCAAGCACAACCGGCGCGCGGAGCACCTCGTCTTCCCCCTGCCGCAAAACGCCGCGGACGAGGGGCTCGACAACCGCGAGCTGCAGGCGCTCACGGCCAAGAACTCGAGCAACGAGCTCGAGCAGACCATCATGTCCATCATGCAGCAGAGCGGGCTGGCGATGAACAAGCAGGAGGAGAACAGGATGCGCAAGGAGGCGGAGGAGGAGGGCCTGTCCAGGGAGGCGCTCAAGGACCTCGTCAACCAGCGCCGGCGGGAGCGCGAGATCGCCTCGCGCGAGACCAAGAAGGCGGCGCGCATCAAGAAGATCAAGAGCAAGGCGTACCACCGCGTGCACCGCAAGGAGAAGGAGCGCGAGGAGATGAAGCTGCACGAGGCCATGGCCGAGAACGGCGACATCGACTCGGAGGCTGAGCGCGAGGCGGCGGACCGCAGGAGGGCGCTGGAGCGCGTGGGCGCCCGCCACAGGGACTCCAAGTGGGCGAAGCTGGGCGCGTCCAACAAGCGCGCCGTCTGGGACGACGACTACAGGGCGGGACTGCACGACATGGCCCGCCGCGAGGAGGAGCTGCGCCAGCGCAAGGAGGGCCGCGCGGGCCACTCCGAGAGCGAGGACGACTCCGAAGAGGAGGAGGACGACGATGGTAGCGATGACGAGGACGAAGTGGTGCGCGAGAAGCGCAAGTTGCTCAAGCAGCTCAAGCGCATCGAGAACGAAGAGGACGACAGTCCGGCGTCGAACCTGATGAAGATGAAGTTCATGCAAAAGGCCGAGGCGTTGCAGAAGAAGGCCAACGACGAGCTCATTGCGCAGATCCGCCGGGACATCGATTCCAACGGCGAGGCCAGCGACGAGGAGGAGGTGACGGACGTGGGACGCAAGAAGTTCGGCGGCGCGGCTAAGCCCGCCATCTCCGCGCCCGCGCTGTCCAAGAGCAAGAAGAGCAAGAAGGCCGCCGGCGCGGGCGCGGACGCAGACGACGACGACGACGACGTGCCGGACAACAGCGCCGTCAACGCAGGCTACTCCATCACCGCCGAGCCCTCGACGACGGGCTCCGCGTGGTCCTCAGGCCCGCGCAAGAAGTCCTCCTCCAAGGCGCACCAACCGCGCGTGCTGGACCTGGACAACTCGCAAGCCATGACGGCCGTTGCACCGAAGCCCAAGTCCCGCTCAAAAGCAGCTGACGGCTCCGACTCCGACGAGGACGCGGACTCCGAAGAGGGCGAAGACGTCCACCTGCCCCTCGCGATCCGCGACATCGCGCAGATGGACAAGGCGTTCGCGGGCGACGACGTGGTGGTCGACTTTGCGCGCGAAAAGGCCGAGGTCGAGGCCGAGGACGACGACAAGATCGTCGACAACACGCTGCCGGGATGGGGCGGCTGGGTCGGCGAGGGCGTCAGTCAGCGGGAGAAGAAGAGGCAGCAGGGCCGCTTCGTGACAAAGGTCGAGGGCGTGAAGAAGGCGGATCGCAAGGACGCCAAGCTCGACAGGGTCATCATCAGCGAGAAGCGCGTCAAGAAGGTAAGTTTTCTTTTTCTGCCCCTTCATTGTATCGATATAGTTTGCTGACATGTTATGCCACAGAACGACAAGTATCTCGCGACCCAGCTGCCTCACATGTACGAGTCCAAGGCACAGTACGAGCGCTCGCTGCGTATGCCTCTGGGTCCCGAGTGGGTTACCAAGGAGTCGTTCCAGGAGGCGACGAAGCCGCGCATTCTCAAGAAGCAGGGTATTATTGCGCCCATGTCAAGGCCAACGTTGTAAGAGCCATGGTCGGATGGGGAGAAATGCATTGTCGGTTCATGTTGAGTACGTCGTCTACTTTCATATTACACATAGACATCTCATGACTGTATCCGGCGAGATACCAGGTGCTAAAGGCGAAATTAGACCAGAAAAGTTGATTTTGATTCAATGTCCAAATGGACGTCTTTTATTGCAATCGAACACTAATACTGCGGACCTCGCGAACCATTGTTTTCTGTCTTTGTGCCTTTGCAAACACCAATTTCTCCATTTCTCGAAGGAACCTTGGATACCGCCCCCCTAGAAGCCGCGCCCGTTGAATATTGTACAGATGAGATAGACACACCAAGGAAATATGCACACACGAGAGCGAGCTCTCTTTTTTTAACGATAGTCTTTGGAACAGGAGCCTCGTCTTGCAAGACAGACTCGGAATGGTTTGATACTGGTATCAAAGTTAGCTACGCGCCACCAAGACGTCCCGCTGGGTATATGGGAGTCATTGGTTCTTGGCGGAGCTCTAAAAATTCAGGTTCCAGGTTGTGTATGGAGCCTTCTGACACTTTTGAGAAAAACGTATGCTCAACCCATGACGGTAGAAAATGCCTTGTCCAGGGCGTCGCTGGGGCTGACGTAGAAAGCCAAGGCGATGATAATGTAGAGGCCAAGCAACATGGCTCCCTCAAGGTAGTTGGACTTGCCGTCCTGCACGGTGTACGTAACGACAAGCACGGAGAAGGCAAAGGCCACAGTCTCGAAAGTCTCGAAGCGGAGAGTCATGGGCTTGTCGAGAACAGCCCAGCCGAGGATGACAAGGAAAGGGGTGACGAGGAGAGCGATCTGGATGCTGGAGCCGATGGCAACGCCCATGGCCAGGTCCATCTTGTTTCGGATGGCCACAACCACGGCCGTTACGTGCTCTGCTGCGTTACCGACAATCGGAATGAGAATAAGACCGATAAAGTTTTTGCTGATGTGCGCGCTCTCGACGAGGTCGTCAATGCTGCCAACCAGGTATTCGGCGCAGATGGCGACCAGGACCGTGGTGACAACGAGAACGGCGGCGGCGGCGATGGGACCCATGAGGGCCTCCTCAGGCTCCTCGTCGTGGTGGTGCTGGATCTCGGCATCGAAGAGATTGGGGTGGGTGCGGAGCTGGAACCAGAGGTACATCACGTACAACGTCAGTAGAATAATGGCAGTTCCGCGAGAGAGCAGCAGAATGCTGTGCTCCTTGTCGTCCGAATCAGCCTTAGACAGGGCGGAGTAGAGCTGTAGGCGGTGTTAGTCAAGGAGCGGGGTACATGCATATTCCGCGAGAAGCTTACAGTAGCAGGGATGACCAGCGAAGCCGAAGACAAGGTCATCAGCGAGCAAGTGGTCTGCGCCGTTGCGGAAGCAAAGCTCTGTTCCATGCCTTGGCCCGTAACTCTGTCGCGCATGTTGACAATGCCGCCAAAGAAGAAGCACATGCCCATAACCAGAAGCAAGTTGGACAAGATCGAGCCCAGCATGGACGACTGAACGACCTCAATCTGACCGTCCTTCAAGGCGACAATGCTGACAATCAATTCGACGGCATTTCCAAAAGTAGCGTTAAGCAGTCCTCCAAGTGCCTCGCCCAGCTTCACGGAGATCTGTTCGGTCGCAAATGACAAGACGGCGGCAAGCGGGATAATAGCGAAGAAGTTGATGGTGAAGACGGCGGTAGAGCTCCAGTTGCCCTGGCCTGCGACGATGCCGATAGGCACCATGACCAGAAGGAAGTTGACATAGTCTGTGATAGAGGGTTTGTTAGCTACCAGGCGCAGCAACACGATGCGGCTGGCGGCTGGGCGACTTACTGCTGAGGAGAGTAACCTTGGTGATGTGCCAGGCGTAAGAGCCGTATCTCACGGCAACGTTGTCGCTGTCGGTGCCTGGAGTATGCCTTGGGTCGAGGAAGAAGCCGTAGGTCTTGTTTTGGTGGTGGTCATGTTCGGCGACGCCGTTTCCATTGCCATTTTGGCCATGGTGACCGGAGGAGTGGTTGCCGTTGAGTAGAGGCGATTCCTCGTCTACCTCGCCATCGCGGGCGTTGGGCTTGTTCGTGCTGCCCCAAGAGCGAACCTGTTCGCGAAAATGTCTGTTGGCTGAATCGTCGGACATCGCGCCACCATATCAGCCGAAGCCCAGGCCACCAGAAAAAAAGCTGTATCTGCGATGTCGCGAACGTCGATAACAGTGTAAGGTATGCGTTAAGTGGTGAGGCAACCGATGAGAAACGAAAATAGAAGGGAAATCAAGGAGTGACGATCCGAGGGACAAGGCGACCAGATGTGCGCCTGGAATGGGTGTGGCAGGAAAGAAGAGAAAGAGCCAGTCGCAGGAACAGGACGTTACGATGCGCGCAGTGGCTTGGAGGGAAGGAGAATGTCAAGTGCGTTGCCGGCGTGAGTGAAGTGCATCCAAGACTGGAAAGACTGGAGTGCCAAGACTGAAGTAGCAAGAGTAGCGCAGGCAATCCAGGGAGCTGCAGCTACCAGTACATGGGTGGGAGAGAAGAAACGGGGCTTGCTACTGGGGCCGGCGGCGGTGATGGAGGAGGTGACGGGAGGAAAAAGAGGTGAGTGAAGTGTAAGAACTCAGAGACAAGGCGATAGTACCTTGCGGTGTAGCTGGCGCAGCAGGGTATTTTTTCTCTCTCTCGATCGGAAAAAAATCAAACAGAAATCCAACGCAACAGCAGGAACGGCAATGTATCTATCTGTGAAGGATAGCAGCAGGGTACTTACAGACCATGGCTGCGGACTGACTGTCGTATGTACAGTAGTAGCAGCAACGGGAGTTCCTATCAGGAATCGCAGATAGACAAGTTGGCTGCCACGAACAGGCCGGATGAGAGTCCTGGGAGGCCCTGCTCGGCGGATGTGTCTATGTGTGTGTACGCAGTACTCCGTCTACTGTACCTGTATGCAGTACGCAGTATGCGCGTGCCGCCCGACGGGTGAGTGGGGTAGAGGACGGTCGGTCAAGTCGTGCGTGATCCAATGGAGGAGGGTTGCGCAGAGATGAGGGCACGTTGGGCCGCCAAGTCGCAAGGTAACGAGGGATCTGGTATCAGAGAGTCGTGGTGTGGTGGTCGGGTCGTGATCGAGTCGAGCGTGGTGTAGTGTGGTAGTGTCGTGCGCACTGGGGAGTCCAGACGTCCCTGACCGTAACGAGGAATGGTGTGCGAGCGCAATTGCCAACTGGCAGCCTTTGCGTAGATCTCAATAGGCAGGAAGAGAGGGCACAAGACGGGGTCCAGAAGCCGTGTTCCAGAATACAGATGCTGCTGCTGTTGCAATTCCAATGTGCTCCTCGAGCAAGCTTCAGGTGATAGCCAAGAGCAATCAATTTTGGGTTGGTGGACGGTAGGACAGCAGCTCAGACGCGGTGCAGGAAGGGGAAGAACATAGCCCCCTTTTCTTGTCAAGCTATTATGGGGAAACGTGGGACGGGATGTCGTAAAGGTAGGACGAAACAAGCAGCAATTCAACATTCAGCAAGAATGTGTCTGGTCTGGCTGGTGGTGGTGTGGAAGCCTGCTGGTTCCTCAAGTTTGGTGCTGCTACTGCTGCTGGACGGTTGTCCAACAGGACTCGACCTGGAACCTGATTTGCTTGGCATTTAGATGGTATGGATCCCCAGGGAGGCCTCCTTGGAGAATGATGATGGGGCCCATGACAATGGCACACTGGGACATTGGATGCCTCCCTCCATGCATGCGGTCATGGAGTACACTGCATCACTTCCCACTCCTCCTGCAGCGCTGGACTGCACCTTAGTCACTTCACTGCATACTAGAGCAAGCTCCCAGAAAGCTTCCTTCGGGTCCCTAGGTTCTCCTCCTCCCCCAACGTCATACAGCGGGCGAGCTAGTAGCAACTACCTGGCGGCAGGTTTCAAACACCCAGCAAGGGTGAAGTCGGCGGCGCCCAATGGAGGTGACTGATGATGCCAAGCGTGGCTGTGCTGTTTTGGCGTTAGGTTGCTTCACCTTCACTCTCGTCAAAATTTCTCCGCTGCTTCCTAGCGCCCTCCTGCCTCCTGCCGCCGGCCTTGAGACCTACTCTACTTTGTACCTTAGTTAGGTACGGACAGCACCCACTTTCCTCTGACAGTCTGGGATTCTCTCCCACTTCCCACTTTTCCGCCGGCCGATACGGGAGCGAAGCTGGGAAGAGGCGGAAACAACTCTGCTGCTTTCCATACGACAGGCGCATCTTGTCCTTGTTGGCTGCCCAGTGCCCTGGCCAGTGGCAGCAAAACCTCGCAAAGTGCCGGGCAAGAGAAGCTTGTTAAACGTCACCAAGGTACGCGGCAACTGCCCGCTTCCCCTAGCTTGTGGACACGATACCGTCATCATCGGACTTTTGCTCCCGTCCATCGTATCTTTGGCTTCCTATCGACGCATGCTCAGTCATCCATCCGAAAAGAAAGGAAATAGAAAACGACCATCCGTTTGCTTGCGGCCGCTGGCGAGCACGTAGGTCACAAGCAACTCACCCGCAAAAGGCTATTCGGTGTCGCATTCAACCTTTCTTCCCGAAGCCAATTTGCTGTACGGATACTTACCCGCCACCATTGCCGCAGCAACTTCCAACATCGAACCTTGAGGTCGAAAACGCACAAGTTTAGGCTTGGCTGACAGTCCCTTTCCACATATTTCGTCTCGGCACGAAGCCGTTCCACAGCCAGGGACGATCGTCTTGACCTTCGGCTCAGGGGACCGGACGATTTGCGACAAACAACAGCTCGAGCTCACCCGCCCACGCCCACGGCCTGAAGATACTGGACGGCAACAAAAAATAGCAGCAGCGGTGCTCTTACCAAACACACACACACACTTCAAACTCGGCTGACCTCTTCAACCTCAAACAGGGACATCTCCTGGTCTCGTCTGAAGTTTGACTTTTTCTGGGTGCTCCTGCGACTAACATACCAGCACTCATGGCGCTACGTACCCCCGAATGCCCACAATGATTGCTGCCAATGGAACCCTACAGTGTTCCAATGGTTGCCGGGCGAGGCAAACAAGCTCCAGACTCGTGCTCCCTGCCAATGGCGAATGCTGCATTCGGTTGCCCTGCGAAACGCCCTGCCTTGGCTTTGCTTGCTGGGGGCGGGTCCTCACAATGCCCACTCGGATTCGGAGCCCCATGTCCCGATCTACGGACCCCCCAGTTGCGAGTCCCGACCCGACAGCTTCGCAGTGAGCTGAGAGAACCATGCCCCCCCGGTGTGGACATGGACTTTGTCTGCAGCCCACCCGCTCTGGACCCTTATCGAGCCTTATCGATAAAGCTTCTGCTGGCCCTGCCCTTCTGCCCTGCCATCCGCCTCACTGGATCAACCCAAAGTCAAACACTCAAACTCGACGCTCTGTTCAACTGCACTTTATTCTTGGCTCATCGCCTCAACTATAATGGCCAGAGTGCTTACAGCCTCGTCCATCTCGAGTATCAAACTCAACGCTCAAATCCTCGCATGAAGCAGGCCCGTCTGCCTCGTCTCTTCAGCCCGCCTGATCTGATGATCCAACACACGATTGCCTCAACTCTGAAATGCGGGGACGGGGGAGGGGAGACGGGCACGGAGGCTGGTCAGAGTGCATGTCTCCGATTCATTTTGCAGACGTCTCCCGAGTCATCCAGCTCCTCGTGCTTCATGCGTGTGCTTTTTCGACGCCGCCATCGTGCGCTGGCACTTTCACAGCCACCGTCATCCGTCCAATCGACAACTCCCCCACCCCCACTCATCTCCGTTCACTTCCTTCTCTCGAGTCGGCAACTTTGACGCTGAGCGGCACTCACGGAACGCTGCCTTGGGCGCGTCGCAACATGCACGTGGCCTTCATGGCTCAGCCAGCACTGCGCAAACCAGAGTGAAGCTGCAGATCTGCCTGAAGTCTCGCGAATACCTTGATGGGCTCGTTATCGCAATCAGCATTCGTTGTTGGGCAGCCAGGTAACCGGACAAAGCCAATTCCGGATACGCTGGAGTTGTTGCGCCGAAATTCTCGAACCGTTAGCGCCGTCTTCGAGACTATCGTGAAATGATGAACATGGCAAATTTTGACTGCAGCATTTTTGCGCATTGGCCTAATTCACGTGGACTCAAAGCGCCCGGGCTCATAGCGGCTCGCACTTCGTCTCATGTTGAGGCGGTCCCAGAATGTCATCTCTTGTGCCCCCATCGGCCCAAAAGCTCGACGGTTGCGAGGCGGTCGTGACTGGGCCGATTGTGCCGTCTTCCGAACTAGACCACACCATCCTTATCAACCCGCTCAAACCGCGTCAGGGCAAGCTTCCAGGAGACAGCGTTGCCTCTGCTGTTCGTCAATGCATCTAATCAAGTCGCCTTGAAGGGCTGCAGAGCCTCACGGGTTTTGAAAACCTTGCCCTCAGCTGCACTTGTCAACAGCTGGGGTTTGAGGCTGTATTAACGACCAACCCAGTCAATAGCAAGGACAACTCCGGCGGGAGCCCCAACCGTATTCTGTGTCTCTTGGGTGAAATGGGGAAATGTTTCAAGAAGTCAACAAGAGACGGACCCCGGAATCCGGATGCTGAATGCCAATGCGCGCCGCGCACGTACAGTGCTGACCAACGGTGCGCAAGGGCCGAACGCCACGGTGTTCGTGCTCTTCAACGACACACCAACGGCCATGTTCAAAGAGCACCGCACCCAAATCCTCTACATGCGAGTGACGGCTTGCAAAAACAGAGTCAATGACGGTCACGGAATCCAAGCCAGCCTGATTATCAAAAGCGGTTACAATAAGCATTGTGGCGAGAAAAGCTTAGCCTTTTCGGCCCCCAAAGAAAATGGGAAACCAGGGGCCCGTGTTACGTAGATGGGTGACGCGTCATCAGAAAAGCCCCCCCTGGAAATTCCCATCTGACGGAATTTCGCATCTTTTCCCTCCTCCCCCGCGAATGAACAAAGGGGCGTGTAAATTGCAAAAGAGAAGAGAGCCACCCCCCGAGCTAGATCTAGCCAACCAACCGGCTCCTTAGCTGGTCCGTCCAGGCATTCGGGACTACTATCAGATTTCGAGATGCAGCAGCCGCAGGTTTGGAAGGCTTGGCACAGCAGACCCTCGAGATGTTCTATCCCGTACGCAGCTGAAATGTCTAGTAACACATGTGATATATTGTCCTGCTGTGGTTCGACAATTCAAGCACTCCGCAGCGGGACTAAACCTGATAAAACGAGATCAAATTCGCAACCTCTCCAGCGCGAGAAGAATGCGGAACTCATCCTCCGTAAAATCTGCCTATGCATGTTTCGCAGTGTCTGATTGAGCTTCCTCCAATGGTCATCAAACCGGCATAACTCAATATATCTCTGTTTCTCGAGTCTCCGCAGCTCGTCCGAACGCTCTTCACGCCTCATCTTGGCGGGGTCTTGGAACCTAGCCAGGCAGCTATAACTAGTAGGACAACAAACACGCTCAAACGTCGGCACTATTTTTAAGGCATTAATTAATGCCAATCATGAAGTGGCCAAGTATAGAGGCTTCAAGTGTAGCGAGTATATCGTGGGTTCTGCCGGGAATCAACATATTACCCGACTCTTGAGAGTTACGGTCCCCAAGGATATGCTCATTGGTACCCCAATGCGAACAGTACCAAACACCTCGCGATGGTAGCATGGACTTATTACCGATAGCACAAAAGAAGGCTGAAGATGACTGCACCGGCAGAGTCACAAACATCACAAACAATATGGTACACGGCGTTATCAAATGTGCGAGCAAAATGCAAAAGACCAAAGCATAAACTCCCATTCTCGATTCATAAAAGATACTATCTAAGCGTATTGCGGTCGTTATTTTTGATCGTTTTCGTCGTTTAGGATTACCATAACATCTCTTCATACTGGTCGTGTTCATTCTGTCATTACTCATGCAAGCAGGAATTCGAATGTTGCCGCCCTCCAAAGCATCGTGTCTCGTTCCTAGGTCATTACTTGCATTCTGAACGTGTCATGGGAGTTTAGATGCCGCCCATCGCTGGGTCTCATGTTAGCGGTAGTCCATCAAATGAAAGAGACATCGACTTACCCGCAGCGTAGGCCAGGTACCATGTCAAGCTTGCGCCTCCATCGATCCAACCAGGATCAAAGTTGGGGCTGTTGAAGAAGTCGAACGCAGTCTTCCCATCGATCGTCGCCAGGTTTCCATACAGGATTCCCCTCCATCCGCCGACGATGCTATCGACGCGGCCGTTACTAAAGTACACGTCCCATTCTTCTTTGACAAAGGCTGGGGTCCGAACGAAAGGCGACGATGCAAGGAGGGGAATCATGTGGATGCCCTGGATGTATTCTATATTAGCGCCGAAAAAGGTTGTGTGGTCGACCTTGTTCTCGAACAAGATGCCGGCCACCTTGTTTCCAATAAACTGGGGTGGCTGCACGACATTGTCGCTCTTGTAGAGATAGTATGACTGGAGGGAGCGGGCGATGACGGCGAGCTGAAGATTGCCGCGCATGGCCATGGTAGTGTCACCCGAGGCTTCTCCCCACATCTTGATAGCATAGGCGGCCATCATGTCCTCCGAACTTGATTCTTGGTTCTTTCGAATCGTTAGTCATGGCATTGCAAGCCCAGACAGGGCACTCACCTTTCCATCGTACGAGGCATACAGACCGTGTGCCCAGCTATGCCCGTGGTACCAGTCCATAGAGCGCCAAAGTGGGAAGTACGTGTCTTTGGTGCTAGGGTTGGCAAAATCGCGCACCAAGGCATTGACGTAAGCCTTATTGGCTTGCATCCATGTAGGATCCAGGTGCGCGATTGCAGCGGCTGCCAGGATGTGGTAGCCATAATGGAAGTGGTGGTCGTTGTAATATGTGTTGCCAAAGTCGGCGCCATCGTTGCCTGTTACATATGTTGCTGAGGATACAACACCTCCCCACGCGCCTGTAGAGCTGTTAGCAACAAGCGGCATGGTATGGCAAATCAAAACCTACTTTCGTACAAAAGAGGAAATTTCTGCTTGTTGTCCGCAAATCTGGCAAACGCTTCCTTCAGTCGGGGCAGGGCTGACTGGGCCAACCCCGTATCTTTCACAACGTCGTTTATGGCCACGATCAAAATAGCAAACTTGGCCAGTGCCTTTCCACTGAAGTACATCGAGTCCAGATCTGACTGCGCACTCATATCCTGAGACACCTCCTGGGTTGCTATCCCGCGGATTACGGTTTTCGCTTGTTCAGAGATGGTGGTGAGAGGACCTTTCTCGGGACTCCATGGAGCAAAGCCCATGCTGACGGGCAGGTTCGGCTCAACCATGGTCCATTGATCAGCCAGCACCAGTGTTCCATTGCCCTTGGTAGGGGTCTGAAGCAGGACTTGCTGAACCGCGGCCTTGGTTGTGGCGTCGAACGATGCGACGTGATGCGGCAGTGCGTACATGGCCAGCTTTCCATCCTGGTGCCCTTCCTTGGAAAACTTGAGGCTGTACGTGCCCGTGTTACCGTTCACGGAGCCAGACAAGGTGACCGTCGTAGGATAGACACCAGCTGCCAGATCAAACACCGCCTCGCCATTTCCAGGATCCTTGGCAAGCTGGATGGATCCGAAGAAGGGCTTCGTTGATTGGGCCATTCCGTTGTTGACAACCTGTAGGTCCAATTGATCTCCCGTGGTCGCGTATGCATACAGCCGCCAGATCTTCCCGTCTTCGAGTTGGAACGTGTACTTGGCGACGCCGGCCTTTGGGTCTTGGGTTGCCCGCGTAACAGTCCGGAAGAACACCCCGGTGCGGATCACAGGGGTAGCTCCAGAGTAGTTTGCCGTTACAAACGGCATCCCTTGAACCAAAGGAAACGAAATCGCAGGCACAGCTCCTGAATTCGGCTTCAGGTGGACTCTGGCGGAAAATGCTGTGACGCTGTCCATACCCACGGCTGTATCCGCCTCAAGTTCTTGGGCACTGATGACCATGGATTGAATGCCTACTGGGTTAATAAAGTAGGACGCCGCCCCGGAGTCCTTGTTCGGGCCAAAGACCCGCTGATTCGCATCGATATGAGAAATAGTCATGCCGTAGCTGGCGGCGGCTCCTTTCCCTGCACCCCATGCTATGGCGTACGGGTAGGTGTAAGTTGGTGCCGTTTGATCACCCAAGAAAAAATTGGCGTAGAACTTGTTGGTCTGGAGCGGCCCGCCTGATGTAATACCCTTCCGCGGAACAGGGTGGTCGCTTCGAGTCGTGATAGACGACGGCGGCGCATCCGTGCCAATAGGCTCTGCAAAAAGATCTCCTGATGCCATTGGTGCAGACGGCAGCGGCGCTATGACAGTTCCTCCTGAAGTTGGTTCAATCAAGGTCGACGGAGTCGGAATCGGATCCGACATCAAAGGGCAAGTAGTGACCTTGCCTGCGGTATCGAGATTGCTGTGTACGTCTCCGGTAGTTTGAGGAGTTTGACCAGTAAGTGATGGCAATACAACGACGTTTCCTCCAGATTGTGCGCTGGTGACGAATGGGGCGGAATTGGCGCCTGAAGCGGACCCCTGCGTTGGCTGGCTTCCTCTGGGAACCTGGACGGTAACGGTGTAATTGGTCGTTTCGGTAAGGCAAGTCAGATCGCGGCTATCGAGCAGCAAAGGACGGATGCTGAGTTCTCCAACAGCTCTCGGCTCTCGGTCTGCAAGGTGAAGTCGTACGTGTTGTTGGTGGAATAGGGCGAGGGCGCTCTCGCAGAGGAAAACCTGTATAAGAGTCAGCCTAATGATCCCCATCTTGTATCTGCGGCCCGCCATTGCGGGATAGCAGTGATCTTATCGTGTTTGTGTATGTGGTTTTCTTGATATCAGGCCGGTTATGGCAGCTTGACTTTGCGAATGTCGCGGTAAAGGGGCAAGAGATCATCAGCAGCCGCTCACGCTTGTGTGCGAGTGCTCCGGTTCAAATATCCGGCCCACGAGGAGAGCAATTGGGTCAACAATGAGAGCCACCGACGAAACGGCAGCATCATACCAGCGCCCTGAAGATCGAAGCCCAGAACTCGACGGGGCAGCATCGTTACCGCGCAACAGTGATGTGGGCAGGGGGCGATAGGAATGCGAGAGTCTCAGAAACAATGGGCAAGTCTCACCTGGTAGGAATGCTAAATAGTTTGCCCGGAAACTCAAAGTCGGATTGCAAAAGGGCGAGCTGTGTGATAAGAAGAGAGTCCGTTTTAGGATATGAGGGATCGTGATCGGACGAGACAGGCAGGCGTTGGCGATGATCGTGTCTTGGTGATGCTGGATTCAGTATCCAAATACGATGGCCGGGAGACGTTGTAGGATTGGGCGAAACAGCCTTTGTCAGAATCGAGATAGTAGGGGAGACTGACCTTCAGAAGATTTTAAAAGTTCAACTGCGAGGAGGGCGACGTTGTTGCTAGTTATGTCGTTGCTTCATGCCCGTGCAACATCATCAGATATTCTGAAGGAAGGAAGTTTCGGCACACGACTAATGCTGCGAGACCGACCCTCTTTGGCTGACGCATGCCTGCCCTTGGCGTGGGTACCCTCCGGCATCGAACCTGCCGGTTCATTGGCAAGAAGAAGAAACATTCAATTGTGGTGATATATGACAATTCACGGAGCAACCGGTCACTTGGCCTCAATCGCGATGGCATGCAACTTGGATCAAGGCTCGTTAGCAGACCACATTGCTTCTTGAAGAAGTCAGGTCGAGCGGGGTCGCATCGGGCCGTTCTGAGGCCATGACGCAAGCACACTATCGCCAACACATGTAGGATGAGAAACGGGTAGCATTTACAGCTCCTTCATCCTCCTTGAGCAGGTTGAAGTTGAGAAGTTGACGGTTTATGTGGATGTTGTTTTGAGATTGAGGTGTAGGAAGCCCGGTGTGACCAGGTCCCAAGCTCCAGATCAGCACCTTGGCCGGGCTTGGCGATCATAAGACTGGCGTCCCTCATGACCAACTGAGGTCTGAGCCAATCCAAGACAAGGAATGACTGATTCCAGAGGCGGCAAAAGTGATTTGACCTGAGAAAAACTGAATCGTACAAGCAGGACTCATTGGTTGATCATAATCCGTACCATGGACCCAAATACATTTCCCGGGTATCAAAAGCAAAGCCAATAACTCCATAGCGCCGTTTCCCACATCAAAGACCGAGGGCATTGTACTTGCCCCTCATGTTCTCGTCCAGAACATGTCGTAGTAGTGTAGAAGATGGTCCAGCGCCTCGCTCTTGTGCCTTCTGGCTCTTCCTCATCTTGTGATACCGATATCGATTCGCGACTTCTGCTTCGGCGGCAGCCTTGCGTCGCTTCTCTTCCTCTTCGGCAGCCCGCTTCTTCTCTTCCCGCCTCTTCTCCCTCTTTTTCTTTCTTCTCTCATCATCATCATCGCCGTCCTCCTGTTGCCTCTTGCACCTTCGTATTTGCTTGTCTGTAAGCAGCCATGGCTCTAGGAGGACCTCATCCCGAAACTGCGTGCGCCGCTCCCACAGCGCTACTTCCTGCTCCGTAGACCTTAGCACCTTGACCTTGTCAATCTTGATCTGCATCTCCTCGCGAAACGTGGTCAGGCCGCCCTTGATGTCAAGCACCGAGCCCACGTCGACGTCCACACAGTCAGCCGGAGGCAGCGGCTGAGGCCTGAGGCCGAATTGTCCACTAGGCTGGTTCTGAGGGGCGGAGGAAGGCGTCTTCAGCACGACAGTGCATTCGATGCAGGCGCCGCTGCTGTCATCGACCGTGTATATGCGCCGGCCCGGGTAGTCGTCAACTGCGACAACGATGCCAACAACGCGGACCCATTTGATCGGGAGATTCCTGTAGAAGTAGAAGTCCTGGGCTGAACAGTGTGTCAGCTTGGAGGTTTGTGCAAGGCTGCTGCAATGCGCGGCAAACGTACCTTCATAATCTGGGACCGATACCAGGCGATGGATGTCGGATACGTGCATCAAGCACCATGTGTTATGAGTGGGAGACAGCTCGAAGCAGTAGCGGGGGTAGAGGCCCGGAGACGAGTCGCCCGTCATGGCATGATTAGTAGAAGTCAAATCGCTGCAGCCCGGAGATGTTCGACCATTATTCTGTTACGATATCGCGGTGAGTCGAGGGTGGTCGATCGGAACGGAGAGGACGCGTCGCGTTGAGAAATGTGGCTGTCACCGGCGAGTTTATTTTACTGAGGGAAGCCAAACCTTAGGTGGTTGACCTGGGGATGTCTTGCAGGGTCGTTAGTGCCCCGCATTGTGGCAGGTACAGTGCAGCGTGCAGCGGCATCCTCTCCGCCACGCCTCAAAGGGAAGACGACACGAAGCACCAGGCAACTGAACCTATGCGAATTTTTGCGGTCGCAGAATGCGGAGAAACTTAAGATTGAGCTAAAAACGATCTTCTTTTCGTGATGTCAAGTTTACCAACTCCTGAGGCCCATATGATGAATCCTGGCCAACCCATAACCTCATATCCAGTGTATCCCATACCCTGTGACGCCAGACCAAACACGCTCTGTCTATCGCCTCGACTTTCTGCCGCCCTTTGCAGGCTTACTTTCATCAGCCTTGGGCTTCTTCAGACGTGCGGCTGCAGCTTGGAAAGCCTCCTCTGATGGCTCCTCCTCGACAGCTGCCCTCTTCTTACCCTTCTTGGGCTGGCTTGTCGCGCCGTACTTGGCAGCCAGGTCGTCCAAGAAGCCAGCACGCTTCGACTGGTTGCTCTTGATGAGCGCCGCAAGGTCATCTTCACCGCTGTCCTTGCCCTTCTTCTTGCCCTTCCCCTTCTTGTCGCCAAAGAGCTTGTCGTGGACACCCAGCTCCTTGGCGTACTTCTCGGCTTCATCGGCCTCGCCCTTGGCCGCCTTGATGCGGGCTGCCTTGGACAGCTTGCTCTCCTTGGTGTACCTCTTGTACGCTGTCACATCCTCGGTTGCGATAGCTTCATCGATGATCTTGCGAAACCGCTCGTCGTCCTCGAGGACATTGCTCAGCATCACCGTCTCGTAGATCTTGTCCATGTCTCCCTTTGCTTGCTCGTAGGCAATCAAGACATCATCCTTCTCCTCATCCGAACCCTTGTATTTCTTGGCGAATTTCTCAATAGCACCGGCAGAGATCGCATCGCGGAATTGTTCGCGGTAGTAGTCGGACCAGTTGAAGCCCTCCGAGTCGATGATGGACTCGGAGGTAGACCCAGTCGTATCATAGCGCTTGCGCCTGGCAGGATCTGAAAGGATGGCGTATGCGAAAGCGATGGACTGGAACTTCTCCTTTGCCTCATCTCTTTGGTCGTCGGGAACCTTGTCTACAGAAAACATTTCGTCAGAATGAGCTCCGAAGGGCCCCGATGAAGGTTAAGGTATTCATACCGGGATGGTTCTTGAGCGCCGCCTTGCGATAGGCAGACTTGACTTGATCGGCCGTAGCTTCGCGGTCGAGTCCGAGAGTCTCGTACGGATCGATGACTGGAAGCTCGCTCTCCACGAGATCATCTGACGCAGGGGAAGACATTTGGGAAAAGTCGATGACAAGGACGTATTGGGTTGATTCAGGCCTGAAGGCGAAGCTTTGCGACGCGCGTGGAGCTGGTCCAGACGCGACAGCTAAAGTGGTGGGTCAAGCTTGTGCACGCGTGATTGGACCACTTGGTGAGCCGTGCACGACAAGCTAGCTGCCTGGCATGGTCGGCGACCGTCGAGTGCAGCACCGACTGCTTCAAGACCTCTGGCGACCCCTCCCCCTCCATGCGACTGGATCACAGATTACCTCATCTTTTTTGTATCGAAGAGCTCGCACAACATCGGTTGAGGCGCTATATTGCTGTTCGAGATCTTGACCTGGCATCGCATCCCGCAGCACAGCAGTTTTGAGCGCTTCACCCTCGAGCAAGTTTTCTGTGTAACATCTCGAATCATGACATCAGAGGTTGATGCCATTGAACCAGCGCCGATAGCGCCTGGCGATCACAAAGCTTACCTGCAGTATGCCCTCTCTCTGGCGAAGCAATCACCGCCAAAACCTACCAACTACCGCGTCGGGGCAGTCCTCGTCAACCCTGCAAGCAATGCCGTCGTCTCAACGGGATACACGTTGGAGCTACCCGGCAATACCCACGCCGAGCAGTGCTGCTTCATGAAGCTGGCGGAACAGCATGAGGTGGCGGAAGAGGAGCTTGGCTCGGTGATCAAGACACCCCTCGTCCTCTACACCACCATGGAGCCGTGTTCAGTGAGGTTAAGCGGGAACCTGCCTTGCGCCAAACGAATTCTTCAGCTGCGGTCCGTCATCAAGGCCGTGTACGTCGGTGTCCAAGAGCCCGAGAAATTCGTCAAGGACAACACGGGACGGGCGGCCCTTGAGAGGGCGGGTATCGACTTTGTCCACATTAAGGGGCTGGAGGGCGACATTCTGAAGGTGGCGACGGCAGGACATGTGAAGACGCCAGCATAAGCCAGCTTCCTGACATTACGCCAGGTGGTGGTTGTTCGTTCTCACGATCGCGTAGTCAGAGACCAACACAGCACACTGGTGGCACTACATGCAACGATCCGCTGTCAGTTCCTACCTGTGCAGATGACAGCGCGGAAACAGCCATGGCGGCAAACGGGCAACGTCCAATTCCCGATTGACTATTGTCCTGTCATGCTGCCCGCCAGCAAGAAGTGGCTACCTCCAGGGCAATCGCCCTGCAGTGCAGGAAAGGAGCCAGAGAAGCAAAGTGGGAGAAGGAAAAAGCAAGACCAAAGGAGCGGTGTGTCCGCAATGGGAAAAGAGCCAGCAAGGAAAAGCAAACGGAACGATTTCGTCACTGGCTTGGTCCAGCTCGCGTTGCAACGTGGTCTAAGGCTGTTCTTAACACACAGTGCCATGAATGCTGCTGGATTTTCATCATTCAAGACGGTTTCTCTGCAATTCGACAGCAATTTGCTCCAAGCATCATCGTGAGAAAACAAGGCCTGCTCTATCGCCTCCACGTGCAGACCGTTCGGTGCACTGAGACAACAACCCTCAACTACAACTCGAGCACGAGGAACCTCCCTCGCTGCAGGGTGCACAAGTTGCGGCGGGTTTCCAGGGGCTTGGGCCCGATAAGGTGCCCGGAAAACCACCATCTGCCGCTGAAAACGACACTGGGGGCCCTGGGTGCGTTGCAACCCTCCCGCCTCATCTGCGCCAATTGGGAGCGTTCCTGAGCCAACAACAGGTGCATCAGGGCTGGGTCTGTGCACTCCCACGAGACGACATAAAAAGTTGCCATGGACACAATTGGCATCTGTCATTGGTAGATCTGCCCATGACGGAGCCCTGCCAGAACACATTGGTTTGCACAACCACTTATGGAGGGCCTTTTTTCCACTTCTCTCTGGCTTTACTTATCAAGGTGCTGCCCAGTGGCTGCTGAGAGCAATGCCGTAGCAGTTAGCTACCTGCTGTTATTGGCGTGCATGTTAAGGTAGACAGACATGCGAAGTGCTGTGCCCATGAGCATGTTGGCGGTAGAGGTTACCTTTCTTTGCACCTGTTTGCTCCGGGGCGGATGACGATGAAGTTTCGCTCCTCATTCTCTCCCTTGTTCCCTCATTCCCACACACCAATTGCTCTTTCCTGGACAGGTACCAATATCCTTAATACCCTATCCTGAACCAATTCCAATCTTCATCTCTGTGCTCGTCGGCGTCCCCTCTTGCTCTCTCATCCTTCCTATCCTTCCCTGCCCCCGTGTTCAGTGTGTCTTTAACTTTATGCTCCATTCCATTTGACCTCGTTCCCCACCTCGACTGGACAAGGGTTCGCTGTCTGTGTGCAAACATCGATCTCTGCCCGTACATCTCCTGTTCCAACGACATCCGCTACCTTATCAAGTCTTACTGTCATCGGAGCCTTACCATCAAAGTAGCTCCCGGCTCTCTGCATCCACTTTGTCTGGCCGGCCTCCGGCATGCTCCACCTCGTTTGTCTGTTTGCCGTTTCTGGCCACCCGACATCAGTCTTCATTAGCCTGTTTGCCGTCTGTGCTGGCGTCTGGCGTTCACCACGTGCTGCTTGCTCCCTGCCCGTGAACAAGTATCACCCCCAATATCCGTCCTTACTTGGGACATAGTTTTCTCTCTTCTATCTTTCTATCACGCCTGAGAGTTCTTGTTAGCCCGCACACATTGCTAGTTCGGAGAGACATTCGCTTTTGTTGAAGCTTTTCACGTCGACATGGCGGATTCAGGACGTGGGGGCCGCGGCCAGGGCCGAGGAGGTCGCGGCGGTGGTGATCGCGGTGATCGCGGTGGTGGTCGTGGCGATCGTGGCGATCGTGGTGGTGGTGATCGTGGTGGACGTGGTGGTAGCTTCCGTGGAGATCGCGGCGGCGGCGGCGGCGGCTTTAGAGGAGACCGCGGCGGCCGTGGCGGCAGTTTCGGCGGCGGAGGCAGAGGTGGTGATCGTGGTGGACGTGGTGGTGGTAGAGGAGGTCGCGGCGGTTTTGCTCCTCGCCGTGATGCGTTCGAAGGCGAAGCTTGCACCTTCTACGGGTACGTTGGACGTCTTTCAGCTGTATCTCGGTAACCAACACCTCTCAGACAAGGCTCCACCATCCGCCAGCCTGATGCCGATATCACCAAGCTCGAGGACAAGATCATCCAGAGTCATCAGTCTAAGGACCAGGCCCTCATCAAGAAGATGAGTAGCATGAAGCTCGCCGACTCCAGCTCGGCCTCCCTGATGCCCCGCCGCCCTGCCTACGGTACCAAGGGCAAGCAGATCATCGTCTGGGCAAACTACTTCCGCCTGATCGTCAACCCCATGGTGCTGTACCGGTACAACCTCGAAGTCCGCAAGGGCGAGAAAGAGGACGCGCCGCCCAAAGAACCGCAGGTCAAGGCCAAGGGCAAGGGCAAGCCTCCGGCTGGCTCTGGCGATGGCGCTCCTGCTGCCATTCCTGCTCGGAAGCTCAAAGTCATTCTGCAGTACGCTCTTGCAGAGCTCAGGAAGCTTGAGCCCGACGCCGTTTTCGCATCCGAGTTCAAGTCCCAGCTCGTCTGCCTCAACAAGTTGAAGCTCGTTAAGAACCCCATCATCGTCAAGTTCAAGAACGAGAACTCCAGCCGTGAGGAGTTGTACAACGTCAAGGTCGTCGGCGAGACAGAGGCTCCGTTGGCTGCCATGGTCCAGTACCTCCAGACCATGGTCGATACGAGCGACCCAGACGAAGTGCACTTCCCCCGGTTCGCGACCTCCATGGATGCCCTTGGTGTCATTCTCGGCTACACCCCACGGCTGAACGACCAGGTCACTGCTATTGGCAAGGGCCGGTTCTTCCCGTGGGGTCCCGGTTCCGTCACGGCACAGCTCGGCTCCCAGGATCCCCTCACAGCCATCAGAGGTTTCTTCCAGAGTGTTCGTCTCGGCACCGGCCGCACCCTCTTGAACGTCAATGTCACCCACGGTGTGTTCAAGGCCGATGTCCGGATCAGCGACCTTTGCAAGTGGTTTGGCGTTGACGTCTTCGGTACCGGTAATGTCCGCGCCCACAACGTAGCCAGAGGATCTCTGCGCACCTTATCCAAGTTCCTCGCAAGGACTCGCGTGACCATCGAATTCCGCACCGGTGACGGTAAGAATGTCATCGCGAAGAAGGCGATCCAGGGTCTCGCGTGCAAGCACGACCTCTCCAGGCCCCCTATCGACAGCACCGTCTTCTTCACCAAAGACTTTGCCTACGGTGGCCCCTCGGAGGTCAAGTTCCAGCTGGAGCCTGAGGAGGGCCAGACTACGGTCATGGGCAACAAGCCGCCTGGTGCCTATTCAGTTGGGCAGTATTGGCAGTGGAAGTACAAACAGGCTCCTGACAACACCTTGCCGCTGGTCAACCTCGGCACGGCCGCCAAGCCCATGTTCTTCCCTGCCGAGCGGTGCACCATCGTTGCTGGTCAGGCTGTTCGTTCCAAGCTTACCGGTGACGAGACTACCATGATGCTCGACTTTGCTTGCCGCTCTCCTTTTGCCAACGCCATCTCCCTCGAGCGTGACAGCGCAGCGGCCTTGGGCTTTGACGAGCCTATCCTGCAGCAGTTTGGTCTGTCGGTTGACAAGAGGCTCTTATCTGTCATCGGTCGTGAGCTGATGCCTCCAATCGTCACCTACGGCAATGCCAAGACTCTCCAGGCTCGCAGTGGTTCTTGGAACATGAGTGGCGTCAAGTTTGCCAAGGCAGGCCCCCGGATCACTAACTGGAACTGGGTCCGCATCGTTGACACTGGAAACCCCAGGATCTCTACCGACGAGGTCGCAGAATCCGTTCGGCAATTTGTGGCATTCCTGAACACCAGTGGAGTCGCCATTGACACTCAGGCTCCAAACACCGCTCACCAGATTAATGTAGGTCGCGGCAATGCCACTGAGGACATCAGGAGAGCCTTCGCGGCTATCGACGCCCACACTAAGAAGGATAAGGGTACCAACAAGAACTTCTTCCTGCTTGTGATCCTGCCAAGGCAGGACACCGCCCTCTATGGCGCTGTCAAGTCTCTCGCCGACACCCAGTTCGGTTTTCACACCATGTGCTCCGTGGAGAAGACGTTCCTCAAGAACAACCCCCAGACTTTCGCCAACATTGGTCTCAAGTGGAACCTGAAGAACGGTGGCAACAATCACCTGGTCAAAGACACAAGCGACATCATCACTTCGGGGAAGACCATGATTGTTGGGTACGACGTCACTCACCCGACCAATATGCCTAACGACAAGAATGCCGCGCCCAGTCTTGTCGGCATGGTTGCCAGCGTTGATAGGGACCTCGGACAGTGGCCGGCCGTTGCGTGGGAGCAGGGTGCTCGCCAGGAGATGCTTGGCGAGGAGCTTGTCGAGCATTTCAAGTCTCGCTTGGTCTTGTGGCGCTCGCGCAACCAGGGCAAGCTTCCCGAATTCATCCTCATCTACCGCGACGGTGTCTCTGAGGGCCAATTCACCCAAGTTCTCACTATCGAGCTGCCCATGATTCGCAAGGCGTGTGCCCAGCTCTACCCGTCCGGACAGCGCCCTAAGCTATCCATCATCGTGTCCGTCAAGCGCCACCAGACGCGTTTCTATCCCTCTTCTGACCAGAACATGGACCAGAAGTCGCGCAACATCAAGAGCGGCACGATTGTCGACCGCGGCGTCACTCAAGCTCGTTACTGGGACTTCTTCCTGACGGCTCACACGGCTCTCAAGGGCACTGCTCGCCCTGCTCACTACACTGTGCTCATGGACGAGATCTTCAGGGAGAAGTACGGTGTCGGCACCGCGGCGGCAGACCAGCTGGAGAAGCTCACGCACAACCTGTGCTACCTCTTCGGCCGTGCCACCAAGGCGGTCAGTATTTGCCCGCCGGCCTACTACGCAGACATTGTCTGCGACCGAGCCCGTGTCCACCGTCCGGATCTCTTTGATGTTTCGGACGTGGCATCGACAGCCACGGGCGTGTCCCACGGCACCACGCCTTCGAACGTGATCCAGGTTCACCCCAACCTGCGGGACACTATGTATTACATTTGACGAGGATCATGAATTAGGAGCGCTGAGTTCGATCAGCGATTGGACACGATGAAAAGCGATTGATAGCAACGTTTTGGACTAGGTTTTACAGAAAATGGATATCATGGAGTGTAGGGTAGTCACATAGCATACACTGATAGAGAAAACACCGCAGCGTTTTGCCTGGAACTCGACTGCTCAATCGTGTCACGGCGAGGTCGGTGGTTTCGGCCGAGCCCGGGGTTGAAGCCGGACCGGGGCCGGTGCAATGTCATTGGCTTCACATTGACGTCAGTGGGGTGGGAGGGGTGTCCCAGCATGAGGGGCAGAGCTGCTACGGCGGGGTAGGAGCTGTTACTGTGCTGACAAAATAGCAGTGACGAGACACTGGAGCTTTTGAGGAGTTCGTCATGCACTTTTTTATGTCCGAAGAAAGGCCCCATCTTTGAAGCTTCCATCTCCGAGCTTGTTTGAGCGGCATCCCACAAACCACTTCACCGGCTTCTATGAACTCCTTCAGAGCACTTCAAAGACTTAAGCTTATCCAAAACACCCTCATTGCCAAGCCCCTTGGTAAGAATCCTGTCTGGTCTCTATCGCAAGCGTCATATTGTTCCCTCTGACCTTATCTTACCCACGCGCAGGACGAACCAATCAATTCGCAACCATGGCTGCCACGACGAACGTCAAGAACTACAAGTTCAATCACTCGATGTGAGCCTTGCATACTCAATTGTCTGCCAGCCTGGAGATCTGACCGAATGCCAGGATTCGAGTGAAGGACCCCAAGCGCTCGGGTACGCACTCATAGTCTGACCTTGTGTGTCTCGTCCACTCATGACCCCCTCTAGTCAAGTTCTACGAGACGCTCGGCATGTCCGTCATCAAGGAGATCAAGCAGCCGGAGGCCAAGTTCGACCTCTACTTCCTGGCCTACGACTCTCCCAAGGCCGCCTCCGCGGGCAACAGCACCTTTGACCGCGAGGGCATCATCGAGCTCACGCACAACTACGGTACCGAGGACGATGCCGAGTACAAGATCAACAACGGCAACACGGAACCCCACCGCGGCTTCGGGCACACGTGCATCAGCGTCGACAACATCCAGGCCGCGTGCCAGCGCCTCGAGGACGCCGGATATGCGTTCAAGAAGAAGCTGACCGACGGCAGGATGCGCCACATTGCGTTCGTCCTGGACCCGGATGAGTACTGGGTTGAGATCATCGGACAGAAGCCGATTGAGGAGACGGAGAGCATCAAGACGACCGATGTCACTACCTACAGAATGGTACGCGGGAGCTGCGATTTGGGGAAGAGCTGGCGCTGACGAATGACAGAACCACACCATGCTCCGCGTCAAGGACTACGAGAAGTCTCTCAAATTCTACCAGGAGGTCCTGGGCATGACTCTGATCCGCAAGAACGAGGCCAGCGACTTCACGCTCTTCTTCCTGGCCTACGGCGACCTGAAGGAGGGCGAGAGCCAGGCGCAGCGCGAGGGTATCCTCGAGCTCACCTGGAACCACGGCACCGAGAAGGACGAGAGCTTCAGCTACCACAACGGCAACGACCAGCCCCAGGGCTTCGGCCACATCTGTGAGTCACGGCGGAACATAATAACGTATCGGGAATGAGGGCTAACGCGAGCTAGGCGTCACTGTCGACAACATCGATGCCGCCTGCGCCCGCTTCGAGGACTTGAAGTGCAACTGGAAGAAGCGTCTCACCGACGGCCGCATGAAGAACGTCGCTTTCCTGCTTGACCCCGACAACTACTGGGTCGAGGTTGTGCAGAATGAGAAGTTCGCTGGCAAGGAGAACTTCTAAATCTACGACTTTCGAGCCACGAAATTGCGACGTTAGGGGCTGTGTCTTGCGGGTGCGGGATTGGCGTTCAGTGAGAGACAACGGGCGGGCGGATGAGCGATTGCATGGGTGAGGCGTGAAAAAAGTCAAGGTTGTCTTCTGAGCCGTTCCAGGCGTGTAGCGTACCTAGGTCGTACTCATTCGGAGAGCACAGAATCCCGGAAAGAAGCCATCGTAAGCAAATGAAATAAAGTAATCACTCATCTGTGCGGTTCACATTCCAAATCGCAGTGAGCTGAAGGGGTGGCGATGCTGAAGGATGCTGTGAGGATGAGCTGTGACCCCTGCCCGCAATGGAATCATGATGGAATCCCCCACTAATTCCACGCTGTGGCGCCAGAGTGCATCCCGTGTGGCGGCGACACCCCGCCAAAAATCGTTGACGCAACACCATCCCGCGGTGGCCACAGGCCCTGTAAAGCCGCCCCGTCCCAGCATCCCGGGCCTCCGATTTGTCACTGCCTCCCCTCATTGGAACATCATCCCGTCTTCAAACTGCACCCTCTCACCCTTCGCGCATAAAACCTCACCAAGACCCCCACCACCACTCACATTCTTGCTCCTAGTCAAGCTTAAACGTGCTCACCAGAATCTCAAACCTCTGGTGATAGTTCCGAAATCAGCAACTACACATTTGGCAGAATCTTTGCAAATGCGATTCTCACCCTTCATCTCAACCATTGTCTACACCTTCTCCAGCCTCACCCGTCCCCGCGTCGTCTCCGCCGCCGCCTCATCGGTGCGGCAACCGTTCGTCACCCGCCCGCTGCGCGCTTCTATGCCGAGTATCCCCTTCCTTGGAGCTCTCTTCGGGTCGTCTTCGCAGGACAAGATGTCGTATCCCGACAAGAGGACCGATGACGAGTGGAGGGCTGTTCTGAACAAGGGTACGCCAACCTCTCTCTGATTGTCTCAACGACTCACTCCACATGAGATCACATCACTAACCCTCACCCCAAAGAACAATTCCGCATCCTCCGCCAAAAGGGCACGGAGGCCCCCGGCTCCGGCACCTTCGACAAGCACTACCCCTCGGAGGGCGTCTACGCCTGCGCGGGGTGCTCGGCGCCGCTGTACAAGGCCAACCACAAGTTCAAGTCGGGCTGCGGGTGGCCGGCGTACTTCGACTCGATCCCCGGCGCCGTCGTGCGCCACGAGGACCGCACGCTCGGCATGGCGCGCACCGAGATCGTGTGCGCCAACTGCGGCGGCCACCTGGGCCACGTGTTCAAGGGCGAGGGCTTCGACACGCCCACCGACGAGAGGCATTGCGTGAACAGCGTCAGCCTGACGTTTTCGGCGGAGGATAAGGGGGAGGGTGCGGCGGAGGGCGGCAAGGTTGAGAGCAAGGCTTGAGTTTGAGTGATGGTGTCTGGGTGCTTTGGGGTGTACGGGAGTTGATGAGAGGGTGGGTGGTGTTGTGATTACAGCTTGTTCAGGGGCGTCGGTGTGTGTGGACAGATTCATACGAGAAGAAGAAATTTTAAGAAAGTCAATCCGTAAAGCTCATTGCGGGCTCCATAGGAGGGATATGTTCATGTTGCAAGACTTCAAGTTCTGAATGAATTACGTCTATTGTAGAACATGAGGTCTGCTTTCATTTCAACGCACTGTGTTGAAGTCTATCGTGAATACGTTTCTCGTATAGCGTGCAATCGTAACAATCGTGGCATGAGCTCCTGCAAATCCATTATGTCTTCGTCAAATTCTCCCATCATAAACGCTGTCTGGCATGGGACAAAATTCGTTTCCTCCACACATCGCTGCAGCCAGCTTCGCCAGTGGGATATCCATAGCCCCTGGGCCGTAGCGGGCGACGGCTTCATGGCATGACTGCCTGTTTCTCTGCAGCATCTCTGCAATCACCCGCTGCAGTGTTTCGGGGCGTGGGTCTTTGCACCATTTGTCGTAACCGTCGTCGCCAAAAAGGTTTATTTTCCACAGGAGCGTCGACTTCGCGACGAACAAAGCTATGTCATCAACACGGGGCGGGTGCTGTGTTTCTGCTGGAATGCTCTCTTGAACAAGTGGGCTTGTATATTGCGTAGAAATCTCCTCATTCCCTGCGAGATCATTGCTAAGAGTTTCCACGATGTCGTCGGCCCGGAATTCATCTCCATTGGTTGAAACTGGTTTGAGAGTCTTACGCGGAAATCCCTGAGAGGCTGGAGTGGGCATCCTAGGTAGCGGGATTGGAGTTGTTGAGATGCGCCTAGATGGCACATCAGACTTCTGCTTCTTGGAGGCGGCATCTTCCACTTCATTTTCGAGATTTCTCTTTGTGGTCCTCAAAGTGATTTTTGTTTGCTTCTTTTCAGCCGGGGTGTTCCTTCCGGATGCTGGTAGCGCTGGAGGCTTCGACCGATCGGTGATCATGGTGCTGCTCCTGATGCCAATGTCGGCATTTGAATCGAGACTTTGGTCTGCGACTTGAGATTGGGTCGGCTTTACTGAGGCTGACCGTCGGAAGGGGAGTTTTCGAGGTGGAGGAAGACCCTCCAAAGGATCAGTAGTCATAGGTCGTGGCCGACTAGAAAGGAGTTCCTCGACAGACGTCAGACCACCGCTGCCGGAGCTGAGCTCTTGACTCAAAGCGTGCCCGGGTTGCGACGATGACAGAGATTGAACGGAGGCTTGGCGATGAGGCGGTTGAGAAAAGTAGCCAGAGGAGGCTTGACTAGCTGCAGGAGCGACTGATGTGGCTGTACTCTCGTTGATCCTTGAGAGGGTACTGCTTGGTCTTTGTGCCAACCGAGATGGGGGGTGAGCACGAGAGGGAGGCCGCGTATGCCCGGCGATTTGGCTATGACCAATTGTAGGCCTGCTGCTGCTGATATATGACCCTGAAGATACAGGGGCTACGCTGCTCTGACGAGAGTATCTATGGTCTATGGCCGACCTTGGCCTGGCATCGGAGGGGGCTTCGCTCATGCCTCTGTGAAACGGTCTGGGCTGAGATGCCGCCAAGCGGCCAGAGAATGGCTCCGGACGTCTGAACACTGGTTGAGAAGTGCGTGGTGCCTGCTGAAGTGCTCTTGGAGGTAGGTTCAGATCCCCAAAGTCCTTCAAAACGTGGTCGAAGTCTGCAGGAATCTTGAAAATCAAGCAAACTTGGGTCTGCGTTGGGGTATCGTCCTGACCAAGGTTAGTCCTTCTGTGTTATAATTGTGACTGTCTCTGGTGTCTTCCGGCGGCGTCGTCGTCCTTACTCACCTCTATCGTTTCCCACCGGATGACAAGACGCAATGCGTGGTCGTCACGGCACAGCATGTAGTTGCGGTCTGGGGGCCTGGACCCATCGAAGCTCCCAAAATTGAGCTTCTACAGGCTTCTCAGCATGGAAAACCTCCAGTGGACCTTTCAGCTTACCAGCGAGCCCCCATGCTTGGGTACAACAAGTACATAATCCCTCTGTTGAGGGGAGGGCTTGTGCAACAGGCTCTGGCTGGAAAGCAGCTCCTCCAACTTCACCCCCAAGATGCAGTTGCCTTGGTCAGATGAGGTAATCCATTGGGGGGATATATGAGAGACTCTTTTCATAACCTGGGAGCGGCTTAGGCCAAACTCCCAGCGCAGCGCCTGGGGGAGCATGTCCGGCGATGTCCACGGATGGGGAGGATGACGACAGCGTAGAGAAAGAACAAGGACGACAACAAAGGCAGGGAAGGATGCAGAAAAGTGACTGACGGAGGGGGAAATAAGGAAGTTGAAAGATAAGAGCAATGGTTGGGAAAGAAAGAGCGAGCATGACTTACACCAGATCTCCAAGCCTAGGGCAACAGCTACCTACCTTAGTTGCAGGGGTCTTTCCCCATCAGTCAAGCAGGATCGTGGGGCAGGCAAGTGCAGCGCTAACCCCACTGGGAAAGCATAGTCCACCCGCTGCGGTCTTATCAGAAAGCTCTGAGTCACGTGATGATAAGCTCAGCAGCGACAGGGATTTTTCCAACGTCCAGTCTGTCGCGAAAACACGGTTGGTTTGGTTGGTTCCAGTCTCCGGCGCATCACCGACCGATCGCAAAGGGCCCCGAACCTGCGCGACAGCACCACCAACCCCTCTCCCATCGTGTGTTGCATTCTCAAAAAAAAAAAAAAAAATTCACAATCGGCACCTGCACTTCAATTAAACACGCGTGGTTCAACTGCCGAAACACGAAACGAGCGCGTTTGCGACAGCTTCTGGAACCCTGAGGCTCTCCTGCAGCCTGTCCTGGATCTCCACACGAAGGAACCCCAAGGCTTTTACACAGCTAGTTAGCCAACTGAATTTCTCACGATTGTAGAACATTCTAACCATTCTTTGACAGGTTCCACCTCGCAAATTCGACAATGGCGCCCTCGAAAGAACCGGAGAAGGAACCCGAAGTTCCCCTTCACTCCATCAGCCGAACACCAGAGTACGAGGATTTCATGAACAAGCTGAAAGCATACCACAATGAGCGCGGCACTACTCTTGAGGCCGAGCCTAAGGTCGGGCCGGTCTATCTCGATCTGTTCAAGACATACACCCACATCTGCGAGAATGGCGGTTACGACAAGGTCTCCGATGAAAAGCTAGCCTGGCGGAGGATGGCAGAACAGTTGGGCATTCACTCTTCCAACGTTGCGTCGACTGCCTTTTCCCTGAAAGAAAAGTACTATAAGAATCTTGCTGCCTATGAAATCAAGTTTCATCATGGCAAAGAGCCTCCCCCAAAGGACATCTTGGAGGATGTGTCAGCCAAGGGTGGAGGTCTGTTGATGCGTACAAGGGAGAACTTCCGCGGCAAGCGCGAAAGCGGCACTGTTGGAGACTCTGCGGCGGCCTCTGGCGACGATGCCACCCCTTCTCGAGAGCGGCCGACCCCAGACGCCCCCGCTCCTTCAAGCGTCAGAGCCTCCCGAGGTTTACGTGAAGCCCCCCCTCAGAGAGTCATCTTCCAGCCGGACACCGGCCCGTCTAGGCCGACGCGCCATGCTTCCGGTCAACAGCCTGGCCATGTAGGAACGCCTACTTCTGCGGGTCAGCCCGGTGCTCACCATGCCCTCCCGCAACAAGTACAACACACTCCAGTTCCTCTTCCGCATCAACCACGTGCGGCTCCAAGGGGACCAAGCAGCAGCTTCAACCCTGCCAATAGTGAAAACACGTCATCGGCACTTGACGTTTACATCCCCAGATCGTTGCAGCCGCCGCAGCAGCAGCAGGTCCTTGCCATGCGACCAGTTGAGACTCCCAGCAATAATCCCGGAGAATTTGCCCGGCGCCGGCAGGTGGCTCGTTCTCTTCTGGAGCCGCCTCGCCGTACGGGACCCCATCCCGGTGGTATGTGACCCTCGTTGTTTTGCTTCACGCAAGCTTGCTTACATTGTTTGCAGTTGGATTCGAGGGCCCGAACATCTACATCCGCTGCCTGATGGCTCTGCGCTCGAACATCTTCCAGGAGCAACAATTTGCTCTGTACCATCTGGTCAAGATTTCGTACGAACGGCATGACAAATTCAAGTTCGAGGGCTTCCCCGGTCTCAGCGAAGGCTTGGTCGAAAAGGTTCTGGAGATTGGCAGCTACTTTTACGACATCAAGTGGAAGGTTTCTTGGACTTCTCACTTGGCCGCCGACAGAATCGACATTCTTGATGGTAACGAAGGCACCGACGATATCCTCGAGCGCATCGATACCTTGGAGCCCAAGCAGCTCAACGAACTCATTGTCCCCGCAGAGCTTGCCGACAGGATGGTATTGATTAACGAAGCCGCCTTGACGCTGAGAAACATGTCGCTCCTTCGCGAGAATGCTGCACACCTGGCTGATTTCCTACCGATCAAAGACCTCATCTGCATCGTCTTGAGCCTTCCCAAACACGAGTGGGTCGTCGAGTTGAAGCATGCCATGCTCGATATTGCCGAGTCGCTTACCCCGTACCTGGAGATTGACTCTCGAGATCCCTTGTATAAGGTCCTCATGTGGCAGCTCCGTGACTCCGACGACCGCGGCGTGATCCTCACGTCTCTTCGCGCTCTTGGTCGCATTTCGATGAACTTCGAGGCCACCAACAAGCTGGACAAGGTCCCGTCTGTCGTTTTGACCAAGATCAGCGAGTTAATGTTGCTTAACGACGACGAGCTCATGGATGCCTGTCTCGATTTTCTCTATCAGTACACTGCCGTTGTCAACAATGTCGACAACCTCGTCAAGTCGCTCAACTGCGAGCATTTGGTCCAGCACTTGGTTCGCCTGCTATCGCACAATGCCAGACGCTGGCAGCACGAGACGTCTCTGCGGCCTGCGATCAAGCCAGCTCAGACAGACGACCCTGCTGCCATGCCTGAAGACCTGCTGCAGGAGCTCCTTAAACTCGAAGAACCTGAGCGATGTAACCAATGGGTCAAGTGCTTTTTCGAGGAAGATAAGGACTCCTTCGTCACGCAGATCGCGGCCTGGCAGGCATACCAGACCGCATTCAAGGCTGCCTTGCAAGCTAAAGGCCAACCGCTCATCACTCCAGCTGACTTTATTAGGAACAGCTGCTCTGTCTACAAGGGCTCAAAGGCTGAAGTGTGGCATGGCTCGGGCGCTCCCGGTGAGATGCAACAGAAGTTTATTATACACGGCATCCGCTGCAGGACGCAGCCCGTGGGCCTTGACGGCAAGGTCTTCCTCCGTTGTCTCTGGGACTCGTCGAGCGGCCGACCGAACGAGAAGTGCGGCCATTTCTTTGGATCGAAGGAGACCATGTGGAACCACGTCGTCTCGACACATCTCAAATGGACTCGTAACGAGGAAGGCGCATTTGACAACAGCGAAGAAGAGGTTCGGTGTCAATGGGCTGACTGCACCAAGTACGCGAAGGCAACCAAGATCAAGCGCGCCGAAATGGGCCATCACCTCCAGACACACTGTTGCCAAATCTTCAATGGAATCGAAATCAACAAGAACAAGTCTCTTCCCGGATCCCAGCCTGGCGACACCATGGTCTTCCAGTACGAAGAGACGGCCGCTATCCATGACGAGCAGAACCCCGCCGCGGGCCCCCAGGCTGCTGGCATTCCTCTCAGCGCGGTGCTCATCCTTCGCAATATCGCCCGCAACGTCGTCAAGACCCCTGCCCAGGAGGATCTCCTCAAGTTGCACGAGCTTGGAGGCGAAGGCGGCGGCTGGAACGAGCGTCTGTTCCGCACTCTACTTCCCCGTCTTTACGAGATCATGAGCGAGAACAAGATTCTGGTATGTCCCACAAGCCCTACTCTGTGCTGGCAAACACGCCGTGCTAACACGTTTACAGGCACCTTACATCGTGTCCCTCATCCGGTGGGTTGAGTCGGAGAGAGACTTGTAGAACATGATCGCGCCAAGGATATCCGGACGATGATGGATGAGGCTTCCGACGATGGTGCCATTAGGAAGTACCGTGATACGAGAACATTACTCTGATTATTATTTGGGATGGCAAAGACCCAGGCGTTGGAGAGAGCGGTGGCCTCGGAACTTTTGCGATTGTGGGATTATTGCAGGCGTGGTTTACGTCTTTTTTCTTTCCTCTTTGTCGACTTAGGAGGCTCACGTTGGTAATCATGCGTCCGAGAGAGGAAGGGGAGGAACTGCATCTGGAGTCTTCATGCATCTGACGCGTAGAGACGTCACTTGCTACGCTACTTGTATCTATATGTAAAATAATACGCGCGGCAATACCGTTAGGAAGATAAGAAATGCATGTGCAAAGAAAGGTTTCTCACAGCATAGAGTTGAGCCCATCTCCCGTCGCGAAACCCAATTGACGTCAATGTTTGTAAACACACACTTTCGAGGGAACGGTTAAAGTTCATCTCATTGTTGCTTCAACTTATTTTTCGTTCCAATTATCCTGCTTCCCATTCGCGTTTTGATGCATGCCATGTTCCCCCGGACATCATCCGCACATGATTGACGCTGGGAAAGGCACGGGCCGAAGGAAAGAGTGGGTGTGACCGTGTGTGGGTGAGCCTGTCCTTTTTTGTTTTTCGGGTTCTTTTTCGCTGCTCGCACGCAATGCTGCCGGATCGTGGTCCCCGGGGGCGGGAAGGGATCGCCCAGGGCATGGATTGACGGACGATGGATGGGACTGAGGGGTCCATTTCACGATGGTGGGCCCGTGGCGGAGCTGGAGCTGGAGCTGGAGCTTGAGCTTTTTCAAAGCTAGGGGGAAAAGGGCGTGTTAGTTATCGTACGACTCGACGCTACGTCATTCTTGGGCGCCGCGGGGAAAAAAAAAAAAAAAAAAAAGGGATCACCCATCACATGCTCCACGACGGTCTCACGTTGCAAAGTCAAGGCAAGGCGCCAAGGCGTATGAAGTACGTGACACAAGGACGTGTCCTGGATTCTATCCTGCGATCTTGTCTGTCTGTCTCATCTACCGTGGAAACCCAGAGTCCAAGCCTTTGACGTTTCTCTCTATCCTCTTATGTTCATTTCCCAAAGCCACCAAGACCCAAAACCCAGAAAAAAAGAACGGTGTCCCCCTTCCGAATCCATGATTCGTTCCAAAAGACCACACCTTGTTTTTTGAGACTCCTGAAACTGCCTTGCCTGCTTCGAAAACAACACACTCGATGATGGGGTTGGAAAAGCCAAAGTGATTAGGTGCCGTGTGACCCTTGGCGCTGGGGGGTATAGTCCCGGAATGTTGCAATCGACGAACGTAGGAGAAAGTGTAGACACAAGGAAATCGGCACGAAGTCGCGGAAGGCCGCGACCAGGACGAGGCGGTGGTTTGCTGAAGCCACGGGTAACACGTCTGCACGAGTCAGACGTACCGGAATGGTAGCACAGCGATGCCTCTCATCGTGGAAAGCAAATGAACGGCCTCAAGTGGCTGCGAAATGCAAAAGACGATGTCGTTGTAGACTGGTTGTGTAGTAAGCAACTTGCCAGATTCGTGCGACACCTTCTCGGCCGCGAAGCCGGGAGGAATTTTCCTTGCGCACCCGCTTAGTAGCAGGTGTAGCCACCGTCAATGATGACGTTGGAGCCAGTCATGAAGCTGGAAGCGTCACTAGCGAGGAAGACGCAGAGACCGTTGAGGTCGTCGACGGCGCCGAGGCGGTCCTGAGGGGTCAAGGACTTCCAGATCTTCTTCTGGGCATCGAGAGCGGGGACGCGGTTGAGGGCAGTGTCCATGTATCCGGGAGAGATGCAGTTGACGCGGATGTTGTACTTGGCCCACTCAGCAGCGAGGGACTTGCCAAACTGGATGACACCAGCCTTGGAGGCGTTGTAGCAGGACTGCTCCTGGGGGTAGTTGACAATGCTGCCAGACATGGAGGCGACCAGGATGATGGAGCCGGGCTTGCCAGCCTTCATCATGGCGCGGCCAACAGACTGGGACATGAGGAAGGAGCCAGTCAGGTTGATGTCGATGAGGCGACGGAACATGGCGGGGTCGTAGGTCTCGGCCTTGATGTTGGAGCTGTTCACAAAGATGTATGTTAGTGGGGCTGCGTAAGCGAAAGGGGACAATGTGATGTCGTGCACTCTGTGTGCACACTGCATTGTGGGGAATGACGTACTCGGCGATACCAGCAGAGTTGACAAGGACATCAGGAGCGCCGTAGAGCTCAACCACAGAGTCGACAGCAGCGTTAATGGCAGCGCCGTCACGGACATCCACCTTAAAGAAGGTGACGGGCAAGCCGGTCTTCTGGTGAAGCTCAGCAGCGGCCTCATCACCCAACTCCTGGTTGGCGTCAAAGATGACAAGGGCCTTGGCTCCGGCCTCAGCGCAGGCGCGGGCCATGTAGTTGCCCAGACCACGGGCACCACTGTCAATTGAAGTCAGCGAATTGTTCCATCATGATTTTCGATGGGAATCCGGGCCAATTGGGTGGTAATTGGGAAGGAAGGGGGGAAACCAAGCTTACCCAGTGACGATGATGGTCTTGCCCATGACGGACAGCTTCTGCATCATGGGAGGCATAGAATCGAAGGTCTTGCGAGTGAGAGGGACGACATTGTCGTTCTCAGGAACGGGAAGGGGGGTCTCGGTGGGAGGGCGAGAGTCGTGCTCGCGGACGGGGATCGAGAAGTGGTCCGACTGACCAGTGCCCTTGGCGTCGGGGGCATAGACCGAAACGGGGATCTCCTTCTCGCGGACGACGTCGCTCTTGAGAGCGCGAGCCGAGATCGAGAAGGGACGGGCGACCTGGCTGCGGATGGCGAGGCGGGGAGCGAGGCGGGAGGTGAGACGCAGGGCAGAGCGAGCGGAAGCCATTTTTGCTGTTGTCGGTCGGGTTGAGGTAGGTAGGTAGGAGGGAGAAGATAAGGATTCTGTAGAAGATGGAAAGTGGTGATGCTGCTTGAGAAAAAAGAGTAAACAGACGTGAGAGAGTCTGAGACTGTTGATGTAAAGCGCGAAGATGGGAGTTTGCGCAAAAATACAAGCTTGGTTGGGGAGGGGAGGAAGAAGATGGCAATGGAATGTGGATGGGAAAGGGCAGGTCGAAGAGGTGCGAGCAGGAGCGCGTCCAAGTTGATATAGGTCCGAAGGGGGGCGGGAGGGGACTGGCGGCGTGGTCCGTGTAAGCTCAGCCAGACGGGGGAAGGTAGTTAGGTAGGTCACTGAACTGAAGGTGAAAAAGTTATCCGTAGGTGAGGTGAGGTAAGGTAGGGGAGGGAAGGAGGGAAGGAGGCGGGAGGGCAGGAGCGATGGGGACTGCCCCGGGCAAGACGGTGAGATCAGCTTGGGAGGGTACAGCTGGCACGCAGTAAGGTGAGGTGAGGGACCGGGAGGAGAGGATTGGATCGAACGGGGCAGCTACGGTGAAGTTCTACAGTGCAAGCTGGAAGGAAGGCGTCAGGACCGTCCGCTACCGTATGCGTACCTTCCAGCAGCGGTTTCTGAGGCGAGCTCTCTACGGATACCTGACATCAGGCTTGGGACCTTCCTAGTCGACTAGTGTTGCAAGTGACGGACGTGGAGTGGGTGAAGTGTGAGTGCCCCCCAAAGAGCCCGGTTTTTTTTTTCAGACCAAAAAAAAAAAGTTGCCCAGAGAATGTTTTTCGAGGTTGCAGCTGCTTGAGCTCCTGTTGGTGTGACTGACGGTGAATGGGATTGTTTCCGGTCGGGATACGATGGGATGAGATGGCAATTGGGGAGATCTGGACACACCCACTCGGAGCTGGTGGTGTTGCCGCCACAGGGGTAATAGCCGTTCAGTTGCCTGGGACTTGGAGGCAACACCATGCACTGCGACATGCACCCGTGGGCGGGCATATCTGGAAATACAGCAAGCAAGGGGCCCTGGGCTTCTCTGCTGCAACCCTCTTCGTGGTGAGAATGGGGGTCAACTCAGCTCGTATAAAATGTCTACTTTTGCTCTTCGCTGAGGAGAGACCAACCTTTCGCCTGCGAGACTTCTGAGCTGCCAGTTTCTGAGCAGCCCCTGGCAGCTCGCTGGCCGCAATGGATGCGAACATAATCTCCATCTCCTGATGCTATCCGGGATCTATTTCAATACCTACGTCTCTGGAGACTGGCGGATGGCGGCACCTCTACAAATGGAAGTACATCCAACACCTAGCTACCCGGGCATTCAGTAGAAGGTGGAGTGCAGCGTTGCATGTCCGCAGCTGCAGTGCAGGTGCGGTGGGTGGCGGCTACTCCGTTCGTCCTGCCCGTCAAGGCCGCCCTGGACGCTAATGCAGACCCCGCCGTAGCGCATTTACCCCCCTGCAATTCCACCCTACCGTAAATAAGGGTAGATATCTAGCGTTTATTAAGGTACAAATACGTCACATTCGCATCGAGCTTACCTTACTTGACGGGTCGCTGGGTCCATATCATGTTGTCGTCGTCCTCCTCCTCCTTGTTGTTGACGGGTCGCCCCTGATGACACAACCAAATATGAGGTGCATGACGGACCACCATGACAGCTTGTTGCGGTCGAGGCTCTGCCGCTGTCGTGGACCGAGATGGGACGAGACCTCACCGCTGTCGTGACATGCCTATAAAGCCTACAAGAAAGGCTTGAGTTGAAAATTCGAGGCGATCTAGTGTTGCTCGCTGATAAGGAATCAAACACCATAATCGGCGGAGGTGGGTGCCCCCAATCATCTGCGGGAGTCGTGCTCTGGGGCGTCATGGTGGGCCGCTGAGTTGATTGTGGAGTGGAGGGAACAACGACACATTGCACCTAGGATGTTGCTTGCTTGCTTGCTCGCCCATAGTCAGGAGACTCCGACCTCCTGGCACTGAAGTATTCTTCTGCCCTGGATGCTCCCGCCAGCTCACCACCCTCCTTGAGTCGGGCATACTTGTGTTGAGAATGTCAGGTTGCTGGTTTTTCTGATGTTTGCACACTGTTTCTTCTGTGTCTGGATCTGTTTCTGAGGAAACTGTGTCTAGAGTCTGGGACCTTGACTCTGAGAGCTGACAACCAACTCATGCCAATGGCAGTAGCCAAAAGCGCGGCTGCATTGACCCGCGAATTGCTCTGTAATTTTTGCAATGTCTTTTGAACTGAGCTTGTCCACCGTTGGTACGAGGCAGCTGTACATTTTAGCATTCCCCAACTCCGTCTGCCTCTTGACATTGTTTTCTCTGACCGGTCGGAAGGCGGCAGTAATGGCGGCGCGACAGAGGCAAATTCCGCAGAGTACAAACGGTGAAGTGGCAAATAGCTGCGTGTCGATCGTTTTTCACACCTCCCAGCGCTAGGGACGCCTTACCTACGATGTAGACATAGGTCTTGTGGTTTTCTCATGTCGTTTGAGCTTCAAAATGATGCATCTTGAGTTCGAAGCTGTCATCAGCGCCTCAAGATCGCACGCAAGCCTTAAACATTGTTTAGCAGACCAACTGCCAGCAGTCCGTCATTCGAAGACAGTGTCGCTGTAATCAACCAGCCTGCTTTGCGCGGTGCAACTTAGATTGACGTTCATGAGTATCGAGCAGAGGTTCCAAGTCTCCACGCGAGAGACCGAGAGGTTCCCGCCGGAGTGAGCGATAGGTATGGTGGTGTGGAAGGTGAGATCCGAAAGCCAACCTGGTGGCCCATAGACCGTCAGGGCGGTAAGTTTTTTTGGGCAGTGCAGACTGACAGAAGGCTGGCACACTCGGCCGAACTGTCGCCGAGAATTCTGTTTCTCAAGCATCTGTGGCGGCCAAGCTTTTCGGTGCCTCCCGAACCTTCAGAGATTGCTGCAATGCAATTCTGAGCCGCGCGGCGAGTTTGCTGTACGAAGAGGCACTAACGCCGGCTCGTCTGGTTGTTGTCCATCTGTCTGTCTGAGATGTATGCAGCTTGCGCAAGTCTCAGATGCAATGCACCTACTCCGATTTCGCTCGAGATGAGCTTGTCTCTCCTTCCCATGTCCGCGACACGAGAAAGGAAAGGACACGGATGGGTGCTGGTCACCTGGACTTGAAATATTGATTAAACAGGCCGGAATATGGGGAAGCCGGGTGAGGCGTGCGTAATTGCGCCGTCAACGGTCGGGCATCTTCCAGATAGTTGCTGCTTTTTTGAGCACCCAAAAGTTCGTTTCGCATACTTAAAGCCTCGAAACACATTGTTTTGGCCAAGAACACCACTCAGAGATTTCAAGACAGGGCCGTCAGTATGCCTGCTCTGACGGCTCTGTGCAACAGTGACATCGGACAAGCTGGCGAAGCCGTTTGAAGAGCAGGCTTGTGTTCACTTTTCTTCCGTACAAGCAAGAATAGCAACCGTCAAGATAGATCAGTGTCAAGCGGGGGAAAGGGTCGCACGAGCATCCGGGGCGCTGGTTCATGCGAGTCTCACATCCAGTTGATCCCCAGGAACCTGTCTTCGAGTCAAATGAGACGTGTTGCGTCCTTCTGGATCGTTCAGCTAGACGGCATCCGAATCGTTGGAAGTGTGAGTGTCGAGCTGCAGCGGGGCACGTGGCTACAGTTAGCTTCAGGCACCGTCTCACCCAACTCTGGACCCTGCTGGAGGCCCTGTGCTTTACACGACACATCTCATCCAGGTATGAGAAAACGTGGGACGGACAACTGTCCGTGTTCTGCGTGCGTTCCCTTGCCTCCTCCTGCGGCATCAATACAGGGGTAGCTTTTTCCTCCTGAGCTACCTTGTCCCCCAGCCGCTCTTTCCAAACACCGTTCCGCTGGTTCCCCGGATGACTCGCTAGGTAGGGTTGCACACAATGGAACCCAAGGGCTTCGAGGGCGGTCTGGAATGAGTATTGGGAAGCTTGTCCTCGCATAGAAAAGCATGCCGTGGCAGTCACCGCCTAGGTGCAAGTGCTCTCGCATGTTCAGCGGCCGACAGTTCCAAAACTGGGGCCGGAGACCATTGCCTCTGGAGGCGTGAAAGTACTGTAGCTCGAGCATCCTTGGCGCTGTCGGTAGGCGCCGGTAGCAGGGGAGGGCTGACGGCCGACTATTCCTCAAACGTCGTCTCGGGTGAGCTGGCAGAACGCCGATGTTGTTAAGAGTGCGGGGGAGAGTCTGATATTATCTAGCAAGTTTGCATTGCTATGTAGAAAGCATGCCTCAGCTGGGCGTCATGGGCAACGGCAGAGGGTCGGTCAGGCCTGAGCATGTCTCGTATGAGGGTTGGAAACCGGCGAAAACAAGCGGCGAAAGTTTTCGAGACATGTACAGGCCAGCAGCAAACTTGTTGCTGGTTTGGAAAGAGCTTGTGGCCAGGTTGCAGTTCCCATGGACAGGATATTGGTTCCAAAATACTGAGACTGAGCACCGCGGTTGTGTTCCCGTTGCCGGTTGGGGGATCGTCTGGAAGCTGGAGGAGACTAGCGACGCTCGGCGTGGAGAAAGGAGACGGTGTCCGTCCCTAGCTGGCGGAGCTATCGTGGGTACCCGGAAGAGGAGCCATTGGCGGTGCCTCGGGGAGCTGCTCATCTGGGAAGTGCTTTTTGCAACGTGTCCCAGGTGAGAGTCTGGAGAGCGTCGATTCCTCAGAAGATGAGCTAGGCTCCGGTGGTGGTATGTTTTGACGGCGGAGGTGGTGATGCCATGGCCGGGGTGTCTTATTGGAAGTCGATCAGATGATGAGAAGAGATTTTTTCTTGCAGTTGGGTTGTCCAGAGGAACTTTGGCTCAGACATCCCTGACGAGCCGCATTAGCAAGGTGCTGAGTTGGCTGCGCTTGCCTTTCTTTTCTGGTGCAATGGTCATGTAATTTTGTAGTAAAACTTGGGAAGGGGGTAAGGCCAGACTAAAACTAAGGTTGGTACGAATATTAGTAAACTGCGGGACACCTTCACGATGTTTTCGTCTGGAGAAGGAGCGGGAGCTTGCGTGCTCACAGTGGATAGGTGTACTATGTAAGAAGATCAGCTCCAGTATTCCAGCCCATCTTTGAGGCTCTCGTGGCGGCTGCTGGCATCCCCAGTCGTCCCAACTGCCTGTTCCTCTAAGCTGCCCCAGCTAGAGCTTCACGATGCAGGCACCGCACGCTCTCAAGCGAGCCCGACTGCTAAAATGGGAACAGGCAATTCGGACTTGCGCCTGGACCAGAACCTTAGCACCTGCCAGCAGCACAGACGATCCTCAACTTCCTCCCCTTTGCCAGAAATGTTTGGTTTCGGGGAAGGAGGTGCACTCGATGTAATCAAAGTCACGCAACGTACTCAACTAATTACTATTACACACCCATATCCACGGAAACTGTCCGCCCTTCCAGCCTCTACCGAACGTTCTCTGACACTCTGTCTTCTCCCACATACTCATCAAGCGGTCTGTTCTTGACTCCCAGGTCCCCGGCAGGGATTCGTCTCCTATCTTTCCACGAGGCCTTCGACCTTCCAGCGTTTCTTCGCTGCAGTGCAACCCTGCGAACACGCACGCACCTATCCCCACAAATCCCGTCCGTCGACGGGAGTCTCCCCCAAGAACAAAAGAAGCCAGACTGACTCCATCGTGACCCGGCATCAGCCTGCCACCTCCACCCCCGCGGCTTGGACGCTGTAATGCCGTCCCTAGCGTCGAAACATCGTGGCGGTCCACCATGGGATGAGCACCAATTTTGTGGGTTTCTAGGCCGACTCCATCACCTGTCCGTCGTGCTGCCCACCATCACTGACCTAAAGATATCGGTGAACCGAAAGACCGGTCAAAGACTAAGGTGACTTACATCACAGAACTCGGATCATCAGCGACTGGTAACGGCTTTCTTGTCTCGGTCTAGCTCGGCTCCGCAGTCATTGTCAGATGATACTTCTGCATGTTAAAACTCCGATCGACCTGGGTCAGTGTGTATGACTGGTCATATTGGAAACCGAATCAATATTGGTTGTTCTCTCGACGCCGAAAAGAGACACCCGAAAGTGAGCGGCGCCGTGACCCATACCTCATTTGTCTGCCGCCAGCCTTCTCGGACCTGCCTTACGAGGCAGACGGTCTCAGCTATCAACACTCGTCAGGCTTAACAGATTAAAACGGTGCTCTCGCAGATGGCGCTGTCGATCCTCAAAAACACACGCTCTGGCGCACTCCGCCGCAATGATTTACTTGGTTCGTGTTAGATTCATTGCTTCTTCTCCTGACTCGTTTAGGGTAGCAATCTCAGTGGTTTGCACTGCCATAAAAAAACGAACGAGCGTGCCCACTACATGCTGTGCAACACCCACCTCTATCTCGGACGAATCTCCGAAAACCGTGGATGCCCCTCTGAGTTATGGCCAACGGGATTGAATGTCCTCGCGTCAATGTTCAATGTCAGTCGGACTCCTTGAACTTACTTAATGACACGGAAAACGTTCTGTTACTATAACCTTCAAGAAGACCAGACACATCAACTACTTCCGACGCGGTTCAGGCGCTCGTTGGTCTCCATTTGCTTTTGATGATGGACCAACTCCAGGGTCAGAATGGGCGGTGACAGCAACATCGCTATCCCATCTGCCCTCTCGCGGACTCGACAACTCCACGTACCTTCTTCAAGATAAGTTGAGAGGAGGCGGTCCTGGGAGCCTCTGCCGTAATTCGTCACGATGTTGTATTCTTCACCGCGCCTCCATGCAGACTGCCTCCTCAAGATACTACTGGTGAGCTCTGGCTTCATTGACAATACACGACTTCGGTACAACAATGTTGGCCACCCCACGCTCGCCCAAGCGGGTGGCAACCTTTGCACAACGCCGTGTCGCCGCAAAAGGGAAGATGAAACAGACCACGACGGATGAAGAGCTTCTCGAAGCCTGCAAAAAGTCAGGGCTTCCCCGTTACCGTGGGAGTCTCGCCGGGGTCCCGTGGCCGAGCGTGGGCGCCGTGGGGGGTCAGCAAGCGACCCCCATCCCGCATCGGCGGCTAGGTTTTCTATCAGAAAAGTTTTCAATTTCGCCCGTCATTTCCTCCAGTTGTGAATTTCGTGCGCAAAACTGTTCTGTGCTGTCGACCTGCTCATTTTGGCTCCCGCCGCGGGTGCGGACATGGAGGTTCTTGGGACATTCGGGGAACCCCCAACCTGGTCTTCCGGTCGAGACTGATTCATGATGGACGTGTTGCTGCAAGTTCTAGAAGACGGATGCAAGAGCATGACCAGCGTCACCGCTCAGGAAGGGAAAATCTCTATCGGGGCGATGTTGCTCGATGTGATGCTGACTGTGTCTCGGCGCCTCTGGCTGATGTTGCATGCTATGCAGTAAGACTTTTCTTCTGGCGGCGCAGATGTTATGATATAGCAATTTTACTGGATCATTCAAGACTAACAGATATATGAGCTGGGACGAAGGAAGCTGTCTACAACAAGACGATGGATAGCGATGGAAGGGTAGGACGTAGCCAAGGCAACTCACTGCTCAAAAGAGGCCTCGCCAGATCAACAGTTGATATACGCTGGGATGCATCAAGATAAAGTCAGGTACGGGGTCACACTTTTTTGAAAGACGTAAATACACATCACAGTCTGAATATAACCAAAAGCAGAGGTAGATCAATCCAGTATGTATTGCCATTTTTGTGTGTTATATATGTGTCAATGTGCCTGGTATCATGGTATTCTCCCAGGTATCGATGATGATGAGGTGGCTCACGCATGCAGCCCGAATACTCTCGCTATAAATCTCCTACCACTGCAGCTCTCCTCTCGCTGCGTCTTCGCGAGGCTCCTCGGACCAGTCCATCACGAGTGCTCTCAGCTGGTCTCTGAACTGATTCAGCTCAGTTGTTGTATCTGTTGTGCCATGCTCAGCCCCCGACTTCTAATCCCGGGGCGCACGCGAGCTGAGGCCCTCCTGCACGGCAGCCAGGATCAGGTCCTTGGCCTTCTCAACACCCTCAGCGGTGCCGATAACCTCGATGGCGTCCTCATTGGCGTCGTTGCGAGGAACGTTGATCTTGCAACCGCTCTGCTTGCGGATGGTATTGACCTTGCTGCCGCCCTGGCCAATGACGTAGCGGTAGGTCTTGGGGTCGGGAAGGACAAGGTAACCAGTGTGGGTGTTCTTGCGGGCCTGCTCAATAGCGGCGGCGATGGCAGCCTTGGCCTTCTCGATGTTCTCGGGAGAACCGCGCAAGACCCAAGGGATCTCGCCGTCCTCACTGGCGCCGGTATCCACAACCTTCCAGGAGTGGGCATCGGCAACGGCATCCTCGTCGTCGGTGATCAGAGGCAGAGCACCGCCGTTGCTGCGGCTGGCGCCAGCGCTGGGCTTGGCGGGCAGGGCAGCGCCAGCGTGATCGACGGAAATCTGGTGGTTGTTGCGGAGCTGGCGGAAGAACTGGCCGTTGTTGGAGATGGCGTGGTGCAGACCACGAGGGACCTGCAGAGTCTCGCCATCCTGCTCCTTGACGAGAGAGGCAATGTGCTCCTTCGCCTTCTCGACATTCTCGGGGCGACCAGTAATCTTGACGCCCGTCTTGCCGTCACCCTGGCGGGGAATGTCAATGGAGACGTTGAGCTGGGACTCGAGCTGGCGCTTGGCCTCTCCACCGCGACCGATGAGGGTTCTGTGCTTCTCGGTGGGGACATCCAGAATCTCGGTGACCTGGCTGTCCTTCTCCGCGACAATCTCCTCGATCCTGGCAACGATTTTGCTGACAACGTCCGAGCGGCCCTCGATCTTGATCGTGTTGCCATCAGCCTCCTGCTTGGGGAACTGAATGGTGCGTGCAAGCTCGCGGCGGTCGTCAGAACCGCCAGCCTTGACAACGATATCACGGAGGGTAGCACCTATCAGTGGTTAGCTTGGAGAAACAGAATGCAGGTTAGGTTGAACAATCTCACCTCCAGCACCAATGAGAGACTTGTGGTGCTTCTTATCAACCTCAATAGTCTTCACAACGGTGTCGTTGAAAACATCTCTCTTCTCCTCGAGAGCCTTCTTAGCAGCAGCGACCTGAGACTTAGTGCCCTTAATCTGAATCTCGACGGTCTCGGCATCACGTCCGCTGGGGATGTCGATCTTGGCACCGGTGGTCTGGCGGAGCTCATCCAGCGCAGCGCCACCCTGGCCAATGATTGACGGGACCTGCTTCTGCTGGACAGAGACGGTTGCGGTGAAGGAGGTATCCTTCAGGTACTGGAGAAGAGACAGAATCTCGTCGCGAGCCTCATCCGCTCCCTTCTTGGGACCGCGAACGATAACCTCGTCGGGGTTCTGCACGCGCTTGGGCTTGCCAGCGTCGCTGGCAGCGTCATTCTCCTCCTCATCCTTGTTGCTCTTTCCAGAGCGGGGGAAGAAGATGAGAACCTTGTACTTGGACTGCAGGCGGTTGGTGACGCTTCCTCCAGAACCAATGAGCTCTCTGTGGAACTTGGGTTCGACCTTCAGGACGTGAGTAACCTCATCGGCGAGAGTGCGACCAAGGGAGCTGATGTGGGCCTTGGCAGCCTCGGCCTTAGCCTTGGGGCCCTTCAGCTCGACCTTGCCATCCTGAACCTGAATCTCGACGTCGAAGCGCTCGCGCAATTCCTTGATGTTTGAGCCGCCCTTGCCGATAAGGTGGTTGGCATACTTCTGAGGGAAGTCGAAGGACATGGTGAAGCCACGCTCCTTCTCATCCTCCTTCTCCTGCTCAACGAAGGCGTTGACCTTGGCCTCGAGGTTCTTGACGGCAGAGGCGGGGCCACGGAGAGTGACAACGGTGCCGACAGAAGAGACACGGATGGGGATCTGGTCATCGGCACGGTTGGCCTGCTCCTTCTTGATGAAACGGCGGAGGCGCTCGTGGAACTTCTGGGGAACATCGATGGAGGCAGAAGCAATCTGCTCCTGCTTGTTGATGATGTCGAGAATCTGCTTGCGAGCATCCTCCAAGCTCTGCTGGAAAGCACGGATTTCGTCCTGAGACGGGCGACCGGTCTTGATCTGGGGCTTGGACTCAGGAGCAGAGGGTCCCTCAAAGACAAGGAGGACAGGGGCGTCGATCTCTCCGGCCTCAGGAAGGACAACGTGGACACCGTGGTTGTCTCTCATGCGGGGGCTGATATCCTTGTTCAGGTACTGGTGGTAGAAGGGGTCGACGGGGATGGGGACGATTCTGGCAGGCGGGATGGCGTGAACAAGCTTCTCGATGGCGGATTGAGCCTGGAGAACGTTCTTGCCATCACGCGCGTACAACTCGTAAGGGGAAGCGCCGTTGGCACCGAGGGGGGTGTTGATGTGAGTGCTGTGAGCCCTCTCGATGTCGTCAAACATGTCACGATGTCTCAGGAAACGGGTGACGTTGCGAGCGTGGCTAGAAACACCACCAGGGGCACCCTTGTGGAAACGGCCAATGTCGAAGGTAGAGAACTGCATGTTCATGGCTCTGTCCATGGCAGTCTCAACACCCTTGCTGATCTGGGCAGCAGGGCCAATGACGGTAACGGAGTCATCATCCTCATCAGTGGGCAGCAAGATGGTGCAACCCGTCTCGTTGAAGAACTCATCGAGAGTCTCGCCACGGCGGCCAGCAATGAACTGGTGGCGGCCCTTCTGAAGACTGAACTGGTCGACAGCAAGCTGCTGCTGCAGCTCCTGGACGCGACGCTCGATCTCAGCACGGGCAGCCTGCACAGCAGCGCGGTCACCGGCCAGCTGGATGTGGTTATCACCGGCAGGGACGAAGACGGGGCGCTCGCCCTCGTTCACGGCCATGTTACGGCCGCGAGGAGCCCAAATCTGGTGAGGAGGAACACGCATCTGAACACCATCGGTCTCGTAACGGTTGACATGGCTGTTGCTGGGGCCCGCAATGAAGGGGTAGAACTCAGCAGGAATACCACGAAGCTTGGTGTTGACGTTGGCAGCGCGCTCGCCGGCAATCTTCATGATCTGGTCGCGGGCAGAAGCAGCAGACAAGGCGTTGCCCTCAACGAGGACATCGATGGTGGAGTCGTCATCCTCGTCAAAAGTAGCACCGTCCTCGACCTTGGGAAGCTGGACACGGGCACCAGACTTCTCCTGGATGGACTTGATGGTGGAACCTCCCTTGCCGATGATGTGGGCGCGAGCAGACTGGGGAATCGGGACCTTGATGGTGGTCTGTTCAGAAAAAAAAAGTTTAGCTTGAGCTTTGTGGGGAAGAGATCTGGGGTTTGCCGACCTTGGTTCCGATCTGCTGGACAAGATCCTTGAGTGCCTGTTGAGCAACGTCTTGAGGACCAGTAGCGTCGAACTTGAGACGACCGTTGGTGGCGGTGGACAAGGTGATGTTGGCGCGCGACTTGCGGTTGATGTCCTTCATGATGTCCGGGATGGGGCGTCTGAGCTGGTTACGGGGAAGGATGAACTGGGGCTCCAGAACAACCGTTTCCACGTTGCGACCGGGGATCGACATCGAGGGGGCAGCATTCTTGGGGGTCGCAACACCGCCCGAGGCGGGGGTGGAAGAGCGAGAGAGACCGTTGGCGGGGGTAGAGACGTTGCTCTTGGCTCCCCAGATGGGGGCGACGTTGGGGCTGCTCTTGGGCTTTCCGGCGCCGAGCTCGGGGAAGAGAGTCTGATCGTTGGGATCGATCTTCTTTCCGGGAACGGAGGTCTCCTTCTGCTTGCCAGCAGCCTTGGATGACTGGGGCTCGGCCCAAGAGGCGGAGTCACCGGCATTGCTCTTGAGGGGGAGGTCCTCGTCAGGAACCTCCTCGACCGTGGGGTGATGGTCGACGTGAGTCTGAAGCAGCTTCTGGGCAGCTGACGGCTCAGCGCCGTTGGCAGTTGTAGAATCGGTAGAGGCCATTGTGAACAGTGTCGATCAACGTCGTCGGGTGGTTGAATGGGATGATAGGGGTTGTGTGGGTGAAATCGGTAAATCTGCAAGGGGGACAGCACCAGTTAGCTCGGGACGCTGCAAAGACGGCGATGCAGCAGCATGCAAGCTGCTCGGCTTTTACAAGACTTACAACTGAGGATATACACAGCAGTTGGGGACAAGACCAGTAGAATCAGTCTTCCGATTAAAGAAGGCCGAAGCGTGTTAAACCGTGGAGCAGCAGATAGACCGAGGAGAGTAGCTTGTTGCTGGCTTAGAACATTGCGACCCTGACCGGCAACAATGAACAAATCCAGTGGGCGAGACAGAATCGGGGGAGGGACGGCGAGGGCGAGGTTGACAGAATTGCAAATCCTGCCAATTGATGGTTGGGGGAGATGGAGAAGTCAGAGGGCGAGATGGACTCGAAGCTCGGATGGGCTAAAGGGTGAGGTGGAAGTTTCTCGACTCCACGATGGTGTTCAATTGGGGATGGAATTTCTGGAGCTGGCAGGGATCCTTCTTCCAGAAAGGTTCCGCCTGCCAGTGGTGCTCTCCACCTTGAGCTGCCCCACACTAAGCCTCAGCCACAACCTAAATTGTTAAGGCGTCCTCGCACCGGCCAGGTGGCACTCGCTGGAGGGCCAGGACGGGGGACGGTTGGAGTCGGCCGTTGGACTCTCGGCACAGTTGGTGAGGCCAGTACATTCCAGACCGCCTTCTCATTGGACCTTTCAAACCCACACCGCTGAACCACCTCCGGGAGCCAGCTCCGGATCACGTGGGGTTCGGCTTGACTCAGGCCCGCCGCTATTCTCCGCCTGGTCTCCCTTGCCGGGCCAGATGGGGGCTATCGCCGGCCCGGAGTTCGGCCCGGGGCACGATGCTCCGAGATCTAGGGGTCCGTTCGTCCCGAGTTGCTCAAGATCGCGGTTTCAACGACGATGGCATCCGTGCGCTCTTTAAACATCGTGAACAACCTCAGAACAAAACCCGCCGAGGCAAGAGCTCGACTGGTTCGGTACCAACACCCATATCACTATGCTTCGACTCTCGGTACGTTGAGGAGAGACCGCACATGTTGGGACAACCAGTTTGAAGTCGAACTACCAGCAAAATACACACATATAGAAAAGAATTTCGCAGGAACAGATTGATGCGGTTAAGGGTGACAAGCCGTCCGTAGATTGACTACTGACTACCGAAAGAGGATGGAGGCTGCAAGAGATATTAGACACTAGGATAGACATTACCTGGAAAGAATTGGCAAGCTCCTCAGACTAGTCGCCCGTCACACCTTACCATCGGTATTCCCTTGAACAACTCGTGGTAGCTCGATCCTCTGAACGTAGGGTGGTTTGCAATGCCCAGTCCAGCCAGACAATCGCACCAAAAGCAGCCCATTAAAGGCTCGCCATAGAAAGCCTCCATGTCCACGAGACCACACCAGGTCATCTCCTTACGTTGTACACAGCAACACAGCGCTAGCCAGCGACAACCTCTGCAAGATTCCCGCAACTTCAGTCCTGTGGTTACCCGGGCACTTTTGCATCGGAAAAAGAAAGCCCATCGCTGTTCTAGCGTCTGGAGGCGAAAGGCTGCCCCGTGGCAGCCTGCAGGAATCTACGCAGCCTTGGCCAATCAGCAGAACCACGCACTCCCATTGCGAGATGTTAGCTGGAATCTCGCACCCTCCGAAGCACATGTCGCCCTCGCTGCGTGATCGTGGTAGACAGCGTGGGCTTGGTCGCTCGCAAAGCCCTTCGCAACGGTGAGTCCAGGGTCGTGAGTCGTACTAGCTGCAAGTTGGCACCATCGACATCATTGAGGCAATTCGGTTTCCGGCAAGAAGTAATTGGTTTGCTGTCGTCGCAAATCGCGACTGGCTGCTGCTCAATGCAGGGGCAAATGGCTCATTTGAGAGGCATCCTGCAGCCTGCAGGAACAACGGCAAGGGGGCTTTTGGCTTGTTGCAGGCACAAACAAGCATCCCACAGCTGTGCTACGTGGCCAGACATGACCAGCGAGAGACATGCCGTGGTTGGCAGCTTGCGACTGACAGCCTCTCGAAAATACCGTCTCAGACCAAGCCTTCGTTCGCAGGCGTTCTGGCACTCGTCAGGTGAGCTTGGGAGGAAATAGATGCGGACGAATCCCAAGGCGTCCGGAACGAGAACGGGGTAGCACGATGACTGAGACGACGACGGATACGCTGGGATTATGTTAATTCTGCTCTGAACAGCTCTGCTGACACGAAGCTGAGCCTTTGATTAAGAGAAACTTGGGAGACAAACAAAGCCTCCATGTCCTGTCCTCCAGGATCGGCGGAACCTTATTGCCCTCCAGCATATCTCATCTGCGTGGAGCGGAGACGAACACCTGGTAATAGTCACCACCGGGCTGCTCCTCAACTTTTGTGATGATGTGGCAGAGATGCACGCATGCGCCGCAGCCAGACTTTTCAATGCGAGCAAGACGAATGATTCGCTGTCATGACATGATTCATGGCTAGCTTTTTGGAGGACCCGGCAATAGCTCTTCTGAGCCGTCGAGCTCGTGTCCTGAAAGGGATGATCCATGAATGAGGGCTCCTGTCAGACATAGTAATCGCGGGGTCCTCTGAACAGCAGCATTTGGAGCAAAAGTTCGGCGGCAAACCTCGGTAGATGGCCGTTGCGGCCCTGAAAGCTCGCTGTTCGGGGAAGCCGCGTCTTCTGGCGTCGGCAATCTCATCAATCGCGTTGTCGTGATTTGCAGAAAATGCCTGGGCAATTAGGCCCGCGTCACATGTGGGCGATGGTAGCGAAAGCTGGTTCGCACGCAGGCTCGTGGATTGGAGAAGGGACGTATGGCTTCATCAGCGCCAATGCCAGCCGTGGAACGACCTTGACCGAATGTGGCGCCCTCCTTTCAAGACAGCTGCCCACGACGGCAGGGTGTGATATGAGATCGGGGACGGGGCAGGCCGTGAATCACTGGCGAAGTTGGACGAATCTCGCGTCCCGATGGTGCGGATGGATGGCTTCATCTTGTTGCAATCCAGAACTGGGACGAAGCAGCGAGTGGGCTTTGGTCTTGGGCGGCGAGTCCCCCAAAGGAGGAATGATGATGGCGTTTGGCGCGAGTTCCTTGGTGGCATCCCCGTCTGGTTTGTTGTCGACCCTGGTACGGGAACGGGACCTTATTTTACTGGTGTAACGGTCTCAGTGGTGCGGTGGACGCTTGAGAAAACGGCTCCCGCCGCCGTCTCTGGGCGATTGCAGACCGGCGTTGGCCCGTTTCGTCTCCTCCAACCAGACGGACGCGTTGGCAACTGTGGCCCGCGCGGGCGTATGAAGCTGAACGGTTCAAGCGTGCGCAGACACACATTCAGCATGTAGATGCAGAAGGGCACGGACGTTGGGGTTGATGACGGGATGGGACGGGATGCTTAGAGCCTTACAGAATAGACAACCTTGGAGAGCGAGAGGTAAATGTACTTACGCCGTACCAACCTAGTTTTGGGATGCGGCAGTGTGGGTGGGTGGGCAAAGGGAGGAGCAGGTGTTGCATGCTGCTACCTTTGCAGTGAGAGAGCTTTGGGGGCGCGGACGTGAGTGTCTGGAAGAAGAGGAGAATTCAATGCCGGCGAGGATAAGACGCAGAGAAAAAAACCAAAGACTGGCGCGATGAAGCATTACCTGGACCCTTTGTGGAGCAAGAAAGTCCAAGTGCCCGATGGTTTGAAACAAGATGTAAATTCCCAAGGGCAGGCCCGCCGGCCCCGGTGAGCACTGGCATCCGCTGGGCCCTAGCACTCACTCATTGGCAGTGGATGGACCTTGGACCTGAGGTGGGCAGAACGGAGGGTCGTTCCGTACCAAAGTGCCATTATCATGACCGTGAGCCTTGAGGAGAGGGTCTTGGTCTGTGGTAGGTAGGTACGAAAATGGATACATACGCTAGATGATGGCGCTCACCTGAAATAGAGACATGAAGACGGAAGCGAATTGGAACAGAATGGAACGGTTCGGCTTTCTTCTGGACCTCCAATGGCTGGCGGCCAACGGTCAGCCTAGCCTGGTAAGAAGATACTTTGCACCTGTCGGTCAGGTCAGCGAGTGGGGAAAAGAAGGAGCTTGGAAGATTCCGAATTGCTTACGGCCTGCCTTTGAACATGCAGGAAACAGACTTTGGTTGTTTCTCGCCGGCGCGGGCTGAGTTGACTGCTGCATGTGCATGTCAGCGACAGCGGGCATTGAGCTTAAGATACACGACCCCTTGAGATAAGGTAAGGTAAGGCAGGCAAGCACGGCTGCACGCAAGATGCCCAAGCTCCCGTCTATTGACTGAAATGCACTTGCTTCAATTGCTCTTCGGATATCGCAATCGGAAGGCAGCTCAAGGTACGAGAGGTAAGGGGGTTCTTTCCAATCCAATGGCACTGGCAATGGCAATGTCATTGTCAGTCAATGGCAGGAGCGTTGCATTCATTACCTGCCTTGCCTTACCTAAGGCAGTGGAGGCAGGTACCTTACTTGCCCGCAGCGTGCTTACCTTATTTCGCTCAGTAAGGGTACTTCCAGGACCGTTCATCTCGGTCAGCGGCTGCTCAGTTCACCGAGTCTTCATCCCGTCTCACGCCCCATTTCATATCTCCCGTCTCTCCTCAGGCCCCAGTACGACGAAATCTCTGTTCATACGGTTGCAATCACTAGCAGAGACTTTGTCGCAACAAGAAACCATCTCCCTGTCGGCGTAGTTAAGGTCAGCTCAAACAGACTATGGACTAAAAAAAAAAAAAAAAAAAAAAAAGAAGCTCGGCCAAAAAACAAAAAAGCAAACGCCTTCATCTCGTCTCTCGGTGCTTTCCCCTCCCTCCAATCACCCCAATCCCGACTCCCCCCTCCCCCTCCCCTCTTTTTCCCAGCTTCCCCTCCATGTCTCTCCGAGCTGGCAGCTGGGGGCGCTCTGCGCTCAAGGTCGTCCGTCGCATAACAACCATCACATCATACCGGCCTCGACCTCAAACCAGAATCGACCATCATGTCCGCTGTTGCATGCACCATTTAGCCTCTTACGCCCGTATGTACCTACTTATCTTCATACAATGGCATCCGTATCCGCACAGGCTTAGGGTGCAGATACATGTCTGCAGTGCCGGAAGCTGCCTTTCTGAGGACATCTGTACCTAAGACGGGCATGCAGTCTGCCGTCACGGCGCACATACGTCAACCAGAAACGAATCTCGGTGGCCAATACTTTGCCTCACTTGCTAACAGACCTGCGAATACCGACCCGAACAAGGGCCTGTCCTTGCGTCCTTACGAACCACTGTCTGCAGACTGGCTCGCTGCACACCAACTGGCCGGGTCCGCGGCGTCTGAGGTGATCCCAAAACCCCAGCCATTGAAGTCGGCCATGCCCTCTGCCTTGCCCTGCGGTCTCCTTTCAGTGTCTTGCTCCAGCCCAGATTCAAGACCCTTGGTGCCTCAGTTTCTTCCTCACACGGGACCCCCGCCGCAGCCAGAGACCGGCGACCACCACACCGACCGCGACCGTAACGGCGACCCTTACTGACCCTTGGCCGTTGGAACCCTGGTCTTACCGCACCGCATGGCGCACTACCACTAGAGCCGCCCAATGATCAGCAAATTCCGTCAAGCAGAGACGCCCATCTGGCTGCTAAGATTGTTCAAGGATCGACCGTCAGGTCGAAGCTCCAGCAGCACGCAGTCAACTGGAGCAGAGCACCGACTGCTACTAACCGACTTGAAGATAGCTAGCTACGGATAGCAGGCATGCGAGCTTCTACGCTTCTGCGTTCCTCCCGAGTCCCGAGGCAATCAGTTGTTGGCCTTGGACCACAGACAGGGCCCAGGACCTGCACCAGCTGTCCTAGCTCTCCTACCCTCTCAAACACGCCAGCTTCGAATCGAAGACGGGAGATTGGAGCTAACATCCAGGTCCAAGGTCCCGAACCGCACCCGAAAGACTTGCTTTAGCATAACTCTTGGTGAGGAGGAGAGCTCAGACTGGCACGATATACCGTAATTAGGCACTCAGCATCTATTCTGGGTACGAGTTGCTGTAGTACGATGTGCCGCCGTGGCTACAAGCACGCCCCTCCTCCTCCTCTGCTTCCACCTCTTCTAGCGCCCGATACCTGGCATCGCTCTTGTGCCTGTTCGACTCCCTCTCTCGATTCGAGTACCACGAAAAATGCTCTGCGAAACTGCGACTCTTCGGTGTTTTCTTAACCTTCTAGGCCAGTTCGTCCCGCCTGTGGTGGAGCTTGTGTGTTCACCCTAGGCATCGTCTTTTTGTGCCTAGTGTCGCGGGTCTTCTAGCCTTGCCCGGGTGATGGAAGTGAGGGGCAGTCACCCAACGAAAGAGATTGTGGTGGGCTGTCCTTGGAAAACATCACACTGTGCGAAGTGAAGGCGGGAGCACTACCTCATGGCATCATCTCATCATGTCTGATCCTCCTGTCTGTCCACCACCACCTCCAACACCCTGGACGGCCTACAGCCCCGTGTGGCTCTACGCGCAGGTAGCCTCATCGACTCGTTTTTGGAACACTTGCCTCTAAGCGAGAGAACAACGTCGAAGAAGTGGTGCGAACGGACAGAGCGAAGAAGAAAGGACGCCGGGTAGCAGGCGCTTAGAAACACACAAGATTTCTTGACATTCATTTCCGCAGGGCCTGACAGTCCACTTCGGCCGAGATGGTTTCAACATTGGCCAAGGTGCCTTGGGCGACTTTGTACAGAGTGAAACCATGCAGTATGGCAGATATGGTAGTGGTGACTGAACACGGCGCGCCGCGGCGGCTCCTCCCAGATGACCCCAGATGACGAGATGAGATCATGAGAGGCACGTTGCAATGTGCAACATCTGGAGGTGGTATTTCACGTAATATGGTTTCTTCTTCGGCAGCGGCACATGGAGGAGGTTCCAGCAACACTTGACCAAGCCCAGCTCTCAGCAGCCCCGTCCGTCACCCATCCAGCAGGCGACCAGTGAGGATGGGCGGGCTGGTCGGCAACTCGATTCGTCTTGCCCTGTAACACACATCTTTGGGGCTGCTCGTTGGTTCATCGAGTCTTGTACTAAGTTTCCGTCTGTCTTGGATTGCTTGCCTTACTCTTCCTCACCTCGGAATCAGTCCCAGTGGCACACACACATCACGTACTGATATCGAGGCGCGGGATGGAGTGCGGCACACTGTCTTACTTGGAAGGTAAAGTACCTCAGGTAGCGTTCACAGATGCATGCCTTAGGTAAGGCGAGGTCGCGGTGCGTCCTAGCCAGGGCTCTCTCCGTCATCTCATAGTAGATGATAGCGTAGGATGAAAAGAAATAAAAATAAAAAGAGGGGATACACTTTCGGGGCAATTGGAAGTGTGAGCCTGTGAAGTGAGTGCGAGTGGCGGGGCGGGGGGAGGGGGAACGGGGGAGACAGAAGTCGGGCGGTACGTACCCAGGAGGTACTGTCCATCTCCCCTCCACACCAAACGGCCACACGGCCCCCAGCCTAACGTTAGCCCAGGCCTGAGTCCCGTCTCCGTCCATTCATCGTTCCGTTTACCCACGCCCAATCCCACTCACACGCCACGACCAGTGAGTGCACAGTCTCCCATGTGCCCCTGCCCCACCTTCTGAGTGAGAGAGTGTTTTTATTATTATTATTATTTTTTTCCTTTCGCAGTGGGAAGATTGGGAGGAGGGGAGCTGCTGGTGACGACGGGTGGGGAGAATGGGAAGAGACAACCACCACACGCATGCCTTACACACACTCACACTCTGCTGATTGGTATTGCTGAGCAAGAGACAGGCTGTGGCAGCCAATCCAAAGACTTGCTGCAGATACCGATGAGGCCGAACTGCACCGCATCTCTGCCATCCCGTTGTTTCCTGGCCTGTCATCTTCCTGCGTATCTTCGTCCCGCAGGCTTCCCCAAGACCCAATCCTGCAGTCCAGATAGCAAGAACAGTGACCCCGAACAGTGAACTGCCAGACAGCTTGGCTTAGAGAGGTCATCCCCGTCCTCATCCACCAGAAAACAACAACACAATAACAAGTCAACAACGAAGCAGAACCCACACAGTCCGGAATCCACCCTGACTCCATCCAAGCACAGCCAGCAGCCAGTGACAGCCACACTAGCGTCACAGCGAACCCGGTCCGTCAATCAGTGCCACTGCCCACCTCACTGTCTACGGATACCGTACCGCCCAACCAGCACGGAACAGATACCGCTGTACCTTACCCTGGATATGGGTTTTTTCGCCGCTGCCTCTTCCACTGCTGCCGGTGTGGTCCTGTTTCCTCTTCTGTGGCGTGTGGGTGTGCGTGTCCAGTGCGTGTGTGTGTGTGTGTGTGTGCTGGCTGGTATCCGTACCGCCGGCGCAGACAACTGGTCCTGAGAAATCCAGTTCCCTCAGTTCCTTGTGATGACATTGCTACTACTATGCTACTTCCCAATCAATACCACGCAAGGTGCGCCGTACATACCAGCCGCCATACTTCAGACGCCCAAACATTAGACACCCTTTCCCGGTCCAGCGTCCCAGTCCCAAATCCTGGTTCCAGGTTTCCCAATCCCAGTCCCGTTCTGTCGAAGGAAGAAACAGAAAAAAAAAGAAGAGAGAGAAAAAAAAAAGCTACGTCTACATTACGGATACCTGACCAGCCAGTGACCAACGGCCCTGACTGAATGAGTCCACCATCTACCACCACCTAACCTCTCTCTACCTTACATCCTGAGCACACGCACATACTGGACGGCAGGGAAGGCCACTGGACAAGGCCAACAGGCATAAGGCACACGAGGCACAAGGGGGGAAGACGCGAACAGCATCGCATTGTGCCCGTACCGCATATTATTATTATTTTTTCCTCCTCACGCACCCTACTACAATTCATACCCTCTTTACACCTCTTGCACTATTACCATTGCCGCCGACTGCTGCCGCTGCTGCTGCTCCTGCGTAAAATATACACACACAGACAGCCCGACCCGACACAGCTAAGCAAAGCAAGCAAGCAAGCAAGCTACCTTACTACTGGCGACTGCGTACCTTTCATTACTGCGTCTGTCTGTCTGTCACCTCCCGTACCTTACCTTATCCTCGCCGTATCTATCGCAAGGTACCGTACCGACACTTTTGCTGCCCGCCCGACCTGCTTCTGCTGCTGCTGTACCGCACCGCTCCGCACCGCAGCGCCAGCCGTCCGTACCTTTCCCTTTTCCTCCTACCTTCGCTTCCCAAGTCCCAGGCCGGGTCCCCTTCTTTCTTTCTTTCGACGACAACCAGCACCGCCGGGTTTGGTTTTACTTTTAGACTTTGTAGGGGCGTATCATGGACGGCAGCCAGAGCACATCCACGTCCAACGGCTCGTCGCAACGTCGCAGGCTCACCAAGAAACCTCCCCCTTCGTACCATACCCACACCCGCTCGTCGAGTGGCCTCGATGGTGGCATCGACACCAGGTCTCTCCAGAGCAAACGCAGCTCGACCAGCTTGAAGCGCGCTCCTTCCGCTCCACCTGTGCGGACGACCCCCTCAAACGCTGCTTCAGCTCATAGTTCTCCCCGTCACCTCCCCTCAAGTCAGACGCACCTTCCCAATCCCTCCCCCATCCTGCCTCAGGGTCAGTTCGCCGCCGCCAACAACGCCAACGCCAACTCCCTCTCGCTCTCACTCTCAAACAACTCGCACTCACACTCCGTCGCTCCTTCCCCCAGTGCTGCGTCCTTTCATAACACCAGCATTAACCACCTTCACAACCACCACCAGCCCGCCGTGAACCTGAACCAGAACCAGAACCCGAACCCCCAGTCCGCGTCCCACCCGACGACAGCTCAGGTGCAGGCCCAGGCCCAGGCGCAGCCTCAGACCTCCTCCTCCTCCTCCACCTTTCACAACGCTGCTTCCGCTTCCTACGCTGTTCACCCTCACCACCAGCAGAACTTTAGCCACCAAAACAACAACAACCACCTCCTCCATCACCACAACCTGCTGCACAACAACTTCTCGACCAACAACAACAGCAGCTCCTCCTCCAACTCCAATAGTAGTCCCGTCGGCATCGGTGTCGGTGTTGGCATCGGCATCGCACACTCCAGTGATTCCTCCGTAGCTGACCCCAGCGCGCCTCTCTCGTCGCAACCCCACGACGAATTCATCGGCGCTCCCTTCGACGGCGCTGCCGTCCTGAGCCGCATCGAGCAGACAAAGTCCCCCGTCGCCCAGTCTCACCCGCTGCCTCTCCAGCACCCGCACCCTCACCAGCATCAGGCACCCGCCGCCTACCAGCGCCAGAACGCCCCCACGCCGCTGCTCAAGTCTGTCACCGACACGCGCATCACAAAGAGCCCCCGACTGCGACAGTCCCAGAGCTTCACGAACGATTTCTCCTCCTCAATGATGAACGAAAAATCACAAGGCGGTCGGGTGACGGAGAACTCAATGATCAGCCCCAAGAGATACTCGGACGAGGCAAAGGAGCCCCGTATGGGCGTCCTGCGCAAGAAGTCGGGCTTCTCTGGCTTCATGAACAGTCTGGTCGGCACCCCAAAGAAGCCTGTCATCTCGGCACCAGAGAATCCCGTCCATGTCACCCACGTCGGCTACGACAGCTCTACCGGCCAGTTTACCGTCAGTCGCCCCCCCTCTCCCCTTCCTGCTCCTGCCTCTTTTTTGGCAATCGCTCCTCAATTCTTGAATCGCCTTATTTTTTGCCTCTTTTTTTTTTCTTCCCCTCTCGCCTTACTCTTTTCGTCCCCGCCCCTCTCCTTTGTCCCGAGTCTCGTGTGGCTGACGTGTGATTGTTCAGGGTCTTCCGAAAGAATGGCAGAGATTGATCAACGAAAGTGGAATTCCCGAGAAGGAACGCAGGGAGAACCCCCAGACCATGGTTGACATCATCACATTCTACAAGGAAACGACCGAAAAGCCAGCCGAGGATCAGGTTTTGGAGAAGTTCCACGATGCAAGAGCGCCTGATTACCGCCAATTTGCAAATGCAAGCAACTCACCGTCGGGTGCCATGTCGCCGGGCATGTATCCGCCAACAACTTATATGGGTATGTCTCCGATGATCAGTCCACCTGCGAGCCCTAGGTTTCCAACTGTCAATCATGAAGGATCTTTTGAGAACCCCCGCCAACCGCCCCCCGTACCAGGAGTCGGAGGCTCCAAAGGCCCCGGTAAAGATGTGAATCTCATGCCCAGTCGCCCGGCCCCGAAGCCCCCCGTCAGCCTCCCGATGAGGTCTGCTCCGTCGCCCTACCCCGCCAAGGACTCCGGCATTGGAATGTCTCAGCCCGGCGAAGACCTGCCCCCGGTCGCATACCAACCGCCCAAGGAGAACGTCCCCATGCTTCCCGAAGAGCATCGTGGAGAGCACCGATCCCGATCCCGATCCAACTCGCGTGTTGGCGCCTCGCCTGGCTACGTCCCCCCCACACCTAACCCTCAAAATGCCCAGGCGAACGTTTACCAGCAGCAACTCATGCAGCAGCAGCAGGAGCAGGCCCTCGCGCAGGCTCAGGCCGCCATGACTGGCCAGGGCCAGATTGGTCGCGCTCCCAGCAAGAGACAGCCCGCCCAGCAGCCGACCCCTCCCCAATCGCAGTATCCTCAAGGCCCCACAAACGGAGGTCCCGGCCAGCGACAGCAAGTTGGCGTTGCTGGCGCTCCTGGCTCCAGACCCCGTCGCCAGAGACAGAGCACCGGTATCGACGTCGTCGCCGCCCTCAAGCGCATTTGTTCCGATGGCGATCCCCGTGAGGTTTACAAGAACTTCAACAAGATTGGCCAGGGTGCTTCCGGTGGCGTGTACACGGGATACGAGCGAGGCTCCAACCGATTGGTGGCTATTAAGCAGATGAACCTGGAGCAGCAACCGAAGAAGGACCTGATTATTAACGAGATCTTGGTCATGAAGGACAGCTCGCACCCCAACATTGTCAACTTCATCGACAGCTACCTTTGCGGAGGCGAGCTCTGGGTTGTCATGGAGTTCATGGAGGGCGGTAGTCTCACGGATGTTGTTACCTTCAACATCATGACTGAGGGACAAATCGCTTCCGTCTGCCGAGAGACGCTGAAGGGTCTGCAGCACCTGCACTCTAAGGGAGTCATCCACCGCGACATCAAGTCCGACAACATTCTCCTGTCGATGGAGGGCAACATCAAGCTGAGTGCGAACCTCCTCGTTCCATTACGGTGCGTGGAAATACTGACGTCGAACAGCTGATTTCGGATTCTGCGCGACAATCAACGAGGCCCAGAACAAGCGCACCACGATGGTCGGTACGCCGTATTGGATGGCCCCCGAGGTCGTCACGCGTAAGGAGTACGGACGCAAGGTCGACATCTGGTCTCTGGGTATCATGGCCATTGAGATGATCGAGGGCGAGCCGCCATACCTGACCGAGTCTCCTCTGAGAGCCTTGTGGTTGATCGCCACCAACGGTACCCCTCAGATCAAGGAGGAGGCCCAGCTGTCGCCAGTTTTCCGCGACTTCCTCTACTTTGCACTCAAGGTCGACCCGGAGAAGAGAGCCAGCGCGCATGACCTCCTTAGAGTAGGTTCTTCCCTCACAAGTTCAAAACACAGTGTACTGATTTCCTTGCAGCATGAGTTCATGAAGGGATGTGTTGATCTCGCTCAACTTTCACCGTTGGTCCGCGCTGCTAGGGAAGCACGTCTCGCAGAAAAGGCTAGGAAGGGACAGTAGGGCACCTTCGGCCATGCGTCCAGAAGCATCTTTCGGCGGTTGGCTCATCGACATTAATCACGACCTTGACGACAACCACAAGCCTCCACAATTGGGCTGTCCTTACCTGTGCACTGAGATACCCCAGGAAGTTTTTTTTGTTTGCCTTGGCACAAACAACTCGATGCCTTGCATCTACTCACAGCACGCTTTCGTTCAATCTGGAACTGACCCCACCTGGGTCTCTTTCGGATTTGCTAGAAAGACTAGTGCATTGAGTGCGCGCCATGGTTGGCAGACTTTCGAACCCGATCATAACTCTACTTGCTTTCAAGATACCACGTCAGAGGAGACCAGCCCAATTCGGCATGGACTTTCTGGCCTTTCTTTTTTCTTCTTTTTCCGACGACTTATGCGCGCACCCATCCAGCATCAGCACTTGTTGGCGACCAAGCAAAGTCTCTTTACTCATGGTTCTTTCTGTTACGCATTACATAGAGGCGGCCAAGATCATGGACTCGCCAGCTTGCCTCAATGCCAGGCCTTTGGTTGTATACGGACAACCCTCTCATCTCATTGGATTGAGACATCCACTTTGGACCAATCATGTTTCCGTGGGGGTGGTGACAAATGTCACCTAGGAAAGTCGGTCGCTGAGAGAGGAGATGAGACGATGAATCGCATGATCTGATTTGGCCAGCGGGAATGGGCGGCCAACTCAAATTTCTCGGGGCAGGCAGGCAAACCCCCTTTCAAACCTGTCGTGTGGGATTTTTTTTCTGTTTTTACGGAACATCCGAAAAGAAAAAAGGATCGATTTTTCAGACGAGACGTCGACGGACAGATACGAGAGGCCAGGTTCTTAGGCTTTCATTTCTCCTGGTCCCATGTGTCTCTTTTCCCACACAGGGGGAACTCTCTACAGGTCGTGCACACAAGAGGAACAATCACCGAGGAGGTGGTTTAGTCTAGACTCGACTAGGTACAGGAATGACCCCATTCAGGCCGAGCAGGCCGAGGAAAGTTAAAAACAGGAAGTTTTCGTCCCCTGCGTGATATGTGATGTCGGACCCGCGATCTTGCTTATTTCCATCGTCGTACCCTCTGTGCCTTGCGCGACTGGGCTCCTGGCTGCGTCTTAATATGCGATTCTAGACCTCAGCCTGCCGAAGCATCATACGACCCTTGGGGAAAAAAGACTTCAATGGATGGGACCCCTATTGCCACTAACGGCTTGTCTTGGTCTCATTTGCGTCAGTAATGTGCATCGAGTGGGGGCTCGTGGCTTTTTTTTTTTTTTTTTTTTTTGGTTTCTAGTGGCTTGCTGAATTTTTCTGGGGGTTTTCTTTTCAGGGTCTTATTGTTTCCTCGTGGCTCAAAGGGTTTCTCCTGCTTGGCATTGTTCTGTGGTTTTTGTCAGTAAGTCGGGAGGGCAAGGACGGGACAAAGGAGCTTGTTTGTTTGAGAGGGTTGGTGGTGGTAGACCAAGGAAGGGAGGTGGCACTGTTACAGGTACTTGCGGCTTGGACTTGGGGTATGGATGAGGGGCTTGATGAAAATTAGGATGGCAGGATGGCCGGGGTGGATTCCCACGGAGATCGTAAGGATGGTGATGAAGAGTGATGGTGTGTGGTTGGTGGTGATCGTCATTGTCGTCAACGACAGAATTGGATTGAAGACTCTCGAGACCTATTGTGCTCACGTAATTTGAGGGCGAGTAGGTAACTTCTTCATTTCTGATTTCGGAGAAGTCGTTGTCTTGGTTCGATTCTCACGAACACCTTGAGCTTTCAACTTGGGCCAAGCTGCTCTCTACCTTGCCATTAGATTCTACATCTACATCTGGCTGTGTCAACAAGATCGACCAAAGATCACCAGGCGTTTTTGGTTTCTGCACATGGTCTTTTGTCAACCTTTCTTAGGCCATCTTTTCCTGGCACCCGGGGGCTTTCGCAGAGCTCGGTGAAGTTGAAGAAATGGCCTTTTCAAAGCACATGTTGTTCCCCATCGTTATCATGGGGGTGCTGAACATATGGCCAGGGCATGCTTTTCTCTCAAGAGATAGCTTGAAACGGTGGCCAAGGGTTTGTTTACTTATCGTTTCCGTCGCAATCGGGGCAGTTCCAATGTTGGGAGATTTCGGATGCCTGCCTCCTTGCTTGTCAAGATCTCCACGCGTGTTCTCGTCACGACGCCTTTTATGTTTCGGCAGCTGTGGGAGCATACGCCCGTGAACTGTCCTTGTCTTGTTTTCATTTGCCATGGGCAACTCGTCTTCGACAGCGTCCATTCGTCTCTCCCTACACGCTCCTTCAATTGCGCCGTGTTGTGGTTGCGTCTGTCGACTTGGCAATCGTCGCCCCGCGCTACTTATCCTTTCCACCGAGCACTTGCGCAGGTCTCAGCACCTGTGATAAGTAATGCCGTACGAGAATTATCTCGTATTGAAGGCCGCCATATTGCAACTGCTTCTGCAGCGAGGAGTTTGGCGTGAGCAGACGAGACGAAAGGTGCCGGCTATAAACCTCTCCGGATAATCCTGGATGTTTCCCAGATCGCTACCACGGTAGTGGGAGCTGTTACCTTGATGGGTGAGCCCTCAAACATCCCACTTGGTGTATCAGCACTGCTAGGTAAGTATCGTACTGAATGTGGGAACCGAGGGGAAACATGCAGCTCCCTTGTGGACGACAGAATAGTTGACTATATGTAAGAGGCTGTATGTATAACTAACTGCCTCAGGGATCATGATATCGAGAACCTCGGCTGCGAACCTTTACATACACAAAGAAGGAAGGTATCCAGATCAAGTCCATCACCAACTCAACTCGAATCGTCGAGGTCCTGGGCGTACGTCCGTCGAGCGAGGGGAGGGCATCGGCGCCGTGTTCTCATGCCACCGAGAGGACCCAGTTTATATAATGATGTGATCAAAACGTATTTATGTTTAAACCCTCAGCGCTCCGTCAAAAACCCAGTCGCGACGAGTGTCGTGACTGGCTGGCCCCCAGGGACATTATCTGTCGACGAAACAAGTGATACGGCACGGATTGGGCAGCCATAACAACCCATCGAGTTAAGTCTTTTCGAAACGCAAGTCGTGGTTGTTTCCTCGTGACCGAGGATTCAGCCCGAAAACCGCATCAGGATCGTGGTATAGAGGGTGCCTCGATCCCGTGTTTGAGCTGTGTGCTGGTGAGTAGTATGTTGGGCCACGAGGTGATAAGACAAGTTTCTGTACAGGACATCATTGACGACGAACAGCTAGAAAACTACCTGCTTCTTCGTGAGCTTCTCAGCCTTATTGAGGGAACGATCAGATCGGCAGGCCAATGCAATCTCGCATCGTAAAGGTTCTAGGAGAAAGTGGGCTAACAATCAGAACGGACGTCTTAATAACCTGCTGGTTCAAGCGCACTGAGTTGCTTACATGTTTTCCATTCATAAGCAGAAAAAAAGATGGGTAATAGTACATGTCGCGATACCAACACAGGCTTTGAATGGATCCTGGTCTCCTCATCCCCGCTTCCCAACCCGGACATTCCCTTCCGTTTGCTATTACTCCGTCCATAGACACCAAAAAAAGCGCAAATACAACGATTGGACTGCCTCCGGAGAAGTTTAGTTCTTGGGGAAGGCCGCCTCCATACGCTGCTTGTACTTATCCTTAATGACTCTCCTGTTGAGCTTTTGTGTGGCGGTGACAAGGCCCTGCGATGAATGTCAGCTGAAATATGAGCGTGGCAAACAGCTATCAGACTGAGACTTACGCTGTCCGGGGTCCACTCCTCCTCGACGAGGACGACACCACCGACGATCTCGAGGCCAGTCAGACCGGCTTTGCGGCCGGCGCCAACGAGGTCCTTAAGAACGGTGTCGACGACCTTAGAGTTCGTGTGCATGTCGTGCTCGTCAACGCCCAGCTTCTGGGCCTCCTCGGCGAGGACCTTCTCGTTGGGGGCGATGACGGCGATGGCGCGGGAGTGCTCGCCATCACCGTAGACCATGATGTTCTGGACAAAGTGGCTGCCGCGGTAGACGGACTCGAGCTTCTCGAGAGCAATGTACTCACCACCCTGCATCTTGACAAGGTTCTTGACACGGTCGATGACCTTCAGGTGGCCGACAGAGTCGAACTCGCCAATGTCGCCAGTCTTGAACCAGCCATCCTTGGTAATGGCCTTGGCCGTCTCCTCCGGGTTCTTGTAGTACTCCTTAAGCACGGCGGGACCCTTGATCCAGATTTCACCCTGGGGCGGGGTCGAGTCGGTGGAGTAGTTGAGATCCGGGATAGAGACGAGCTTCACATCGACGGCGGCAGGAATGGGGCCGATGGCGGTGGAGGTGTATTCGAGTGGGTCGCCGAGAGCGCCGTTGGCGGCCGTCTCGGTCAGACCGTAACCAGTGAGCATGGGCGCGACGGTCATGGACAGGAAGTGCTTGGTCCCGTCCGAGATGCCACTCGCGCCATTCATAATAAGCCGGAGACGCCCACCCGTGAGTTCGCGAACTTTCTTAAAGACGATGTTGTCGAAGATGGTAGCAAAGGGCAGGCCGTACTTGACCATAAAGCTTTTGTAGTTGAAGGCACCCCAGAAGAGGGCCTTGACGAAGATGCTTGAGCTGTTAACCTTTGCAGCAACGCCCTTCTTGACCGTCTCCCAGACCTGGGGCACGCCGACGAGTGCGGTAGGACGGAACTCGCGCATGTCACCAGGAGAGTTCTTCATGGACGTGTCTGACAGGGTTCGAGGGTTGCCATAGCCAAGGGTACCGCCAATGAACAGCACGAGGTTCTCGAGGACGAGCTCAAAGATGTGAGCCAGGGGCAAGTATGCTAGGACGTACTCGGCGCTGCTAACGCATTCCTCGACGCAGGTGTAGAGACCAGTAACTGGGAACACAGTTAGTTAACTTCCTCGTCCAACGTGTAAAGAAGCTCAACTTACTCGCTGCGACCATGCCCTCGTGGGTCATTGGGACACCCTTTGGCGTTCCAGTTGAGCCGGAAGTGTACATGATGCAGAAGAGGTCTTCGGGCTTGGCCTCTACAGGATCAACAGGGTTATCCTCGCCCAGCTGGCGCACCTCCTCAATGCTAAGAAGCTTCACATCTGGGTTGGCCTTCTGGAAAGCCTCGACCTCGCCACCTTGGGTGAAGATGCAGTTATCATTGTAGATAACAAACTTGAGGTTTTCGGCCTTCTTGATGCCTCCACTTGCCGTCTTGAGCAGGTGAGGGTCCAGGTACATGGCATCTGCACTGGACTCGAGGAGGGAGTGCTCGACACCACTAGCACCGAGGGTGTCGTATGCGGTAACGATGGACATGGACTGCGAACCGCAGGCGTGGGACAGGGCCATCCAGTTGGCGCTAGGTTCCCGGAGATTCAAGTTAGCCTCTTCTCTTAGGGACGGTTACTGCGATGGTGCTCGGGGCCGTGAAAAAGGCCGGACGGGAGGGGAACGGGGGGCTCTCGGACGTACGAAGTAGTAGCAAAGAGATGAAGTCTGCTCTCTTTGCCCAGACCCAACTTGCGCAGACCTGAACCAAGCTGCAGGATGTAGGTCTGGAATTCAGTATAGGTCAGGTAGGAGAATTTAGACAGCTCGAAGAACTGCCACTCCTTCTCGACCTGCCTGACCTCACCGTCGACGTTCTTGGGGACCATCTTCTTCTCCCTGTGCAAGTGCACGAGCTTCCGGGTGCCGACGGCGGGCTCGTTAGGGTAGACGCGGGCGCTTCGCTTCACGATATCGTACATTGTGTGGATCTCGGGATGGGGCTGAGTACGGAGAGCATCTTTGGCCTTCCAGTGACGGCGGGGGAGGGTCTCGCCCTCGACGCGCTCGTAACCGGGCGCCTCGACTGTGTAGGGAGGTTTGTGCACCGGGTACAGAGGCGCGATACGCGTGGTCCACGACATGTTGGCGGTGGGTGTTACTTCTGCTAAATCGGAGAGCGGGGGAGGGGATTTGACGAGGAAGAAGCCGGCGAAGACGGCGGCGACGACGACGACGACGGCAGTGGTGATGGACGGAATGGTGGGAGAACTTAGGACTGATTAAGAGCTGCTGGCGAGCGTGCGGGATAGCGGCGACGGCGGAAGAGGGCGAGGATGAGGGATCGGAGGGCGGGATGACGGTCAGACCGAAGGGAGTCGAAGAGTTACTAAGTAGATGGTCGGAGGGATTGGGGGAGGAAATCTGGGGTAAGACGCAGGTTTCCGAGTGGTTGAGGCTTGCAAGGCTGGAGGGAGGGAGGCAGAAGCTGGAGCTAGGAGTATTCGTAGAAATGTATGTAGCACGAGTGTCAAGGTTGGGGTTGAACCTTTGTAGGTTGTGGCTGTTTCGGATACTCGGTTTCTCTTCTCTTATCGTCGCGAGTGGTGTTGCTCAAGGTGCACGCCGAACCTGAGCTGTCGGAGACGTTGCGGTGCGGCCTTTTGGTGCGGGCAGGGCAGAAGCGCAAAGTTAAGCTGTTGCGAAAGAGAAGGGGAAAAAATGGCGACGGGCCTTTAATTGCGTCACAGGGTACTATGGCTGGGCCGGCTACCTTGCAGCAGTTGAGCTGTATCCGTAATGCTGCGCGCTGCTGTGGAAGGTGGTGATGGGTGGGTGGGTGCCTCAGGGAAGGGAGATCCGCCACTGGCTGGTACGGGTACGTGGGCCCCCCTAACTAGCTAAGGTACCTACAGCTATCTGAGTATCTTTCATGCTCCCCTCACAGCTCCCAGGGCCCGATGAACCAACCATCCATGCCTGCGGACAGGGAATGCTGCGCCGCTAGAGGGAGCTCCATGCAGGACGTCGTCGGCGAGAATACATGCCCTCCTGCTGTGGGCGCCCGCGAAAACATGACGGCCTGCAAGTACTCAGAAACCCGCCGATGCCTTGGCTGCAGCCGCATGCTGAGGCGCTTGACGACGTAACACGTCAACACCCAGCCGCAAGTTGGGGAAGCTCTCTGTTCTGCTGGGCTGACAGATGCACGGAACCTGCGGACACGACACAGCGTTGAACACCCATGGCCATAAGGCATCAGGTGGCAGGTTGAGCAAGACTCGTGGCCGCGTACACCGCGGCACAGCTCCCAACGACAAGAGTCCGTCGCCGTCACAGCCGCCATCCATCATCTCTGGGTTTTCCAGTCTAGGCAACCTATCCGTCTCGGACGACTCTCCTACCGATTCCGGGCGATGCCTCGGCGGCACGAGATCACGTCTCAGCCGGCCAGCCCTCCGAAGTAAGAGGCAAGAGGCGGAATGGTGGCAGCAGCAAGGAGGGAAGCTCCAATGCTGAGATGGCCTCTCGATTGGACCAGCTGCAGCAGCATCTTGTCAGCACCAGGTCCCTCCTGCCTATCCCCGAAGCCAACGCTAGTGTGCGGATAAAAAGAGGGGGGAACATGGGGCTGACTCTGCACTTGGCAGCTCTTGGAGGGGAGCCAAGGCGATGCGGGATCGGAAAACAATTGCGACAAATGCCATACGCTCTCCAACTAGTCAGCAACAACAACGTTCTTCCCTCCCCAAGCACCTACCTGCTCTCAAGTCTCAACAAGTCCGTCCCTTGACATCCAATGACTTGTTTCCTCCCAGAACTTGTCCCCAACAACACTCAACAATGCAACACTCCATATTGCACATTAACTAGGCATAGCAGCCAAAGACTTCTGGCAGAGACGCCGCAAGCACATGAAAATGACGCCGGCTTTCTGTCATCAGGATCGGCAAGGGTTCTCGACTCGATATGCCCGGCAGCCAGGGATCGCAGCAGGGGACTCGGTTCCAATCAGCGGCTCAACCCCCCGATGAAGAAGACCGATCCACACGTTCAATATCCAGACGGGCATTGTTTGATTGTGTCCTGCAGATTTTTGACTTTCCTCGCAGCAGAACCGCCGCATCCCACTCGCATCGCAACACCAGCGCCCCCAGAGACCACGGAAACACGGCTTCAACTGTCCTTTTACCCACGCTGCTTGCTCGGCGCCACTTTCCAGTATCGCTCAATAGCGGTCCTTCAGAGCTTGCTGCCACACTCACGTGCGAATATCGTTCTCTGTGGCTGACACATGTAACGCGCGAGCACCGACAACCGAGGCGAGTGCGCAGAAAAGAGGCTCCTCGCGGGGCAACCCGTCGTATTTGACCGGTCCACCGCTACAGAAACCCTGCTTTGTTTCTGGGTACGGAGCCGCCGTTGGAAACGGCGTTTCGCTGCTATTCTCCGGGATCCATCCCACCATGCCATGCCATTCCATCAGAGTTTGGTTCATCGCACATTTCCAGCGGACCACCCGAACACCTTCCCAACCCTTAATTCTCTCTTTTGCCCTGCGTCTACCGCAGCCAGCGCTGCTGAGGTTATTCCCACCTTCCCGACACTGCCGACATATGTCATGCTGACGCCCCTCAATCCTCCCGAGCCGAATCGTGCGCCTGAGTCAGCTTCGCTCTTCAATGTGATTGATGCGTGCCCTCGGACTGCATCAATCTTCCCTGTGGCGGCTGGGAAGCTATGGCCAGTAACCACAGCAGCAACAGCCGCGAACCGCCCAGCTCGGAGCTCTGGCAAGCGAATCTCCGACTCGCGGTGTCGCGACGACTCAGGTTCCTGCTACGACTCCGTCTTCAGGACAGTCGCGAAAATAACAAACCTGACGATGCTATTCCGTGCGAGCGCCAAATAGCAAGAAACAAGCGGAAACCGTGGAAACCAAGCGGTTGACCACCCACGACGCGGCTCAGCGTCGACTTCGGGACCGCGCGGTGAGAGTTCATCGTGTGGCAGCCGGTCGAGAAGCAATTTATAGCATCATCCGGCCTATCGCAATCTTGGGTCTTCACACCCTAACCGGCCGAGCGACCGTACTAGACGGATCGGACGACCCGGCTATGAGGAAACCGTCTCTGCCTTTGTCTTGTGTCTTGCAGCCGGAGATCCACTCGGGAACCCCAATCCGAAAGGGCAGGCGTATGAGCCATGTATGTGTATGCGGCATCATGAGCCTTGGATGGGCAAGGCTGGGGCTCAATACGCCAGCACTGGCACGTGTCCCGGATCGCCAGCTTTGATAAACACGCCTGGCACGTCTCCCCAGCGTCCGCCACCGTCATTGAGGCTAAGCGGGATCTACGCAGCTACGCTGGGCTAACGGCTTTTACTTTGGCCCTAAAACAGCACCGCTCGGCACTCTTCGTCCACACACGCCCCTGGACCAAGGCAAGGGGCCGTGTGTTAGCCTCATCCTTTCTCGGCCTACTCTGGACTGTACTACACGGAGTACGAATGAACAGTAAGGCAGTCTTGCAGACGACTGCACTCTGCGGACACAGACTTGTGAACCCCTTCCGGCGGCGCTGCCGGGCGCCCGCCAGCCAAATGTCGAGCTCTGCAGCTAACGGCCATCTCAATTCTAGAATGGACTTCCCCCATCGGACACATCCTATAGTCCGCCTCGTGTGTCTCTCCCTACCGGCCAATGAGCCATCACCAACCGAGGACCTGCAGGGCCGCTCGACCATGAGCACAGCTCTCGAAATATACTCGTCGTCACCACTGTCACAACAATGAAACGCCCCCTTCTGCAAGCCCCGAGCGTGGAGCCCAGAGCCACAGCAAGAACCGCATGCCGTGTCTCTCATTGTCCCAGGGACAGTCCCAGCCCGGCAGCACCACATGGACCGCTCATAGACGCCCAAAGACACGCCAAGCGTGCGCACCTCCGACGTGCTATTCATTGTATTAAGATAGAGTTACGTCGCAGCCGCCCTCTTCGAGATGAACTCCTGTCCTTTCTCCCGTTTGATTTCGAGAGGTGACCGGCGCCCAACCAAAACGCTGCCTCTCACTTGAAGCAATCATGTCGGGGTTGTGTGGTATCCGCCCTGAAGGGATCGTAAGTCGTCTTCCCTTGCTTGACTAGAATCAAGGGCTGCTCCAGCTAACGCTTCACCCAGGTGGCTCATTCAAAGTTCGGTCCTCTACCATCATCGTGTTTTTTCGACAGTGTTGTTGTGCCTTTGCCAGCATGGATCCGTATCATTGTCACGTTTGCACTCTTTCACTTTGTCGTTCCCGTCCTCGTCGTGGACAAGATCAAGCGGTATGAAGTGAAGCACGAATGGCAGAGACACGCCCAACTGTCGTTCTATTACTTCACCATCCTCGTCGTTTTCATGATGGAGGCCATGGAAATTGGTAGGCTGGCATCCATCACCTTTGGCGTCGGCCTGCTCCCGTTTGTTTTTGCGGGCTGTGGTGTCTGCGCCGTCATGCAGTCCACGCGGGGTTTCCAGCGCCGCATTCGCAACTGGCAGCCAGCCAACATCATCTTCTGGATCATGAGCATCGCCGTCACCTCCATTAAGTTTGTGACCATCGTAAAGGCGGGACAGGCCAATCCGCAGGCCAGACGTGCCGGCTCCGACTACCCGACTACTCACCAGCTTCAGGACCTTGGCGTTCTCATTGCCTGCTACATTCTCCTGCTCGTCAACGAGATCGCCCTCATGTTCCAGAAGACCTGGGAGGAGACTGTCGACGCCGAGAACATGAAGAAGCTCCGCCTCGAGCGCTCCATCAGCGACCAGGCCCGCTACGATCTTACCCGCGCCATCGAGGAGGGCTACTACCCGTCCGGCGTCACCTACCTCACCCTCAGGCTGGAGGGCGAGTCCGCAAGCGACAAGGATGTACCGAGCAAGGAAGACGAGCTTAAGAAGACGGCCAGCCACAACGCTTCCATTGCGGGATCGTCTTCCAGCGCCAGCGAGAAAGGCAAACGCACCATGGACGAACCGATCGAGCCTGTCCCCATGATCCCACCGAGCTTCCGAAACAGCGAGCGGTGGTCGTCTGCCATGACCCTGAAGGACGCTGCCGCAAGTGACGACCAGCTCAACGAGAAGAACGGCCTCAGCAAGAAACGCGACACCGCCAGATGGTCGGCAATGACTCTCAGGGAGCCGGCGCCCATCCGCGACCCCAACGACAAGCGCGGCTCAGGATTTGGCGGCGCAAAGGCTTCGCCCACGTTTGAAAATATCCAAGAGACGGAGGCCCTGGAGGGCGTCGAGCCGATTCACCGCTACGCCGAAGAGAGAGCCGCCCAGAAGGCCCTCCTTAGCGAGGCCCCGTTCTCGATCAATAGGGACAGCCAGCCGCCTCGCAGCCCCTCCGAAGCACACCGATCCTTCCTCTTGAAGCCCGCCAACCCCAACCCGCACGGAGAGCGGTGGTCTGCCATGACGCTCAGGAATGACGGCACAGTTCCGCCGACCAGGGAGGAGCATCAGCCCATGATGTCTTCCGCCAGTACACCCGAGAGGAAACCTTCCGGCTCGGGCGAGAGAAACGCCATGAGGCGGTATTCCGACTGCTCGTCACGGTCCATCCGGCGATTCTCTGCGCGCAACGATCTGAGGGAGGCTGCGGCTACGGCGGCCGCGTTCGTGGACGGGGAGGATATGTCTATGGGATCGCCGACGGAGGAGACGCATTTGCAGCAACATCAACCGCCCTCGCCATGAGGGGGACTTGGCATCGATACCAACAACCAAACTGGTACACACATAACTTTCCTTAATATCTCTTGTCATTTTTGGAGGGGAATGTGTAATTTTTCTTTGAATCTTGCAAAAACAAGCAGGCGAGGCGCCATATCTAGAACGGGCAGGGTCTTATGAGAGATGTGGGAATAGTGTGTATAATCAAGACGAACTCCTCCAAAACGATTCCCCAAATGCCGTGTTGTTTTGCAATGAGCAAGTGAGGAAGAGTGTGCCTAGAGATACTGCTGGCGTTGCATCTGGGCCTCTTCTTTTGGTAGTGTATAAAACCAGCATCTCACTACAATTTACGGCACCAACTTTCGAGACGGTTGCTTTTTTTCCACAACTGATCCACACAAGCAACAATACGTGCGCGTCACCTTGGAATTTCACGGCGTATTAGGACAGGGAAAAGCAAGTAAAACGGGTAGTTGCTGTTGAGAGGAGATCGTGGTTGGGGCGTGGCTTGTCCAGCCAGCCATTCCCGTATTGTGACTTGCGGCGCTAAGCTGGGGGCGAACCGCGACGCTAATCTCGGTGGTATTTTAGTGTGAATCGATAAGGGCGTCCGGAGGCGTTTCTTTTCTCTTCCCGATGGCGGGTGTATTTATGGCGTTTTTGTGTCTAGTTAGTTGTCCGGGCAAGGCAAGGCCGGTGTGGAGCGCGATGGCGGGAAAACGTTGGAGCGGGAGGCGTGTGAGTTTTGACAAGATGAAAATAGGGGGCGGAAGGAAGTTTGACAGGCGAGGGAGGGCGGGAGGATGGATGGATGAAATATTCATTGCTGGGCGTGTTTTGGGTGAAGGAAGGCGATTGGTGTGAGTATGCATCGTTTTTTGATGTATTTGTGAGAGTGGTTCTCGTATGTGGTCTTATTTCCCGCCCGTCTTATTAACGAATGTTGAAGCTGCGAGTTCCATTTCTGGAGATGGAAATAAGCCACCGGGAGTTACGCGGCCCGAAGAAGGGAAGCCGAAGGAATCGTGGCGCGGTCCATAAGCAGACCTGCTGTTGGTAGCCTTGAGTAGGTAGGACTTTCGTCAGGCGGCGCAGTCTGATAAGTCAGATTCCATGCTTTTTTTCTGGTCCAAGTTGGTTGGACGGGGTTGGAAGCAGCTACATGTACTAATCTATTCATTCTCACATTACATTTTCTTTCTTTTGGGCGTTGCCGTGCATGAGTGTGGCGTCCGTTTATTGATTCTTCCAACTTCCTTGTCTTGGCATTCAGGATCCTTTGGCCCCCCTGGTAGAGAATGAGTGACGTTTCGAGCCGGAGGAGGGACAATGACGAGGAGCTTGCTGAGGAACCACACCGCCGTCGAGGTCACCGCTCGACCACGGCGAGTGAGAATGACGATCCCGTGAAGCACCGCCGGGGCGGCGGCGGCCCGAGGAAGGGACACACCAAGTCGCGGAACGGGTGTATCGGGTGCAAGAGGCGACGGGTCAAGTGCTCGGAGCGGCGGCCCGAGTGTGAGGGGTGTCTGAGGATGGGGCTTGTTTGCGAGTGGGCGTGGCCTGCGAAGAGGCACCTGGGGGCGGGTTCCGGGAGGAGGCGGATGGTGACGAGGGGGGTGGGGGATAGCAGTAGTGGCGACGGTGAGGATGAGGAGAGGGAGATGGTGACGGTGGTGGGGATGGGAATAGGGGGTCCGCCGCCGCCTGTGTTTGGGATGGAGGATTTGAGGTTCTTTCAGCACTTTGTGCTGGATGCCATCCCGCCTTTGCCTGTCGGGGGAGGGGAGGTGTGGAGGGGTGTCGCGAGGATGGCGCATGAGGTGAGTTTTTATGTGCTTCTACACAGGATATCATGCGTTTTTCTTGCTGGTGGACTGACGGATGGGGGGAAAGTACGACTTTTTGATGCACGCAGTGTTGGCCCTTGGCGCGTCGCATCTTGCTCTGTGTAGTACTTCGGGCGGCAGCGGCAGTGACTCCGTCTCCTTGTCGTCAGGGACGGGCGTGATGGAGCGGCAGGCGTTGGGGCACAGGGTGCGAGCGATACGCGCGCTCAACGACAAGCTGTCTGCCGGGCGGCTGAGCAGGGTCGACGGGGACGCGGCGTTTGCGGCGATGATGGCGTTGACGTTCCAGGCCGGGTACATGGTTGACGGGATGGGGGATTTCGTGGCCATGGTTCGGGGGTGTAAGTCTCTCCCTCTGCCCTTCTCTGTGTGTGTATACATGATACTGACATGAAAGTCAAAAGGCCATGTCGTCGCCGATAACGCGATGCCCTCGTTCCCCGACTCTGCGTTCCGCGGGTTCTCGGGCCCGGGCTACGTCTCGGGCTTCCGGTCCCTGCTGCAGCCGGACCAGCACCCCAGTAGAGCCCCCAGGCTGGAGGACGTCAGAGAGGCAGAGCGGCGGGAGGTCTTGGACGGGTTCGTGGGCAGTCTGCGGGACGTCGGGGCGCTGTGCGGGAGCGTGTGCGAGGTCGAGTACCTGGCGGGGATGAAGAGGGTTGTCGGGCTTGCGATTGCTGGGTCTGAGGATGGTGAGTGTTTCTGGCCCGTCTTCTGGTGGAAATGAGGATGGCGTTAACCAGGGAGCAGCATACCTCGAGTTCGCGGCAATGTACAACCGCCTCGGCGAGATGAGCAGCGACGACTTCGTGCGCTTCAGCGCGCCCGGAAACCACGCCGCGCGGATCCTGCTGGGGCACTTCTTCCTGCTTGCGCAGGTGGTCGAGATGATCAACCACCGCCGGGGGGGGAGCCGCGAGGGACGGTTCCGGGCGAGGGTGACGCTGGCTTGGCTGGAGGGGATCGAGGAGGGGCTGCCGGGGGAGTTGAAGGGGTATTTGGGGTGGCCTTTGGGGTTTGCGAGGGGGCGCATGAGGAGGTTGGATGGGGAGGAAGGTGGGTGTGTTGGAATGGGTTTGTCGTGAGGGTTTGTGGGCGGGAGATGGGTGGTATGTTGAGGAAAGTTGACTGGGACACCAAGATGAACTTGGGCATATCCGACTTACATCCTTCTCACTAGATTCTCAAAGGCCTCTACCACAACTGCCATGGTCCGACGTCAGCAACTTTCCAGCAGCCAAACCAAACATCATACTAGAGTTTAGACATTGATGGTATGGCATCTCCTTTCATCAGGTTCACAACGGCATCGCGTGCCGTCCAACCATGGGGGCTCGATTTTGAATAGATAGACTTGAGAAATCCCATCTCACAAACTCCGCTATCTCTGGCCGACTCCTCGGCAGAAACAGCGTGCTCTTCACTTCAAGATGCTTGATGGCCTCCATCGATGGCTATTCTACGTCAGGACGCTGAAGAATGTTCGCTCCTTGGCTCAGAGAACACTCATACAAAACGTGAGGTTTGCTCGATAATAAGAAACACTTCTCCAGCAAGACAGTAGCTAGCCTGGGCATCAGAAGGACATCATGCCGCAGTTGTAGATTCGCCCATGTTCTCGTCTACACATGTCACTCAAGTCATTCACCAAGCCTAGAGCAGTCCCCTGAAATATGCGGTTCTCATTCCAATAGAACTAATGTTTTGTCATGACCTCATCCCGAAAAAGAGCAAGTAAAAGTATCCTGTCCGTCCCCAATGTGACAGGCAAGAGAAACCCCCCTCCCCTTCCAAAATCGAACCAGACGCCATGCTTTGGAAGAAGCGCTTGAAGAAACTCAAACTGTAGAAAAAAAGACAACATCGTTCCATGCTTGGCAACCGCCCGCCATCATTCAGTTCTATATGAGGTTTGAAAAGCCCCCCACCCTGTCCCCCGTTTCCTACCCCGCCGATATTCCCGACACATGTACATATCTTTGGTCCTTTTTTACCCATCTTCCCCAACGCTCTCTCTCTATTACAACATCTTGGGGGGAAAAAATCAACGTCTCGAGGATCGACCTTGCTTTCTGCGGAAGAAGACGAGGTACGGCACGTCGGAGGTGCTCTTCTTGAACACTTCGCGACTGGCGTCGCCCCCGCGGCCCGTGCCGTCGATGCGGATCGGGGTCACGCGGGCGTCGTTGATGCGGTGCCAAACGTGTGGGTCGGGGTTCTGGGGTTCGCGGACGTAGGAGTAGTAGTGACCGCTGGTGATGTTGGTGCCGGTATGGATGATGACGGCATAGCATTCGTAGTCGAAGGGCAGCTCGAACTTTTCGTCAAGCGGCGGCCCGACGGTGTTGCGTTCCTCGGGCGGGATGAAGAACTGGTCGAGGTTCAGGTTTTCAAAGTCCCATGTGATCATGTCCCGCTTCTTCTGCACCTGGCCGGTGTTGTCGTAGTCGAAGCGTCGGAAGCACACGCACAGCAGCTCCGGCAGACGGGCGAGCGCGATTTGCTTTTGGCCCCGTACGTTCATGTTGCAAGTATCACACTTGTAATCGTCAATAAACTCCGGCTCGAGGTATGACTTCAGGCAGTCCTCAATCGTTTGTGTGTTGCTGTTGATGGGCACCGAGATGAAGTCGAATGTCGCAAAGCTGTAAGTGCGGTTGTTGCATCTTGAACACACCACGGTCGAGAGTTCCAAGCCACGCCAGTACCTGTCAACGATGGACGAGTTTGTTTTCAGGTAGTGACCCCACCACTCGTACGCACCCTGAAGCATCGACTTGCCAACCTTCATCTGAGGGTATGCTGCGTTCTCGTCGCCTACCCGATCTCTCCGCATGTTTGTCTCATCGTGAAGGTAGGCCATCAGCCAGGACATGAACTCTTGAGCATCCTGCTGTCGGCCACCACCAAACTCATCACCCTTGTCCTTGAGCCGGCTCTTTTCACAGACCGATCGAGAGTAGTCCTAGGAATGGTCAGTACAGCGCAGAGCCATATGGGCGGGGATGCTTACCATCAGTGTCTGGGCCTTCATGGTGGCAAACTTGCCGGAGTCCATCCAGTGGAACAGGTTGGATAGGATGCGCGACATGAGCTGAGGGGGATCGCTCTTCTCATCGGGCTTCTTCGGGACCTTGTACGTGTTTTGCCATTCAAACGTGGCCAGCTCCTTGCCAAAACCAGGCGACATCCGCAGGGCTTGGATGGAGCTGTTGGCGTAACACCAGACACCGGGGTTGTTGAGACCTGTGATGTGATGGCCATCCTTGACTGCGCCGACAGATGGAGAGTCGGGCCGGGCCAATGGGCCCTGCTTGAGGTTTCGAGCTTGCGCTGGGAAGGCCAAGCCTTGAGCCTCATGGTCATCCTGCGTTTGCGAAAGACCACTGTAGCTGGGACGAGGAACGGCTGGAGCTGGCCGCGTAGGTGGTGACGGAAGCTCAGAGTAGATATCGGCGTGGTTTTGATAGTTGTTGTACGTGAGCTTTTCAGGACTGATGGGTGACTGCATGGATTCCTGCTCAGCTGAGACAGCTGGGAATCTGCGCAGAAACTCTTCGGTGCTGCGCACATGCATGAACCCAGGAGAGCGCGCAGTCTCGAGATCTGCATTGTGAAGCGTTTCCTCCCAAAGCTTGACCTCTTCAGGCTTCAAAGGCGTGACTTTGTATTGCCTGGCTGGCTTTGAGATGGAGATGGAGGGCTTCAAAGGAGACCGAATCCTAGGGGCCCTAGCAGCACCAGCTGTCTGGGACGTGGCCAAAGCAGCCCTTCCCATTAGATCTGTCCACGCATCCAGGCCTCCCTGGAGCAACTTGGGGGGATTCTTCAATTCCTTTCCGTAATTGAAGTACGTTAATGCGCGCTGGAGTGACAACAGTGCGGCTGCGTCCATGTCAGGAGAAATGTATCGTGGGATAGCATCTGAGTCCTGGTCATGGAAAACCACCAGGTCGAAAGCGTCCCTCCTCTCGAAGTGGTGGTATTCCTGCGCGGGTGAGAGTACCATGCTTTCGGCGATCTGCTCTGAAGATATGTTCTCTCTAAGTAAAATATTGGGTTCAATGCAGATGACGGCTTGTGACAGAATGTGGCCCTCGTCGAAATCGTCGCGGCTGCGGACGTCAATGATTAGAACTTGAAGTGTTGCGGAGCCCCTTCTTATAAAACTCATTAGGTCCTCGGCAGTGATGGTGTCGCCCTCGGGGATCGTGATGCTGGGACGGTGAATTGGAGCAGGAGCGGCATTAGGCTGAGGCTGGGGCTGAGCGAGGTAATCAGACGATTTGTTGTTGGCAAGGACGGTATTGATCGCGGCCGAGGAGCCCGTTCTGCTGAACAGGCCGCGGGGTGTACTTGAGGGCAAGGAGGCCGCTTCATTAGACACGGTTCCTCTGGCCGGGCTGTAGATGGCGTCCGGCATCTTTGGCAGGTCTGGCAGGCTTGTCACAACTGCCACCTTTGGTTTCTCGGTCGGTTCGGGCATCGCCCTCGGTCCTGCTGGTCTCGCCGGAACGAGGGGATGTGTTCGTATGCGGGGATCTTGGCCAGGCAAAGCTACCGGTCCTCTAAGATTGGCGAAGCGGGCTGCCAGATCCTCGGCGGCCTTGCTCTTGAGGGTCGGTGTGCCAGCCCCCGAACGTATCACATTGCCATGTAAAGATTGGGGCTTTGGCTGGACTGCAGGTTTCGGCTTCGGCGAGCCATTGACCTGTGTACCGGCCTCGGCTCTCGTGGGACTCATCACCGGTGCGCCCGGTTGGCCCTGGGGTGACATGGGTCGGTTCGCTTGGCCGTTGACGATGGAGGATGGTCTCGAGGTGGTCGGGCGGGCGCCCGTTCTTTGGTTATCGGCGATGATGTCGGCCTTGATCTTTTCAAAGGCTGTATGCTGGGACTCTATCTTCTTCATGAGGGCAGAGTAGATGCGGCTCATGTCTCCTTGGCCGCCCCTCACGGCCAGGGCATCGGGGTGTTGAGGCACATATCGAATGGCAATTAAGGAGGCCTTCAGGTACTCCTTGAAGGCGAGATCTGGTCTGCCAAAGTCGCGGAAGGTCTCGGCTTGTCGCATGGCATTGTCGCCCCTCTCGAGGATCTTGCGCAAGGGTAGCTTCATGTCGACATCGGGGGAGGCGGAGGTGAGGTCGTCTATATGGGGTAGGGGTTGTTTGGCGCCGCGGCCGGCCGGTCCCCCGTCTCCGCCCATGGCGAAGGAGTGTAGAGAGGTGCCGTTGGACATGGCAGGACCGCCGCCGCCGAGGACGGTTCTGGTGGCTGAGGAGGCCGTCGAACTCATGTGAACGAGGAACGGTATCTGGGGGATGGGTGTGGAAGTTGGATCATGTCGCTGCACGCGCGGCTGCTCGGTCGGTCGCGGGAGATGTTGTTGTGGTTTGGGTCGGTAGATTCCAGGAATGACGGTGGTGGTGGTGGGAGGATTCGGAGCGATCAAGGTACGGAGGACGGGACTCGGAGACGACAATCGGCGGCGGGATCGTCATGGGTGGCAGGCGACGGGACGCTTTAGTAGTACGTTGCAAGCGCAGCTGCAGGGCGGTCTGCAGTGTGCATGTTTCCTTGAATAGAGCAGAGGGCTTTCGGTGGGTTGGAAGAATGGCGGGGGCAGCCAAAAGGCGTCTTTGAGGAAAAGAGAGGTAGAATAGAACAGATTTGTGGTGCCGTATGCTGTGCTGCCGTCTTGTGAAAGGACGATGGTCCGTGGTGGAGGGCAGCCTCGCTGTCGTCGTCGCCGGGCGCTAACAGTTTCAACAATGGCAAGACATTGTGGAGAGGGAACGGTACCGTTGCGGCGGCTGTGTTTTTGGGGGGCGTTACGGTATCTTATCCGAGAGGGCCGGTACCCGTCGACATCTAGACCAGGGCTACCTCTGGACAGGGCAAGTAAATGCTGCGCTGGAGTCGGGATCACTGACGCATCCGGCCTCTTGAATGCTTCAGGCACTGCGATGGAACAGGCGGACAGGGCGGGCAGGGTAGTCGGTCCCCCTGTTTTTTTTTCTTCTCTTCTCTTCAGTCTCAGGGTATCACACCGGGCGGCTGTCACTGAAGGAGGGCGGCCGGGCGGCGGGTTCGCCGTTGATTTTACTTGGGTGCATGCACCTTGGGCGGCAACTTTGAGTAAGGTAAAGAAAGCTACGGATACCTAGGTAGGTGCTAAAGCTGGCATGACTGACAACTCATAGTGCCGCGCCACAACCAATATAGCTTGGCTTTTACCTAAATACCCACCCTCGATGTTGTTTCTTTGCCGGGTATTACATGGCGACAAATGCAAAAATGCATTACAATGTGAAGGAGCTCATGTCAAAGAGTGCATTACCCAGAGATGCCCAAGTCATGTACTTACAGCAAGCTCGATGCCAAGGCCCGCAGCAATTTGGGCAGGTTGGCAAACCCATGCGCCACAGGTGGCTCCACCGCCATGTTCCCAACTTCGTCATCTCTGGGGAACCCCCCAAAACCCGTCTTCAAAGTCCCACGCCCTTTGGGCTTAGCGCGGAGATTTCCGTCCGCCGATTACTATCGATGTACGTACCGCGTAGTCAGCAGCACCAGGTGAAGCAGCCACGAGGCCCGCGACGACACCTGCAAGGCAGCCCTTTACCAATCCCCATGCATCCCTGCTGCGGAACCAGAGTCGCTACGTAAGTTTAGGGACCCGTCGTGCCTGACTACGCACTGAGCCAACGTAAGGTAGCCACCACCAGGCATCGAAGTATCTCGCCGTACCCAGCCCGCCTGCAAGCTACCTCCCGGGCGACCTGAGGTGGACAATCGGGCCTAGCCTGCTGCATCTCCAACTGAACGAACCATACGCACCATCCAAGAGACCCCAAGGCTCAGGCTGTTGCATCTGGGCCAACAGACACACGCACTCCAAGCTTTCCTCTTGTCGCTCCTCCATCAATATTCCTACGCGCAATCCATTCCACCTCCGCCTCGTAATCCCGTAACGTCGGCATCGCGACCGCACACGAACCACGTACACATAGATAGCCCGCCGACTACGATCGACATTCGCTTGTTTGCACTCGCCTCCCCGCCCATCCCGCATACCGCACCCAGCCTTCAAGATGATGGGCTGGTGGTCCAGCTCGGCCAACACGGCCCTGGACGAGCAGATCGAGAAAGCCACCAGCAGCAGCTTGTACGACCCGATGCCGATGCTTCAAATGACTGTTCTAACGCTGCAACAGGGAGGATATCGCTCTGAATCTCGAGATCTCTGATGTCATCAGGTCCAAGACCGTCCAGCCCAAGGAGGCCATGCGCTCCCTAAAAAGGCGCATCGGCAACAAGAACCCAAATACCCAGCTGAGCGCCCTTAACGTATGCCATGCTTCGCTGCTGCCTGCTCTTATATACACAAGCTAACCCGGATGGCAGCTTACCGACACGTGCGTCAAAAACGGTGGCACTCACTTCCTTGCCGAAATCGCCTCGCGAGAGTTTATGGACAACCTGACCTCGCTCCTCCAAGCCGTTGGTCCCGCCGCCGTCAACCATGAAGTGAAGCAGAAGATCCTCGAGCTGATACAGTCCTGGGCCGCCGCTACCGAAGGCCGCCACGAGTTGGGATACATCGGAGAGGTCTACAAGACACTACAGAGAGAAGGCCACCACTTCCCTCCCAGGGTCACCGTCTCCAGCAGCATGATTGACAGTAGCGCTGTAGGTTTTCTGTCTGAATGCCGTTGATGTCCCCCACGCTGACAAGTCGCAGCCCCCCGAGTGGGTTGATTCAGATGTCTGCATGCGATGCCGAACCCCCTTCACCTTCACGAACCGAAAGCACCACTGTCGCAACTGCGGCAACTGCTTCGACCAGCAGTGCTCGACCAAGTCGCTGCCCCTCCCCCATCTCGGCATCCTCGCGCCCGTTCGCGTCGATGATGGCTGCTATGCGAAGCTCACCGACAAGTCCAGCAAGGGAGGCGCGCCTTCGCCACTGCCCCAAGACCGATCTCCCACCTACCCTTACAAGACCCGCAGCACGTCTGCTATGCAGCCGCGCAATGCGCGCGTTGACGACGCGTTCGATGAGGATCTGAAGAAGGCCCTGGCTATGAGTCTGGAAGAGGTCAAGAATTACTCCAAGGGCTACGTGCCTCCCACCGCCAACGGCCCGGATGCCAAGGTGAACGGAAGCTCTGCTGCCCCGACGAATGGAGCAGAGGATGAGGACGAAGACCTCAAAGCTGCCATCGCCGCCTCGCTGGCCGACATGGAGGAGCAGAAGCAGAGGCACGCCGCTGTATTGAAGGAGCAGACATCGAGCGCTGGATCTTCATCGACTCAGCACTTCTCCTTGCCCAAGAACGACTACGAACTTACCCCGGTCGAAGCCGAGAACATCAACCTCTTCGCGACCCTCGTCGATCGCCTGCAGACACAACCGCCTGGAACCATTCTGCGTGAACCCCAAATCCAGGAGCTGTATGACAGTATCGGTACCCTGCGGCCGAAGCTCGCCCGCACCTACGGAGAGACCATGAGCAAGCATGGTGTGTATAGCCCTTGAGTGCCCCCCGTTTTCAGTACTAACCCATCCTAGACACCCTCCTGGATCTCCATGCCAAGCTTTCCACTGTCGTGCGATACTACGATCGTATGCTCGAGGAGCGGCTTTCCAAGGCATACAGCCAACATGCCGTCGGAGGAGGTTACAATCTTCCTCCTGTCCGCCATTCGACCGGCTCTTATCCTTCACTTCAGGCCAGTGCCCCTGGTGCTGCCGAGAACTTTTACACTGGCGAGCAACGAGTGGACTATGGTCACGCTCCGCCACCCCAGGCTTACCCTCCTCATCCTCAACACACTCCTCAGCCTCAGTACGCGACGTTCGATAAGCGAGCTTCGGTGTCTGGGCCCCCAACTGGCGTATACCCTCCCCAGGAGCCTCAACGGACAGACAGCTGGAGAAGTGGAGGTGCGCCCGCGCCCGAGCAGTATGCGCCTCAACCTTCGTATCCCAGCGAGCCTACCCCTCCCGCAAACCACCAAAACCAACCTGCCGCAACACCATCAAACGATCCCAACGCCTCTTACTACTTCAACCCTCAGCAACCCAGTGCGCCCCCGTCCGCACCACCATCCGCCGACCCGAATCCCTCTCCGTACCCCAATCTTCAGCAGGCGGTGCAGTATAGGCAGTCTGTGTCTCACCAGCAGACACCTGTCCAAGCACCGGCCCAACCCGCTCAGCATACACAGCAGCATCAGGCTCCGCCCCAGCAGCAGAGCTACTGGCAGCCGTCAGTACCCCAGCAATCAGCGCCGCAGCATTGGCAGGGCCAGTACAACAGCGGATATACCCAGGAGTCGTTCCCGACTGCGCCGCAGCACGCCCCGAAGCAGCCGGCTGTGGAGGAGAGTCTAATTGATCTTTGAGGAGGATGCAGTCCGAATGCATGCAGGTCTACTACATAGGTTTCGGCGTTTCAGGGACACAAGGGCAAGCCGAAGTAACTCTTTGCATTATTCGGGCTTGAGAATGAGCTGTAAAATGAAATCTTTGTTGGACACGTTTGCATTCCCTTCTCCTGCTCGTCGCCGGGAACAATAATCTGTGATGTGGAGTTGTACCGAGTGGCAAGGTGTCATAAGACTAATGTATTCATTTGATTGACGATTGCATGTGCTTGATTCTTTATTTTCTACCCTTGCGTGATTCTCCCTTTGTCGATTACTCTTCCGCCAATGACCCTAGGTCAACCTTTGATGCTTTGACATCAAGGCCACACTCGTTGTTAAGCAGTCGAACGGCTGTCGAATGATGTCAAGATGAGAGCTCCCTCCATATTCCCATATTACGCCTTTCCTGGCCATTTTCCAGGCTGGTTTTATATGTTCATGCCAGTCCTCGTTGTCACCAAGTATCAAATCTCCAGCTGGTCGGGTTTCTAAACGGCCTCTGTCATGACGACGCCGCGACCCTCCTTCAGGCGCCGCGATGCCTTCTTCCAGGCCTCCTTGCGGTCCTTCACGGCGAGCTTGTACTGGGAGCGATGCCACTCGCCCGTCTCTCTGGATCGCATGACCTCGCGATATTGAAGTGGCTGGAACGTGTTCAGTGATGAGTATTTTGATAAAGGGCAATGATTTGAAGATGCTGTGCGACGTACCTTCCAGTCGACCTGGTCAACGGGCAAGGTCCAGTTTTCTTTGATTCGGAGGTCGGGGTCTCTGGGTTTGGTATCAGTATTTGCTTTGCGGTTGTGGGCATGAGGGATATTTACTTTCTTGTATCCTGGGAAGGCGGGGATCGGCTTGAGGAGGGAGAGGTTGGTTCTCGGCTTGCGCTGGGGAGCAGGCTTGGAGTAGGGGTGCTTCGTCTGCTCCTTGGCCTTCTGTTGCTCAACCTTCTGCTGCTCGACCTTGGCGATCACCTCGCCAACGTAGTCTCCGGTTTCTTCGTCGTCTGTATTAACAGTCAGTTGTTCTGCTTTCAACAGTCGCACTGTTGACGTGGCACTTACGATACAGTGCAAGGGTCTTGGGTCCCACGCGGGGCACGAGGTTTCCGTCCTTGTCGTAGTCCTCATCGTTGTTCTCCTCCTCGTTTTTCTTCTCCTCGTCACTCTTCTTTTTGTTGTTCTCCTCTTTTTCTTCCTTCTCCTTCTTGCGCTCGCGGTCGGCCTTGGCCTTTGCGTCTATGTCCATAGTCAGCTTTTTGTAGTCAAATCCCGCGGCTATGGGAACGTACTAATACGAGCAAAGTATCCGGGAGGTATGTAAGGGACGATGCGGTCTGCGTTTTCCGCAAGGTACTTCAAATCCTCCTTGGAGATGTCAGAAATGGTGGCGACGGCGATGATGGTGATGGCAATATGTGGGAGTTGTTGTATTGGTGTTCAGATGGAAAATCTGGGGAAGGACTGAAGGAAGGTGAGTTTGAAGGGTGAAACAAGAGACCTGTGTCGAGATGAAGGTGCTCTGATAAATGTCTTGTGGTTTAGGACCAGGTGGGTGAATAGTGTGTAGGTGGTGAATGTGATGGCTCAGGTGAAGGTGAAATCGAAGTGAGAGCGGCAGGTCGCGTGTGGCCCACCACGTTCATCACTCCGAGTATACAGGCGAAATATGCCGTGTATGTAGCATCAGTCATCCATTCGATTAAAGTACGATCTAAAACGAGGAGTCATGGTTATTGCAAGGAAGTTGGTCTCCTGGGTTTCCTCCTCCCAACAACGGGAGATGAAGTATCCGCAGCTTCTTATGTATTTTCCGAAGTCTCTGTCTGTGATGTATTCAAGTCAGTCTTTGGTGGTTTGATACTAGATTCATTGTTGAACAGGGGAAGCGCAAAAGTTTCGAGCTACTAAAGAATTTGTTTCAGAGGTGGTTGTCGCCTTCGTGAGCCTGGAAGATACATGCTCATACCAATTTATTAGAAGACTCTAGCTCTTCCGGTCCTGGTCGCTTTATCAGACACCCTTCGTCTCGACGCCGCCAGTGGCGGCGCCCTTCGACTCAGTGGCACTCTCAGACGTCTCCTCTCGGCCCTGTTGCTCCTGCTCGTATTGGAACTGCTCCCATGCAGCGATCTCCCTGGCCAGATAGACCTCACGCTGGCGTCGTGCCTATTGATGACGAGGTTAGCTTTTAATGTCTATAGAGACCTGCAGAGCGCGTTTTTCTATTTGAACGAACGTGGACCATGAGAAGGAATTGGCGGGCGCCTTACCTTGAGGTCAACTTGGTCGAGGGGCAGGGTCCAGTCATCATTCAAGATTGCGATATTCCTAGCCATTCTAGGTCAGTATATTTATCTGATTTGGAGGGAGGCGGGTGACCTGGACTTACATGGTCCCCGGAAAGACAGGGCGAGGCTTGAGGAGCGAGGGGCGGAATCCTGGCCTTGACTCGGGAGCGGATGAGGAGGAAGAAGAGGACTCCTTTATCTGCTCCTCTCCCTTCTGCTGTTGCTCTCCATTCTTCTTCCTCGCCTCCTCCTCCTTTGCCTTGCGTTCGTGGTCGGCGAAAGCCTTCGCTCCTGTTTCCATGGTTAGCTTATTGGGCAGAGTCGAGTACTGGGGTACGTACGGAGACGAGCGAAGGTTCCAGGAGGCTGGTAAGGTGCAAGGACGTGTGGACGATCTTCGTTGGGCATGGTGATGGTAGTTATGTCGGTCGGCAATGATTTATGTGTGTGTGTTGTGTTCTGGCTGTGCCTATGTTGAGAGGAGGAAGAGTGGGAAGATAGCCAGGAAAAGGTGAGCTTTTTGAGGGTGAGGTAGATGCCTGGCTATGTAGAAGTGAGGTACCTGAGGGAGACGTGGGTGATGATGAAGTTGAAGTGAAAGCGGAAGCGGAAACAAGTACCCGCCCTGTGCCCCGTTGCGTTCATTCATTCCACAATCGCTGGTTTTTTGGGCAGTATGGATACCGTCTGGATCGGGACGTTTACAGGTTTTCTTTGCCTACCGATGTTTCTCTTGTAATGTGGAAACAACGATCTAAGCTTGCTTCCCTATACGATGCTTTCACCCAGCATCCCTAGCACTAGTGGTCTGTGTCCGTCGATTATACTCCAAGTATTTGTTGACAGTCAACAACTTTAGGGGGAAAATGTGTTTCTTTGGGCTTGGGCAGTAAAGGAGTGTACTTTCAACGGGGCGGTTCAAAGAAATCGACCATTTCATGAGCATACACCGTACCATGGAAGGCGAATTCATTGCCGGCCTGTGCCCAAAGATCCAAGTATAGAGCCCCCATTTTTGTGGTACTTTCGAAGTCTTCGTGGACTTGGCTTGAGCCTTGTTCGGCTGAGGGGCTGCTTTCCCCAGTTCTAAGCAAAAAGGCCTTGTTTGCTTCAGGCCTGGGAAGTCTCAGCTGTGGATAAAAACTCTGCTTTGAAGCTTTATCTGAAGGGAGTTTCCCTAAACAGCAATGGGAGTGGGTATTTGAGAAAGCTTGGGATGATTTGAAGCGCGACGAGGCGACAAAGTAGCCAACAGCCCTAGACACCAACACCGCATTTTCAGTCTATCATTTTGAGCATCTCTGTCTTTAATCAATTTCTTCCCCCATCTCAGATTTATTATGACGTATTTGTCATTGATTAGCGGTATGTACGTCTTGTCTATAAGTGAGGCCACGGACGTTCCTGGCGGTAGCAGCGATTCTTTCTGATATCTACATAAGCATGAGCGACGATGAAATCAGACCATGTGCGGGAGACATGGGCTATGATTGGTTTCGGTTTGATGTCTGAAGAGGTCAAGAGGGGCTTTATAGGGCAATCCAAGGCCACATATCTTGCCTCACGTGGTACTTTTGAGGGTGAGGCACGTTACCGGATAGGTGTTTCGAATGAGGCAGACTGAGCCGGTGTTGAGAGTGGGCTGAGGTTGATCTGAGCTGGATCATTCTGTTATTTAAAATTCAGGCAACGCTGGTGAAGAGCTTCCTCCGCACAATACAAGGGGACGTCCTATGATGAGTAATCTCTACAACACTGTGATGCAGAAAGACCAGGCTTACTTGCGGTAGACTACGCACACTTGCATCTTGATCGGCTTCTCGTCCAGGTATATTGTATACCTGAGAATATCCACTGGACATGCGCGGTGAAGAACGAAAGACCGACTTGGCTTAAATCCGTCTTTCTGGTTCACCCGAAAGGTCTAGTAAGCTTTGGGCTCGCACTCGTATATCTGAAAGAATCGATGAAATAATGATTTTTCTCTCCATGTATTCGACTTGCGGTAAAAAAAAAAGGCCAAACTTCGAGGTAGTCCTCCACGTCTCAAATAAGCTTTTGTGTTCGCATCTTTGAAAGGCTTGCCGTCATGAGAGGACCAAAAAACATCTACGCTTGAAAAAACGGATGACGTTGTGGTCCTTTGTGGTAGAATATATAATCTCGCAGTTCTGTCTTAGTCTGCCCCTGCACCTGGTTCATACACAAGTGGAATAAACAGAAAAGACATACCTCAAATCTTTAGGGTTCGTTGAAGGAACTTCGTTGGAGAGGACTCCAAGTCTCTCAACCAGAGCATAGCTCAGCAGAAGGCTACGAATCGGCTCCGATTGAGGTCACACAAAGGGAACGATAATTGATCCATCTTTCGGCTTGCGATGTACAGCATGATAATTTATACGAGGCAGACTGCCAGAGCAAAGATTAGCTGCCATTCAAGTCTCTCTTCTCATCCGTATGCTTTCCTGGATTCGCCAAATTTGACGCCGCGTGATATTTGCGAGGTTTTATTGCGGAAAAGACAGCAGCAGTGAGCGCTTCACGTTGCCTGTCTTGGTCGACGAAACATTAGTATTTGATCGATCTCCCGAACCACAATACCCGAGTAATTGTTTATCACACGCCATAATAGCACTAAGAAAGTGAAAGACGATGCAGGTAACTGAGAACTGTTATAAATCCGTTTGGAGACTTCCTCAGCTTGGCTTTCAGCTTCGTTTGGGACTTCACCGTTTTGAAAGCAAACTTTAAGCGGCCAAATTGTTCATCTAACTTGTTCCACCGCCTCACCCGTTTTTAGATGACAACCGAGAGCCTGAACTCGCATATGCCTATTTCTCTTCATCGTCACCTGGCAACTTCAGTGAGTCACTGTCAAACTCCGGTCTAGTTCTAATTCTCGGCAACCTGACCAATTTTAAACATCACACAACAGCTCTTTTGTATAAGCAACCGCAAGCAGTAACTCCGTCGCAACGAAGTCGGCCCCTGATCTCGGCAACAAGTCAGCTCGCCTCAATTGATAAGCCGTTCCCCCTACCCCGCCCAACCACTCCGGACGCCGCCAGACGGGTGTGCCCCACATTTCGCCCCGGTTATCGGCGCCGCAGCGCTACGGTCGGTGCAGCGGGCCAGCGTCCTTGGCTCTAAACCAGCACACCCGTTGTGAGCTGAGGTGCGCTGCGCTGCGAGTTCCCTCTCCTGTCGTTTGAGTCATTCCGCGAGAAGATTCCTGTCCCGCCATGATGCCGGTGGAAAGAACATCCACTTTTGGACTGTGTCTGGCGTGTGTGAGGTGTGCACTGGCGCCGTGGGGACCCTGACTTGCTCCAGTGTCCGCCGCCGCCGCAGCCAACGCCGCTTCGCCCCAACCAAGGAATTTTCCCGAGGACGGGGGAGCCATTACGTAGTTGTCTCGAGACCGCGTGCTTTTATCATTGGATCGTGAATCACGCAGTCATCCACACCGAGCACCGGAGGTTTTGTAACGTTTAGAAAGTGAACAAATAAACCACATCGCCAGCCTTTTTTCATCAACATTCAAGGTGTTTGCTTTTCTTTCCCCAGAACTTTACCCCGCCTGTCTCACGACCTCACCCGTCTCACCAACATCAACCCCTCCAATTCAATTGCATGTCATAGCAACGACATCTCACCACACAGAAACTTCTCGACATCGCCAACCTCATCAACCATGCCTGTCCAAATCCACCTCGTCCGCCACGCCCAGGGCTTCCACAACCTCAATGTCGAAAACGAGGCCACCCGCGACCCCCTCCTCACAGACAAGGGCAAGCAGCAATGCGCCGACCTCCGCGCCGCCTTCCCCCACCACTCCAAGCTCACCCACCTCGTGGCCTCGCCGCTGCGCCGCACCCTGCACACCTGCCTCCTTTGCTTCGGCCCCGAGGACGGCCACCTGGGCAAGGTCATTGCCCTGCCCGAGGTCCAGGAGGTCTCGGATGCCCCGTGTGACACCGGCTCCGCCGTCTCTGAGATTGAGGGTGAGTTCGAGGGCAAGGTGGACTTCAGCCGGGTGCCCGAGGACTGGACGGAGAAGAAGAACCCTGAGAGCAGGTGGGAGCCGACGTTGAAGAAGCTGGAGGTCAGAGCTGCGGAGGCGAGGAGGGCTTTGAGGGAGATTGCGGGCGTCGAGGGGGATGCGCAGATTGTCGTTGTCACTCACGGCGGTTTCTTGCACTTTTTGACAAACGACTTTCACGGAGTCCCTGCTGGCAAAGGTACGTTTTCTCCCTTGCGTGTATGAGAGCTGTTGCCGGACGGTCTTGCTAATGAGCCTGCAGCGACTGGGTGGGAGAACACGGAGTACAGATCGTACAACTTTGCCGACAGCACCGGCAAGGACGAGAAGGCCCTGTTGACCGAGACGCAGGAGAGCTGGAATCGTCGCCAAGGCGAGAAGACTCGTCCTACGCCTGAGGAGCAGGCTGAGCTGCAGCGGGTGTTCTACAGAGACATGGAGCCGTACCTGAAGTACACTGCCGAGAGAGGCTGGATGCAGTAGAGGGGCTTAGACAAGATGAGTAAAATTCGGATAGAGTAGACGGCATGCATCGGAATAGACCAGACATGGCAAATGACTTAGAATACCATGACATTACTCTGCTCGGCTCCGTGAGAGGTTGACGCCAGTGTGTTCTGTGCCAATTCTCCAACTAAATCAACTCTTCCGTGTCCTCGGAACTCATGTTACAATAACGGTCAACATCTAGCCCGATAATCGGTCTCATAAATACTTGCCAACCTAAAACTCATTCGATATACACCAAACATTCGCGGTGGGTAAACCGGGACGTTGAATCAAGAAATCGCTGGCATCGTCTTCCACCGAACATACTCTTAGACTTAGCAAACCGTGGAATGCCGGCTGGGGAAATTCGAGGACTGGTATTGGTCTCGACATTGGGGCCTCTCTATTTGCATAGTACAAAGCTTGGTATAATCCCAAACACCACTGACCCGTCTAGAACCTTTTTTCCGTTCATCATCATTTTTACTTTAAATCTTTAAAAGTCTTCCTCGCCAGACCCGGCGATGATGACGTTGTTGACCTTCAATACCATTCGGCATAATTGCGTCGCCAGCATGAGCTGCTGTCTCTTGCTGATGAGGGGGTCGATAACGAAGGCGTCCTTCATGTCGTTGCTGCCACGGTTCATGCAGTCAACACCAAGCTTTCCGCGGTCGGCAGGACTGGCCTTGACCTGCTGGCTCTTCACCTCGGCCAGAGTGGCGATAGGGTTGAGACCGCTGTTCTCGGCTAGGGCCATGGGAACGGCGTCCAGGGCCTCGGCGAAGGCACGCATGGCGTACTGCTCGAGACCAGGGGTCTTGGTGGCGGCATCCTCGACCGCCAGAGAGCAGGCAATCTCGGCGGCACCACCACCGTAGACAACGCGGTTATCCTTAACCAGGTTGCGCACGACACAGAGGGCGTCGTGGAGAGAGCGCTTGGCCTCGTCGATGATCTGAATTATGTTAGTTGGAGGTTGTCGCTCAAGGTCCGTTTAGCTTACCATCTTGTTGCTACCGCGGACGAAGACAGTCACCGCGCGAGTGTTGGCGCACTCCTCAATAACCAGCATCTTCTCTCTTGTTGTGCCAAAGGTCATCTCTCTGACGCGGCCAGCGGTACCAAGCTTCTCGGGCTTGAGGTCCTCAAATCTGGGCACAATGCGGCCGTTCGTTGCAATAGCCACCAGCTCGATCTCGGGGCCACCAACCCACCTCACGGCAGGGAGATCGTTCTGAAGAAGAAGGTGGTTGGCCTCGTCGTCGAAACCCCATTGGCAAAGTGCCAGGTTGGCGCCGGCGTCCTTAATCTGCTGAATCATTTCAATAAACTTCTCCCTCTCGTAGTTCTGGAGCTTCTTGAACTCCTCGACGCTGGTGATGTCCAGCTTGTGCTTGGTCTTGGGCTTGGGGGGCTCAAAGGCGCAGGTAAGGATGGCGATCTTGGCATCCTTGACCTCTGAGGGCATCTGGGGGTGGGAAAAGTCCTTGTCGATAATGACACCCTTGACGAGCATAGAGTCCTCCAGAGCTCCTCCAACCTTGCCGTCGACCTTGATCAGCTCGAAGTCAACGTCTCTACGTTCCAGGTCGGCAACGGACAGGACGGCGTCCACTGCGATCTTGGAGAACTGGTCGTGCGCCTTGGAGACGATCTTGCTGCCCAAACTTGTCCGTGCCACCTTCAACAGGTTTACTGTCTCCTCCTTTGTGAACTCAATAGTGTCTGAGATCTTGTCAAGCTCCGATACGGCGATGTCGCAGGCCTGGTCGTATCCGTCGGCGATACGGATAGGGTGAATGCCCTTGTCGATAAGCTCCGCCGCCTGCTCCAGCAGAGCTCCGGCCAGAACAACGACACCGGTAGTACCGTCACCAATCTCGTCATCCTGAGACTTGGACAGCTCTACCAGCAGCTTGGCGACGTGGTTGGAGATCTCCATCTGTTGCAGAATCGTAGCACCGTCGTTCGTCACTGTGATGTCTCCATCGGGGGAAATGAGGATCTTGTCGAGACCGCGGGGGCCCAGGGAAGTCTTGACGATGTTCGCGACCGTTCGGGCGGCGAGAATGTGGTTCTTGACGGCCTCGTTGCCATATTGTCTCTTCTTCTTTCCCTGACTGCGGGGTGTGAGCTATAGCTTCGTTTTTGGAACGACGGCACTGTGCAAGACGTACTCTCTGACGACGATGAAAGGACGGCCCTGTTCGTCCTTCGTCACGACCGCTTTGTGTCAAATATCAGTATGGTACTCGAAGCTCGTAGTCGCCGCGTGGCTTACCGTTGGCCATATCCAAGTCTAGATACTTTTGTTAGCTGAAGTCAATAATTCAGGGGCGGACTGCTGCATACTCAACGCCATGGTGAAGGTCGTCGCACGTTACTGGGGGAATCCGGATGGAAGTGCGATTCAACTGGAAGTGACGCCGGGGAAATCGAGGTATCGTGGGTTGAGGGGGGTTGAGCTCCAAGGACCGGGACCTGGTGGACCAAAATTTCTGAATAATTGGTGGTGCCTGCCTTACTGGGGGACCCGCGACCAGAAGCTTCGGTGGTCGGCGCTGGGATAATCCGGGAGCTCACCGCCTGGCGGGCGGCGGCGTAGCCTGGCTCGGGCCTGCCCAAACACCCTACTGCAGTGGTTGGTTGAGCGCATCCAGGTGCCAGGCGCCAGAGGTACCCCGCCATGGGCGTCTTGCCCCTCCATGACAATGGCAGGCCCCACGCATCCCATCTCCATTACCAGCACAAGTGCCTTCACTTCCAATCTTCCGGAGATAGCTCAGGTCGCAATTCAAACCACAACTTTTCCCACGAAAAAGTCAGCGCAACCCGGCATGCAATAACGACTTGTTTCTCCGATTACTCATTGCTGCTTTAAAAACGTTCGCTCTTCCCTTCCACCCTCTGCATCCATCTCCCTTCTTCAACCCACCCTCAGAAGAGTCACTCACACACTCGTCCACCATGTCGCGCCACCAGGCAGTCCGCAATCTCGACTACGAGGAGGTCCTCGATGAGTATGACGCAGACGACTACGAAGATGAGAATGAAGGCGAGCAGCTCAGCGCAGAGGACCGTCAGGCCATGGCCGAAGGCACTCAGTTCGTGCGCAGCTCCCTAGGCTCTGACGCCGACAAAGTCACCACACAACAAATCCAGGATGCACTCTGGCACTACTTCTACGACATCGAAAAGTCGGTCTCTTACCTCAAGAAGAAGTTTATCGATCCGCCCCCGAAGCAGGAGTCCAAGAAGACCAAAGATGGTGAGTCGGTTTAGTTTCCTATGTTATTTTTTCCCTTCTGCTTTTTGTCAGGCACCGGCAGTAGCAGACATTGAGTGTTCGGCAGATGGCATGGGTTTATGGTCGTGGGATGACGAGGTCTTGGATGGTGCTGTGTCCGATTCGCATGCAGGGTACCCGGTTCCCAGGATTGCCTCCTTGACTGCCGCAAGCTACTTCCACGGGATCTCTTGGATGGGCATTCCTCAATCCCGGCAGGCTATCTTGACTCCCCCTCAACCCCTTCCGGGCGGTCTGCTTGGTGGCGGGGAGGGCCCCAAACTCTCCAAGCTCCAAGCACTGGCAGCTGCGCGTAAGAAGAAGACGGATGTCAAGAAGGATGACGACAAAGTCGACCGCGCTGAGAAGCGCATGTCTTCCTTGGCAATCACTGAGCCATCATCGAAGGAGAGTGGTTCAGGCCTCCTGGCCAAACGGCAGAAGCTATCTGGAGAGTCGACACCCCAACCATCGGCCACCTCTCAACTTCGAACCTCATCCTCGGACGCGCCATCTGGAATGGACGTCGATCTGGCGCAGGAAACGCCAGCGAGGAATGACGAACTGACCCAGGATGACTGCTTCGTGGTGCCATCAACGAGACCGTCCGCCTTTGCTCAGACGCTCTTCGGACCAAGCCAGGACTCTGCCGACGCCTCTCAGACCTACAACATGCCGTATACGGCCTCGTCGTCCTTCGTGCCCAGTGCTTTCACCCAGCCAAGCCCTGATGACATCGTGCTCGCTGCCCAGGCGAAAGGTTCGCGATTTGCGACAACACAGTAAGACGCTAACTCTAATAACTTTTAGCGGGCAACAAATTCGACGCCGCTGCCGCCAAGAGCGCAACCAAGAAAGTGGCCGCCAAATCGAAGGCCAACGAGGCTCCTGCTGGTGAGATGAAGCAGTTGCAGCTTGACGAATCAGCAGTACCCAAGAATAAGAAGCTCGACGTGCTGAAAGAGTTTGAGAAGAGCGATAACAAACGAAGTGCAAGTTTCGTCGTGGTTGGTATGTACTTCTCGCCTCACTTTCTCGAACTACACCTAACAAGTTAAAGGCCACGTCGATGCAGGAAAGAGTACCCTCATGGGCAGGTTACTGCTAGAGCTCAAGTTTGTTGAGCAACACCTGATCGACCGGTATCGTCGTCAGGGAGAGAAGATTGGCAAGGCATCGTTTGCACTTGCGTGGGTGATGGACCAGAGAGAGGAGGAGCGCGAGCGTGGCGTCACCATTGACATCGCCACAAATCAGTTCGAAACCGACAAGACACGCTTTACGATCCTCGACGCCCCAGGACACAGGGACTTTGTTCCCAATATGATTGCTGGAGCCAGTCAAGCAGACTTCGCAATCCTTGTTATCGACGCTAACACGGGAGCTTTCGAGAAGGGCCTGAAGGGACAAACCCGAGAGCATGCCCTGCTTCTACGCAGCCTGGGCGTGCAGAGGGTCATCGTCGCCGTCAACAAGCTTGACATGGTCGGTTGGTCCAAGGACCGATTCGATGAGATTTCAGAACAGGTCACCGGTTTTATGAAGGGCAACGGTTTTCAACTCAAGAACGTTACCTTCGTTCCCATTTCAGGACTCAACGGCGACAACCTGGTGACAAGGCCAGAAGACGAGGCGCTGTCATGGTACACGGGGCCAACGTTGATCGAGGCGTTGGAAGACTCAGAACCAATGACGAGAGCGCTCCAGAAGCCATTCCGCATGTCGATATCAGAAATTTTCCGGTCTCAGCAAAGCCAGCTGACAGTGGCTGGTCGGATAGAGTCCGGCACAGTACAGAACGGGGAGTCGCTCATCGTGCAGCCCAGCGGCGAACCGGCCTCAATACGATCGATCGAGGTGGACTCGGAACCGCAAGAATGGGCGGTGGCTGGCCAGAGCGTAAATATCGGTCTGTACGGAATCGACCCAATTCACGTGCGCGTTGGCGACATCATCAGCACTAAGGCAGCACCCATCGACACAAGCGACACCCTGACAATGAAGGTGCTGGCATTCGACCACTTGATGCCGCAGCCAGTGGACGTTCACCGTGGTCGCCTGCACGCTGCCGGCAGAATTGAGGCTATTCCAGCCGTGCTGGACAAGGTCACAGGCGCAACTGTCAAGAAGAACCCCAAGATCGTGCAGCCTGCCAAGGTTGCGCGGGTGGTCGTCAGGCTAGAGTCCAAGGTGCCTTTGGAGGCAGGACAGAGAGTGGTCTTGAGAAGCGGTGGCGAGACAATTGCCGCAGGGCTGCTCGAGTAAACGGTGAAGAATCAAAAGAAGAAACGTGTTATGGTCGCGAACGGGACGGTATTTACGGCATTTGTGTGGGAAAGGACGCAATGCATGGCGTGCGAGAGCGAAAACGGGTGCTAGTTGAGGCTCCATTAGAGTTGAGCGCTGAAAATAGAGTTGCCTGCAACTTCTTTCTGAGGACAGCCAATGAGAACATGTCTATCCATAGAAGAACTCAGTTTGAACACCTTGCAGGAACCATGGAGTCTGATGCCAGGGCCAGGGCCATTCCGTCCCAAGTGAAAGGATTGCTGACATGGACCTCCAGCTGTGATTTGCTAATATTGATATGCGTCCGTTGTCTGCCTGCTCGTCAGCGTTTCTCCCGAGCGACTTGTCAACTTCACAGTCCGCTGAAGTGGCTCCGAGGTTGCAGGCTACAAAGAAGCGACTGGAGGGAAATGACGCCGTCGTGCTCCATCCTGGCGCACCCCTCTCTCGCATTCGACCGTTGTCCACGCCCCGTGGCCCTCTCGGGAGAGCATGGGCCAGCAGCCAAAGCTCAACCCCTGCCTTTTGCCCCCTCCATTTAGCCCCCCTCATCTCAGGCAGAAGACGGGATGGCACTGCTTCAGGCACCTTAAGTGAGGTAAGGTCCTCGCATGTGCGCCTTACAGTGAAGCGCAATTCAGGGGGCAGGGTAAAATAGAGTAGCCCATCTCCCATTTTCCGCCTTGCCGCCGCGCCGCCCCCACCGCAAGTAAGTGGTGGGAATATTCTGGAAAGCTTTGGAGGCATTGAACTGTGTTCCGAAATGGGCATTCGTGGTAATCAAGTTGAGGCCACTCTGTTCGTTTCTGGGTTGGAAGCTGCTTGTATGTAACCAAAGTCAGGAGGAGGCGAATGTGAGATTAGATTTGATGCAACGCATTGAATGGGGTCTTTGCCATCGGCCTTCCATTGTTGGAAATGCGCACTATCGTGAGTCACTTTCCCGCCATCCAGGTTCAGACAAAGAGTCAGTCGTATTTGGGAGACATTGCGGCGGCGTGGAAAGCCAGAGAAGCAAGCTGGCAAGCACCTGCCAGAATGAAGAGGAAAGGCCACGTTCAAGAGTTCCCAGCCGTCCAGGGGGGAGGGGACACAGACTCCATCTGCAATCGAAATCTCCAGAATCGCAGCCTTCGTGGGGCAGAAGGGACCCCGGTAAAGTGACGGCAGCCAGCGCGGCAGCGGTGAGGCGCTTGCTTTGACTCCCGTGGCTAGGGGAAGGCTTCGTACTGTCATCTCTCACTGTGCTTACCCAACGGAGAGTGGTCTCCCGAGATCCACTCTCGTCCCTAAATGTCCGCATTAGCGCATCTCGATACAGCTGCACCAAGGGACCACACAGTGCTGAATCAGCGCAAGCACGCCTCTGGAAGGAAGGTACCCCTGTCACGTGTGGCGCCTAGCAAGAGGAAATCTGGCCTTTTGTGCAATCTGGACACCTCAACTTTTTTTTGGAGGAGGCCGTTCATAAAGACAGCTATCTTTCCCTTCCACCACCGCTCTTCCAACCCTCTCCAATTTAACCACTGCAAATCACCTCAATTCCATTGGGTGTGTCGCTAGAAGGTAGAATCCGGAAAACCTTCCATCGCGCGTCTTTTACAGACATCTTTTCTTCTTTCAATTCTACCAGCTGCAAAGCTTCGATTCGCGCACCTGGGGAGCTTCACACAACCCCCCGACTCCAACCACCATGTCGAGAACACGCAACTCGATGGCCTTGGGCTTCGGCCTCCTGGCCTGGATGTGTCTCCTCTTCTCCCCTCTGGCTTTTGTCCAGTCGGTTCAGGCTCAGGACACTGAGAACTACGGCACTGTCATCGGTATTGTAAGTTAGATCCACTTTTCCGCCAATCATGGTACAACATCACGACGATGTACCTTTCCCGGCCAAAACATCACAACACCGCAACAATAATTAATAGATCTATGCGTCTGCAGGACTTGGGAACCACGTACTCTGCTACTGCGGTTATGTCGAAGGGAAAAGTTGAGATTCTGGCCAACGATCAAGGTTAGTTTCGTCGAAATCGGACTTGGTTTCGATTTTTGGCAGATTTTAGAACATTTTGGCTGACATGATGGGCCAACAGGAAACCGTATCACCCCGTCTTACGTCGCTTTCACCGAGGAGGAGAGACTTGTCGGTGACGCTGCCAAGAACCAGGCCGCGGCCAACCCCCACAACACCATCTTTGACATCAAGTGAGTTGTTCCGCGTCCGCACAACATGGAGCCATGCTGACTAGGTTCTCAGGCGTTTGATCGGCCAGAAGTTCTCCGAGAAGGCTGTCCAGTCCGACATTAAGCACTTCCCCTACAAGGTTGTTGAGAAGGATGGCAAGCCCGTCGTCAAGGTCGAGGTCGGCGGTTCCCCCAAGACCTACACCCCCGAGGAGATCTCTGCCATGATTCTGGGCAAGATGAAGGAGGTCGCCGAGTCCTACCTGGGCAAGAAGGTTACCCACGCCGTTGTTACTGTCCCTGCCTACTTCAACGACAACCAGCGCCAGGCCACCAAGGATGCCGGTACCATCGCTGGTCTTAACGTTCTTCGTATTGTCAACGAGCCCACCGCCGCCGCTATTGCCTATGGTCTTGACAAGACCGGCAAGGAGAGGCAGATTCTTGTCTACGACCTTGGTGGTGGTACCTTCGATGTCTCCCTGCTGTCCATTGATGAGGGTGTCTTCGAGGTTCTGGCTACCGCTGGTGACACCCACTTGGGTGGTGAGGATTTCGACCAGCGCCTCATCAACTTCTTCGCGAAGTCCTACAACAAGAAGAACAACGTCGATGTCACCAAGGATGCCAAGGCCATGGGTAAGCTCAAGCGCGAGGCCGAAAAGGCCAAGCGTACGCTCTCTTCGCAGATGTCCACCCGCGTCGAGATTGAGGCTTTCTTCGATGGCAAGGACTTCTCTGAGACTCTTACCCGCGCCAAGTTCGAGGAGCTCAACATGGATCTCTTCAAGAAGACCCTGAAGCCCGTGGAGCAGGTGCTCAAGGACGCCAAGATCAAGAAGGAGGACGTTGACGACATCGTTCTCGTTGGTGGCTCCACCCGTATTCCCAAGGTTGTCTCCCTCATTGAGGAGTACTTCAACGGAAAGAAGGCTTCCAAGGGCATCAACCCCGACGAGGCTGTCGCTTTCGGTGCCGCTGTTCAGGGTGGTGTTCTCTCCGGTGAGGAGGGTACTGAGGACATTGTTCTCATGGACGTCAACCCCTTGACCCTTGGTATTGAGACCACTGGAGGTGTCATGACCAAGCTTATCCAGCGCAACACTCCTATCCCTACCCGCAAGAGCCAGATCTTCTCGACCGCCGCTGACAACCAGCCCGTCGTCCTGATCCAGGTCTACGAGGGTGAGCGTTCCCTGACCAAGGACAACAACTTGCTTGGCAAATTCGAGCTCACTGGCATCCCCCCCGCCCCCCGTGGTGTCCCTCAGGTCGAGGTCTCTTTTGAGCTCGACGCCAACGGTATCCTCAAGGTCTCTGCCCACGACAAGGGCACTGGCAAGCAGGAGTCCATCACCATTACCAACGACAAGGGTCGTCTCACTCAGGAGGAGATTGACCGCATGGTCGAGGAGGCCGAGAAGTACGCTGAGGAGGACAAGGCTACCCGCGAGCGCATTGAGGCTCGCAACGGCCTTGAGAACTACGCTTTCTCCCTCAAGAACCAGGTCAACGACGAGGAGGGTCTTGGTGGCAAGATTGACGACGAGGACAAGGAGACCGTAAGTTTACTCAACTCACTTCAACCATGTCTACAGACCACTAACTCTATTTCTAGATCCTTGAGGCCGTCAAGGAGACCACTGACTGGCTCGACGAGAACGGCGCCACTGCTTCCACCGAGGACTTGGAGGAGCAGAAGGAGAAGCTGTCCAACGTTGCCTACCCCATCACCTCCAAGATGTACCAGGGCGCTGGTGGCGCTGGCGGCGAGGATGAGCCTCCCAGCCACGACGAGCTCTAATTTCTTAGATTTGTTGTTGATTCGTTCGGGATGAAAAAGAGACTACCCAAAGATTCCATCATGCACTTTTGTCTCTGGTGTTGGCAGGTTAATTGGCGTCGGCAGCATGGAGCATGACTCCAACTTTGTGTAAAACATACACCACATAAATGAGACCCATTGAACACATGATTCTGTTTGCAACGTGATGTCGTGTGTTGGTGATACGTTCATGACTTCATCAGTAGTACCGTGCCCAAGGTACGGGCTTGAAGTCGTCGTCTCTGGCACGTTACCCTGATCGGGTTTATCACTTGGCACACCGGAATATACAATTATTTATATAAGTTCTCACGTTCTTGATGAAAGTGAAAGGTCGCTGCGGATCATCTCCCACTCTGTGCGTCGTATTCATTCTCGTCTTCGAGGCGCAAAGGCCTCGAACCTGACGCATCCTGATCCTCGTCACCGACTCAAGTCTACTTGACCTCTTGGTTTGTTCAGCATCTCGGACGGTCTCAAGGAATACCCTGGTAGAGGTGTTGGATAGGAATGGAAGAGAAGACAAGTGAGAGTCGGGCGGCGTTTGACGAGTGATGTTGGAGAGGGACTGAGGAGGCCTTCGACTTGGGAGATCACCGAGGCGTCTTGCCCGGCTTTTTCGATGAGCCGACTACAGCGGTGTTCATTGGTGTTGCTGTTTGCGGTACACTTTCGGACGGTTTTATAGTTTATGAGGGCTGTAGCCAGTATATATCGGGCTGTTCCTGCTGCTTCTTTGCTAGAGTAACGACATCAAGGTAGTATATATATATAACTATATATATATATATATATATATATATGCTGTCTCTGAGAAACTTGACTGGGACCGCCAACCAATGATAATAGTCTTTTCCGTTTGGTGCTTTTTCGCTAGCTTGGTACTTCAGCAGTGGTGACATCCAATACCAATGAGGCGGAGTAATGCTTCGCCATCAATACAGTGGTGGTTTGTATTGTATACGTTCGCGAGCGTCCCCGTCTGATTTGTATGATACGGGCACATATGCGTGACGGATGATGATGAGAGATGGTGGCTATGCAGACGGGCCGACGAAAGGGGGCGTGGGGTGCGGTCCGATGTTGTGAGAACTCGGTGGTGGCTGGGGTCTTGTTGAAGAGCTCACTGCCACGACAAATATTAATTCGTTGTCCGTTTCAAGGAGAGCCGAGTGTCGTCTTTTATAGTTGAGAAATAAGTAGTCGACGTTGAGAAGGTTGTACGTGGAGGGTTGTTAGGGTATAAAATGGTTTGGATGAGGATGGATGGTACTCGCCAGGCCAATGATATGGCATACGTGTAGGGTTGAATATCGATGTAACATTCGGTCTACTGAGCTCCAGGCTTTACTTTCCGCAGGACATTCTTTCTTCCAGCGCACTTTATAGTCTTGTTCTCCACCTCTGTCCCTAATACGCCACCTGATTATGCAGGAATAGATGGGTGTCGATGAGGTCTGAAGGAGAGACAGGTGAGAGGTGCTTGATGGAGGTCCGCCCATGGTTCGCAACTCAGAGTATACTGATTTTCCTCTTGGGTTTGGGGGAATCAGTGAGTGAGACCAGTCAAACAGCTAGGCACATCGCGGGTCTAGAAGATGTTGCATGAATCCATTCGTAATATATGCGGATAACTTTTCAGGAGAGACCGAAGGATCTTGACTCCCTCGGCTTAGAGACTCCAGCCACCGAGTATTAATACTGCGGCAGACTTTGGTCTATTTGCTGCAGACCAAATGAGGACATCTCCGCGCTTGATGATGTTGCGAGAGGGAATCGATATGGATCAGCCACCGCCTCCTAGACTCATGCAGCGGTCTCTCAGCAGGTTTTACGGGCAGGGTATGGAGCCGTGCGACGATCACAGCGTACGCCGTCTGTCGTATTTATCTAGCGGAATAACATTAGAACGACAATCAACGGGAGAGTGTGCTCGATGACACCGGAGTGATGTTGCGATCACAGTTCAGAGGTTCACAGAGTTGCGTGATCGGCGACGGCTTCTAGACTGCTGAGACACAGATGTCATCCCGCCTTCCATTGATCAGATACAGAGCCGCGTGAGTGGCAAATTGGGGTGAGAGTTCACACATGGGTAATCACCGTGTATTATATGCGACGGAGAATGAAGATGACTTGGCCGAATGCAAAAGATTCTTCTGTTGCGTGTACCGTCTCTGGTTGATATGTACCTCTTACTGCGAGCGGTGGAGTAAAACTCACCAAATGCGAGGACCTGACGATCGGCAGGAATAGCCCTGGGAGTTGAACTTGCTGAGCTGAGAATCATTCCATTGGTAGTGGCATGTGTCAAGACGAGTTCGAGCGACTCATAATCACACTCGGGTCGCAGACGCAGCGGGTGTTATACTTCTGTCGACGTGGAATACACGGGGGATGAGAAACAGCACCCAACAGAGCTGACGGGCAGCGCATCAAGAGATGAATGGATGCTACGGAGATGAAAGTGCTTGTCTATCAGCGGAAACTCGTTCTTTGAGGTACACCGATGAGAAAATAAGGTACACGAGGCACATCATTCTGTGACGGTCCTGTCCGCAGCTTGATCGGTGTCGTTGTGCGTTTTATGAAGGCCCGATCTGGTGACGGCACAGAGCATGACCGGCTCGGTCCCCTTAATGCATATACAGACTGGGCATGTCTATAGTCTTAGTCTGCAAGATGAACCAAGCTCTTCCATGTGTTTACGACCATGAGGACCTATGGATTGACCCGTGAGTCAACGAAACTTTGCTCAAAGCGAGTTGGAACGGTCGCTGCATTCGTGGAACAACGTCGTTGTAGCCGGTTTATCATACGAAGAATGAGGTCGAGATAGAATAGATCGATAGTGTGAAAGCATGTGTAACGTCCTTGATTGGGTATCTGCACTAGATGATCAGCAGCAAAGCACATGGGGGAGAGGTTCATTCTGGATATCCAAAGCTTCAATCTGCGTTTCCGTGGTTCGTTAGTTACTCTGGGCTGGAGGAGTAGCCTATATAGTGGCAGAGCTAACTTGGTCATGTGATCCTCTATCATGCTTCTTCGAATCGGCATAAATATGGCTGTCGAGCGGTTTCCAAATACCCAGGCAGCAGCACAACAAGAAAATGCAGCGGCATTGTCGGCGGACGTAATCTTAGGCTTCACCATGACTGGGTTTTCAAAATGGACTGTACGCTCAGATAGAGGCTTTCAGTCACCACAATGGCTGAAGTTTGCCGCCTTCTTCCATGTATTGCCTAAATTATATACAAACAGAGATGATGTTAGACAAGCCAACGGGGTTGGCAGGCTATCGGCGTACTTGGACAGGGAATCTCAACTTCGGAATGCTCGTGATTCGATGTCGGGACTGCCATGGCTAAGGCAACGCGATGCAAGGTTCAGAAGCGTCATCTTTGGCGCTCCTTGAAGAAAGTTCCTGGATTCCTGTGGTTCTACAGGTGTCTTATATGTGTCTACCCGATGCAGCAACCATAACAACGCCATGTAAATATGAAGCAACCATTTTCTGCGACGCCTTCGTGGTCGCCGCCTGTGATTCTTAGGTACCCAGGACTACCTTCTTATTACGCAAGGTCGGTCGCACCTGTTCTCTTCCCGACCTTTCTTTACCGCACGCCATCTATCTACTTGGCTGAAAGGGAAGTTCAGCCTCCATCGTCTGTCGTGAATAGACCACCGGGCGTAAGAAGCGACATCGTTCTTTTGAAGAAGTCCGCCGCCAGACTCACAAGTAGTCTCTGCAGGATCCCGGATCATGGCGTTTCGGTCACTTCTCATGTAGTCTAGAAGCATCTGACACTCAACAGCATTTCGCAAAGAAATGATCAGGGTGACGGACTATGGTCCAACTGAAATGCAATGTGTCCTAATCATCGTCCAGGACAATGACCTCGTTTCTGTCAAGAGTCTGTCAGCTTCATGATGCAACTGTAATAGTCAGGGACGGACCCCTACACAATTACTACTTACTCATTTGAATGGCTTCGTCCCTTTCTCGAGACACCCTGAGCTTTCCAAACCCGCTTGATCTCCTCCTCGACCGTCGAACTGACAGCAGAAACCTCCAAGACCAGGCCTTCATTCGCAAGCCGATCGGCATCCTTGTTCAGCTCGCGCCGAACGTGCCAGAACTGAACCGTGACGCCCATCTCGCGGAGTTTGTCGATGTACTGCGTTAGCAAACGCCAAAGAGCTGCATTTTTTACAGCCCCGCCACCCGCCGTCCGAAATCCATTCGTCTCCCATTTCGCAATATAAGGCGGCTCCCCTTTCTTCCCGCCTGCGATGGACTTGACAACGTACTCTGAATCTGACTTGACGACGACGTGTTTCAACTTCTGGGGCTCTCCGCTGGGCTTTCTTACGTCTCCGTGCTTCACGGTATCGGTGTACCGTTGAATACCACCCCTGGCGACAATCGTCGCGCCATGGAGCGCAGATATGGCGGACATGATTTCAGCAATGTTGTTTGTGTGTTTGGCGCCCTCGAGAAGATGGTTCGGGATCCGGGCAGCCGTGTTTTTGGGGTTGCCGGGTGCGAAAAATACTCCATAACCTGACTTGGTTGCCCTTACCGTGCCGTTCCCAGGGCAGGCGCCATCGATGGCGATGACGAGGGGATCCTCGTGCCCAGAATGTTGCGACGAGGGGCTGCACATGTGAGTGAATCCCGTCTGGCCGTCGAAGAGCTCTATTTTGCCGTCGTTGTTTTGGAAGAAGGCTCCTCTCAAGGACCCCGAGGAACGACTGAGAGCTGGGCCTGACGCCTTGTCCTGTTGGTCGAATTGGGGCTGGTTCCCATTTTTTGGCGCGGCTTTTGCAGCTCGACCGGTTTTATTGCGCCCGTATCCCGATGCTTGAGGCCGCTTGTACGGATGGTACATGATTTCAGATCGTAGGGTTGGTTGTGAACGATGATGATGATGACTTTCGCAGATTTGGGACGTGAAGTAGGTACACGCGGGCACTGTGGCTGGCGGTAGTGTCTCCTGAAAGATGGCGGACGTGCGCACCCTCCCCCCACGTTAGTGTCCTTTGTTCTTAGCCAGAGCAGGAACATTCCATGTCAAACTAATTGCCGACAAATTTATCGAAAATTCATCCAATTGCAAATCTGGCATCGCAAGGAATCATTAACCAGGACCACAGTCTCGTTCTGCCAATGTCGTCCACCTGAGAATCCCAGACGCGGTGCGACGCGTTGAGCCAGCGCCTTTCTGGTCGTCTGATATATCCTCACACGAAGCCAGGAAGACGCGACTAATAAGCTTCGAGCCTATTTGTCGCGTCATTGTTGGCACATCATCCGACTTCCAGCCGTCAACGCCAACCAGACGTCCCCGTCCTCAACTTGCTGCCTCTGGAGCGTCACGGATCCGCAGTCGAATCTATGCCCTTCTGAGCATCAAGATGCTTCACGACACAATTTGGTTTGCTTAAGATGAATCCAAAAAAAATTCTCATTTAAACATTCAGCTGCATTTGCTAACCCTGAGAACTCCATAGCTATCCGTTGACTTGAAAGGAAATGCTCCTAGCCTTAGTACGTGAACACTGGTTTACATCTTCGACTTTTTCTCCAATAGTACGCAACTCTCCGGCACTGCCCTCGGATCCATGTCAAGTGGATGATCACAACCCGCATGGCGCTGAAGCTCGTCCGTCAACCACTCGGTATGTTTCTCGTCAGGGCTCAGGTCTATCGCAGACAGCACGCCTCCAGCAACACAATAAGCCTCGTTATTGTCGCTATTCGGAGCTAGCCACCAATCTACCCTGACTCCCAATACGCCGAGACCTTTCAACTCTCGCCACAAAGCCTTCCAGAGATCCCTATTCTTGACCGGCTCTTCATTCACCGTCAACCATCCGTTCTCGCGCCATCTCCATATCCAAGGTTCTCGGTCCCTTTCTCCGCCTCCCATACCTCTGGCGACGTATTCGGACTCTGTCTTCGCTACGAGGTGTCTTACAACACACTCATGTCCTTCTTCGTGCTCCGGGCAGCTACAGAACCCTCCCTCGGCGCAAATTCGCCTCGAGATTTTGAGACCTGCCAGAGCAGCGTGAAGCCCCGCGCGCGGGCCGGTAAAAGTGCCGTCGGATAAGAAGCGCTTAGCGTTGTTTGGATTCTCCGGACCAAAGTACACGCCGATGGTTGAGATATCGTCTGAAAAGCGCGGAGCATGAATCCCTTTGACTGCCACGACGAGAGAGTCGATATGAGCAACATCTACATGGTCTGGACAGGCTACGTGGATGAAGTTGGTGTTATAGTCGATTACCTCGAGTTTGGTGACACAGTTGTTGAGATAGTCACCAAAGACGGTTGGAAACCTGAAGGTGGACTTAAAGGTTTCTACCGCCTGTGGTAATGCCGCACAGCAATGACAGGAAGGCTGCTCTACTTTCATCGCTGTCACTTGTTGTCGTTGCGAAGTGATGTACTTGGTATATTAGAATAGATAGATGTATGTTAACATACATAGGACTTAGTCTAGTTTTACTCACCTATATTATAATCTTTTACTACGATTGTTAGTAGTGAAGTTGAAAATGAGAAGATGGGCGCGAGAAGCGGAAGCATGACGAGTCGAGATAGATGCAAGAATATGTCCTGGGCGCGTAGCATTTATATAATACAGAGGACTTCATACTGAAAGCTTCCGCCGGATCTGACCTTTTGCTTCTGCCCCAGCAACCTTCAAAGTCAAACCCTATATCTGGTGAAATCTTCCAACTTCCCCGCATCGTATGGGCTCAAGACTAGGAGAGTTTGCAGTCAGAGTGCACCGTTAAAAACATTAGATGAACCTTTTCTGGGGTCCAGACCTCTCTCACAGCCAACCAGCCTGGCTCATTGAAGCAGGCCTCATGTGCAACATGTGAAAATGAACAAATCTCTGCGAGGGACGAATCCAGATCAACTATTCTGAGTTGAACTGGAGGCGAGATATGTAGAATGAAGGATTATTTGTGCCATCGTGACGACTCCGTCTCATGAGGCTGTCCATTTACATGCTGCTAGCTGTGTACCCAGCAAAACTGTAATGACGATACTTTCAGTTCAAAGTGAACAAAAACAAAAGTACGTCAAACATGCTAGAAGGTTCTTTCACAGTAGGAAGACCGGGCATTGGTCCTTACAAATCGTAGATGGGAATAGGTTGCAGTGACGTTGCGTGGTTGAGACCGCGTGAGGTAGGACTAGGGTCCCTCAATCCCCAGCAGTCTTCGTAGGTGCCAGCTTTGGGGAGCGCTAGCACGCTAACCGCCCGGAAGCCACCCTGAATTCCGCCAACGACCGCTAACAGAACGGCAACCTTATCTCATACCTCCACGAACCCCTCACAAACACTGCGAAGATGAGAACATCAACATCGCCAACGTCGCATCGTCTTAATGGCCTGCATGAGATCCATGCAACAAGCCCCGATTTTCTCCAGGGAAATCGATCACTTCACAGGTAGGAAATCGCTCATCAGGGAACCCGATCGATCGCGGAGTTCTGGTTGGAGGAAGGCCCTCCGTGTGATGCATCGTCGCACTGGAGAAAAAGCAATTCTCAACTTGCGTACGCCGCCGTTGCCGACAATGGACGAGAAGAGACCGGCAGCACCAGGCCCGAGGAATTCGTCAACGATTCTCGCGTCATCGCGTAGATGAGATGTATATAATCTGGAAGCTTCCCATACCCCGCGCTGATGAGATCAGATAAGAGCTCATCCTGCGAGGAAGACGTACACTCACATCCCAGGAAACCCTTCCAGACGATCTTGAACATGAATACAGGACTACCAGAACGAACGAGCTTTCCTGCCCCGCCCACGAGGATCGAGTTTGCCCGTTGCTTCCAGGCGGCCTATCGGGCTGACTTTGGCGATTCTGGCTGCTCGCTTCGAGGCGACTCGGACTCGGACTCTGGAGAGTCCTGGCCGTCGATCCACACGTCTGACTTCTCCACTGAGTCTGACGATGATGCCCTCACGACCGACTACGAGGATGACTACCTCTTGCGCACCGGCATCAAACCGTGGCCGACTCTGGGTCCCAGACCACCGCCCCACGCCCGGGTCAAGAAACCCGTCAAGGAGGTCCGTCTGACGGTCCAAAGCAGGAAGGACGCCGCCCTCATTTTCGAAGATCCCAAACTGCGGCACCAGCCCGCCTTCTCTTCGTGGGAAGTTGAGCTGGGACCGGAGAGAGTGAAAAGACGCGAGCGTAAACTGCTGCTGCGCCGCCAACGCCAGACCGAAAGCTTACGCCGAAAGGAGCATTCGCCCTCGCCCTCACCATCGTCCTCGACCTCAAGTGATACGGAAATGGACGAGTCGGACATGGACGACTCAGAAATGGACGACTCTGATTTTGATGATATCAACCAGCTCTTCGCCGAGGCGCTGCGGCAACACGACATCGCCACCGGCATAGACCCGGCAAGCCTCCGCCGCCGCTAACAACGTCGCATGCTCGCAGAAGAGGCAGAACCGCAGCCAGCATCGAAGCTGCGCGAGCAACGACGTAGAGCCCTGGCAGACAAGGAGCGTCTGGAAGAGGAGGACCGACGTCGTCTGCTCGAAAAAGAACGCTTCAGATCGCTGCCGCACAACGACCCGGAGAGCAGGCGAAGATTCCTCCGCAAACCTGGGGAAACGGAGTTTCTCGAGATGCGGCGCAGATGGTATGAAGGCGAATGCCGTCACAACGAAAGGGAGGCACGGCGCCGTCTGGTTGAAGCAGAACGATTGAGCCAGCTGCCGTACAGCAACCCCAAGACCAAAGAGAGAATGCTCCGCCGACTCCACGAAGCCAGAGACGATTTGGAATGGTACAGGGTTGACGAGGAACCGAGCAACCCTCCGACTCAGCCAAGCACGCAGCAAGCTGCTCAACTCGGTGACTCAGTCAACAACCAAACATCAGAAAACGTCCGCCGCCCTCCCCCGCAACCTCCCCTCCCCTCCCACTTCACACTTGGGAGGATCCCAAGGGCCCAGTCCCCACGAGACTCCCAAAACGCCTACCGCGCCTCCCTCTTCGCCCTCATCGCCGCCCTCCGCGCCGCCGCCCCCTTCTGCCAACCCCCCTCGAGTCTTTGGAGTGGAGGCGGTTTGACTTGATTCTCCGAACAATATGGACCTCTCATACAGAGTAACCGCAATCAGTCCTTACCACATGCAAGAAATAGCTCATCTTGTGTCCTCGCAACTTCCACCGTGGTTCATGAAGACTAGATGGTGTTATCCACCTCAACCTGATCACAAGCAACGAATGAAACACATACCCATACAGTCGATGTCTCAATGCCTAGGAGAACTCCCATGCTCCCCCTCCTATGCCTTTCTCTTCCTTCGTCCCGGGACCACCCCGAGCACCATCATCGCCGGAGGCACCAGGGATTCGCAGACATCACGGGGGCCGGGAGGATAGCAGAGGATCGCACAGCTCCGAAAACTACCCATTCGAGCACTGTGGCCGGCTGAGGAGGGGAGGAGAAGCAGACCACAACTACGAAATACGCTGATTGGATCAGTATACCAGCCCAGGCGACCATCTATAATGCTTGGCATGAGTTAGCCTGGATTTGTCTTCATGGAGGAGCATCGGCGAAGACTTACCAGAATACTCTGGACATCAACTTACCCTGAAACAAATTCACAGTCAACGGCACCAGAGTTTATTAATCATGATTTGATTTTTTCAAAAAAGGAATGAACACATAGCATAAGTCTAATCTAAAGGTTATCCGTGAACGTGTTTGTTGCCGCCGTCAAGATATTTCGCGCGCGCGCCCTCCTTGGCCTCGCCGCCTCCTCCTTTGTCCCCAAGTGGTTGGGGTACATGTATGTTTGATGTAGATAAGCGGAACGAACAAAACACCATACACGAGGACGGCCCATCCCGTCTCTCGTCCTCCTCTCCCCGATGTCGTATCTCTCCCTTTTTTTGCTCCTCCCCATGGCGGGGGTAAAAAAAGAATATGCTTCGCAGTCCGTGGGCCATTAACGAACGCTTTTTCTGTGTGTGTATATAACAAAGAAGGTTATAACATCATTATACAATCCAAAAAAACAAACAGGCTCCGTGAAAATGTGTATAGGTAAGTGAGAGAACCGGCCCTGAACCCAACATGACAAATTGGGGCGGCGACGCCCCGGGGTATTTTTGACTTTTTCGCAAAATCAATCGCATCATGCTCCCGTTTAAGGCTTCGAGACCTGCTCCTTTCTGAAGAACTTGAAGAAGAGGATTGGGATGACCATTTGGAATCCCAGGCAGATCCAGAACCACCAACTCGCGATACCAGGCATCAGGCCCTGGGAGAAGTCGGGGAAGGTCGTGTTGGGCGACAGGGCGTTGGGACTCGTCGCGCGCGCCAGCATCGTGAAGGCACTGCCCACGATTTGAGCACCGATGAGGACGGCCAACACGTGCTGGCGCGTAAGTGTCGCGAGAAGCATCATACCCAGACCGACACCCTGGATGTTGTCCAAGAGACCGAGCCAGAGCCACAGGCAACGCGAGAGGATGGCGGAGCCGACGGGGCCACCAGCCCAGGGGAGGTACATGCCCATGCTGCTGGTTCCCCAGAGCATCTGCGCCCAGCGAGGAGCGCAGAGACCGATGGCGAAAATAGGCAGAAGCCACGTGTGACTCTCGGAGAAGTAAGAGAAGACGTAGAGGATGAGGCCCCAGAGGACGACGAAAAAGCCCAAGGCGAGGAGCACAACTCCCCAGCCAGGGATGAACTGGGAGGCAAAGAGGAAACCCCAGTTACGTCCGTAGGGAGCCGACAGCCAGTAGTTCTGGATTATGATCATGATGAAGAAGACCGGGACGAGCTTGCGGCGGATGAGGGAGATGTAGAAACCGGGGATAACGTCGGGAGCCTGGCGGTAGTAGTCGGGGAGACCCAGGAACAGAATGACACCGATAGCCCAGAGCATGCAAGCAACGGGAACGCAGATGATGACGGACTTGGGGATAGTCGTACCGTCCAGGTAGGCCATGGGAGAGGTCTCGGGGGTGTGCGTCAGGGATCCCCAGTACCAGAGCATAAGGGAGTAGACCTGAGCAACACCGGCAACCGCAAGGGCACGCATGATCCATTGCTTCGTGGGAGCTCCACCTTCGTCACCAAAGTTGAGGGCGAAGGACAGAGCACCAGCGCTAGCGCCAGCAGCATAGAGAGCGGTGGCGGCGTCTTGCATAGCAGCGCTGGCTTGCCAAGGGGACAGCAGTGGCGAGACACCCAACAGGAGGAAGGCCAGGCCGAAGAAGAACCAGGGAAGGGAGAGGGCGTAAACGGACTTGGTCATACGGACCAGGAACCACCACAAGAAGGACGTGACGAGATAGGTAGCCGCAACAATGTACAGCTTGAGGGGCGTCTGGTTGGTGTCACCAGTAAGGAGGACGATTTGGTACGAGTTGATGGAGATGACCTGGGCGAAGGAGAGGAAGAAAGCGTAAACGGGCCAGTCGCCGATGCGGATAGAGAGGATCCTGCGGTTGTTAGTGTTGAGCTCGCGAACAGAGGTGTTGGGCACTTACTTCTTGAGACCAGTGGGTGCGTTGTAGTTGTCACCCAACAGGAACTCATCGTCAACGGGGCTGTCATCGTAGCGAGTAGCGCCCGTGAGACCACTGGGGGTGCGGCTGCGGCCACGCTCGCCATCCATCTTGGCACCGAGACCAGCGCTGGAACCGGGGCGGCTGGGGTTGGGGCTTCTTGAGCGGCTGTGGTCTCTGCGGCCAAGCTTGGCATCACGGTATCTGGCAAACCACTTCTTCTCACTCTTTTGGAGGTAGTTCTCAATGCAAAGGTCGTTGATGGAGTTCTTGGCGGTAAGACTGTTAAGCATTTGCTCGAACTCGTCGTAGAATTCTCCGTTCTTGTCCGTGAAGTTCTGGTCAACGTTCATCAACTTGAGATCGTGGCGGTCACCAACGACATCAGGCAAGGACAACTGAGAGCTGTTGCGCTGCTGCTTGTAGAAACTGGGTTGAGGGAGAGCCAAGTCGCCAAAGCCAGGAGTGACAGGGGAGGTAGCATCGTTCTGGGCGCGAATAGCAAAGCTGTCTACACTCATCATACTCTCACGGCCACCGCCAATGGAGCTGGAGAAAGAGCTGCGACGAGAAGAGGGGATGCTGTGCCAAGGAAGGTTGGGAACAGGCAGACCAGGAGATTCGGAGATGCGGGGGCTGGCGACACGGGTAGGCGGCGGGAGAGGAGAGGTGGCTCTGGAACCGGTAGGAGTCAACTCGGCACCGTACTCGCTGACAGCAACGCTGGAGCGGAGAGAGGAGTCGGTCAGGTTGCGGATGCCGCCAGACTTCTTCTGCTTGGCAGCCTCCTTCTTGTGAACCTTGATAGAGTCGTTGTAGAGGGTATCCAGTTGTCTGATCCATTGAGCGACGGGGAAACGCTGCTTAGCACTCCACGCACGCATGAGAGCTCTCTTTCTCGGCTTGCACTTCAGGGCGGATTCGATAGCCTGCTTGAACTGCTGAAGCATGTGGGCAGGAGTCATGGACTCGACCGTGAACCAGAAACCAGGCATCTGACCAAGACCACCGACACGAGCACCGACACCCAGAGCTCCCTTACGACCGAACTCGACGGCAACGAGACCGAAGGGCTCGTCACGAGAGGGAATGAGGGCGAACTCGGCACCAGAGAAGATGTAGGGAGGCAGCTGGGTGAACTCAGGCTTGCTGAAAACACGCTTGGGGTACTTCTCCATGAGCTTAGCGAGCTTCAGAGCAGCGAACTTTCCGTAGAGATCGATGACGGGACCAATGCAGATAAGCTGAGTGGAAGGGTACTTCTCGAGAACGGTGGGGAAGATATCGGCGATCAAGTCGACACCCTTTTGCAGCGACCAACGACCGACGAAGACGAACAGATCAGCATTGGGGTTGACCTCAAGACCAGCCCATTCCTGGGCTTGTCTGCGAAGAGTAGCGCGGTTGGCCTCGAAAGTCTCGTCGATCTTGATGTCGTCCTGGTGGTTGGAGATGTCCTCCTCGGGGTTCCATTCGCCAGTGTCGGAGGGATCGGGGTTAGGCAGTTGACCAATGTTCTTCAGAGACCAGAAAATGGGGTAACGAGCCAGGGAACGATCACCATACTTCTTGGAGACACCAACGGCACCGAAACCGCGCTGGTGGATACGGAGGTAACTGGCAGCAGCGTGCAGCAAGTTGAAAGCGGAACCGTACTGGACGTAGTCCTTGACGACCTTCGGGGGCAGGTTGAAGACGCTGTACACTTCCTTCTGTTCCTCCTCGGTTCTCATGGGCCACATACCCTGGAACTCGGCGTTGTGCAGAGACAGACAGACGGGAACGGTCTCAGGAAGGAGGTAAAGAGGAGCGGCGGCACCATGGTAATCGTTGATGTGGTAGATGTCGACGTTGAAGCGGCGGATAGACTCGGCGATACAGCTGT